ATTTCAGCCTTAACTATTCCCTTTTTCTAAGGATCCATGCCAAGACCTTTCGGATGATATGTGACTAAATTGTCAATCACGTTGCTATAGTAACGAAATTGGCCCGTGAAAAGAGGGTAGGCCTACAAAATCAAGGTAAAAAATCAGCACTCGCCGATTGGCAAATTTAGCCTAACACGGCGTCAAATTTGAATAAAATAAGGCAATTTTTGAACAGTTAAGGACTTGAGCTTTGTAATTACGCAATAAAAAATACTGCACCTCGTCAGGATACGTTGGGGTGGACGTCTAGAATGAGGGGTGTGAGCGGTGAGTTACGCGGTTGTTCATTTCTATGGTACTGTTGAAATACGCCTGGTTTTTATAAATCGTACTTTTTGCTTATGTTAACACAAATGACAATACTCTAAATAGTTTTCCGAATGATTAGCGTCGTTGTAATTGGTTTCAAGACCAAGAAAATAGTTCGAAACTTACGTCCATAACTCTGCGTGCTTCCTCACAATCAACATGGCGGTAAGATGTGGACGTCGGTGTGAGAAGTCAATATTTTTGATGCAGAAAAGGGAGCATGCGGACTTAAACCTGTCTACAAATATCAGACGAGTTGTATCTTGCTTCGGGAGTGAACCAGACATGTTGAGAATCATTTACGAAATCTGAATGTGCTTCGCGTCCAGGGTCAAATCAGGGATGATAGGGAGCACATTCTTCAGACGCTCCGAGTGTGAGCTACTGAGCCTAACGGTATATTTCGACTAGGGACGGAATAGACTCAATCCAGAGAGTGCCAACACCCACTTCACACAAAGAGAGGAAAACCCTTTGCTAGCCAAGCGACTGGTGTCTAGATTTCAAAGATTTGTTTGCCCTACTCACTAGGCCTAGGGTATGAGGTAAATAAGATTCTGTGCCATACCTTAGATTCATCATCCTTTATATGTCTTATTAGTTTTACTGAAAAAAAAACCTTCATTGTGCTTATTATATGCGTTTCTCTTTGAAAAATATTGTTGTTTAGTATTCCAATCAATGTTTGTTTCAATATCATTGATGTTTGTTGTGATAATTCTAAAGCTTGAAATGTGGATTTTATCATTGCTAGATAGGACCCTGCTAATAAAAAGCCTTTCATCTGGGTAAATTTTATAGTTTCCAGAAAATTATAAGCAAGGATATATATGTAAAATTATATTTTCATTTTGTTTTTCAGATTAACTGAGTGGAGAAAGCCAGTTAGAACTGGGTTGCAGTTATATTTCTGCTAGATAAATCTGTCTGCCAGCTGAAAACTAACATGGATAGCTTTGGAGAAATATTAGTTAAGATGTTGTTGGGTACTATCACTGTGCTCCAACATTTTGTCCATAATGATACCAGCTTTATCTGAACAGACAGGCTTTTTTGTTCAGCACAAGCAGGAGAGGACAAATGTGAACAAAAATTGCTCCCCTTAAAGTCTCATAAGAAAGGATGAATAAAAAACAAAGAAGAAACTGTTAAACAAGGATGCATAACTGAGTGTTCAGCAAATCATTGGTTATTTTTCATGTTTTTAAAATCTCTTTATCTGTGGAGTTGGATCGACCTATGTGGGATAATATTTCATTGGGAACAAGCCATATGGCTGATGCAGAATGTTATATAAGCATGCAATGTCAGCATCCCCTTTAAAAATATACATAATGCTCCACAGTGTATCCATTGTAAACTATTACATTTTTATCTTTGGAGCAAGGTGGTACTTTTTATGTTACTTTTCATTTTTAAAAATTATTATTGAAGCACTCATTTCAGGTGCATGATAGCTGTTTTTATTCATTTCCATTTCTCATTCAAAGAAAATCAGATTGCTTAAAGATAATGATATATATTTTATTGTAATTTTGAAAATTAAAAAAAAGCACCAAAAAATACACTGTACAACCTTTTATTAGACTAAAAAGGTCTTGCACAAATATATATAAAGTAGCAGATTTATGTGTTTAGTTGTTCTTGAATCTGCACTTTCATAACAGGCTATCAGTGTGTTGATGGTACTGCTTTCCTCATCTTCTTTCTGAATATCTCTCCATACAGCTTCTTCCTGACCAGGTGACAAACAATTCAAAACCAAGTTGATGCCTTCTCTTGCTTTCTGTTTGTAATACCTTCTCGTTCTTGGGGCAGCAGTGTCATAGCTAGACTTAAGTTCACCTAAAGCTGGTTCAAACCCACCACGAACAAGAAAATTATCCAAATTCCCCAGATCCTGGCTTTACAGGTGTAGAGGCCCAAGAAGCTTCAAGGTCTGTCCTCCCACTACTTTGTGAGCTGCTGCTGCTGCCTGACACTGGCATGTCTAACCTTGCACGCTGAAAACAGAGGTTCTTTGGTTATTGTAACCTTAATAATGGGAGAGGTGAAAAAAGAATTGGTGTGCCTAAATAAAAGAAGCTTTTCATATCAAATCTTCAATAAACCATCTAATGGTCACAAACCTCAAAGTCCTGATTTACAAACTAACTCGATACTTTAACATTGTAAAAACAGACTGAGTGATTTACAAAATCTCTACTTTAATATAAGAACAGTGGAGGAATTGCTATGNCTTTTTTTTATGCACTGAAGATTTTCCCACTACATTAAATAGTTTTTCATTATTAAAAAAATTCATGTTCCCAAACTTTTTGGGGTAGGGTTGAGTGTATTTCAACAATATCGTAACTATGGGGTCCAGTATTGCCAAATTGACATGTATGGTAGGCCTACTGTTTTTCATGGTAGGCCTACAAGTAACGATCGAGCAGACGACTATACTTGAAAAACTCTCAAGTAATAATTCAATCAGCCTAGATTGACAACACGAGCTGTATTCTAGTCATTTAAGAAGTCAAAACTGATCATCTAAGATTATCTATATGAAAACAGTACAAGACAGCCAAGGCAGAGGGATTGATTAGTGCATTTACGTGCACAACCACTTACAATCTCATCTGATGCATTTTGAACAAAATATATCCCACCGTGCATTTCGTTAGATAGTTGTTGCACTTCCGGCAAATGCAGACAGCGTGACCTGCCCAAACAAGACGTCAACAGTGGTATATATGCACCAGGGAAATGAAAAGTAAACATTATGTCATAAAATGACACAGTGGATAACATAGGCGTGACCAGGTGAGTCACCTGTTGACCTTTGGAGGGCTTATCTTGCAGCGTGGTGGTGCAACAACATGAAAAACTACACTTGCCTTCTGATTCAGGTTGAAATGGCGTGAAACAACTAAATTTGGAACCGATTCAAAAACCTCGTGTCGGAAGCCGCAGTCAGTTTACGTCATAAGTGTACTTACCTTGTTCAAAACAAAGGATCACTGATTCACTGTTTATTTTCAAGTATAAAGACAGTGACACATTTATTTTTGTCTACGCAATCTCAAAGAGTTAGTCCGTCATTAGTTCAGCTTCGTAAATTGTAATTGATATTACTTTTTATTAGTTTTGCTTTGGATTAAGATTATTTGTCTGACGAAAAAAAGGTGTAGGATTCATTTCAAGAGCTACAGGAATTTACACAGAATGGGTTAGTTCGCTTACAATAGCGTTAACAGCAATTACAAGGTAAATGAATGGCTAGAATGGGTCTGTTTCATTAACGTCCACAAACGGCCACAAGCAAAAATGGTTGGGGTATATATTTGGCATAAGAAAGAATTTTAAGTTGGTAGACAGCTTATAATGTGACAGTCCTAATATATAGGCCTACTCAATAATAACAGTGAGAATGTGGTTGTGTCTACAGGTGTCGTTGACACAAGAACAAATTGGAAGTAGCCAACAGATATTGAATCCTCATGGTTTTCAAAATACTCGGGTAGGTATGTTTTGTATGTTTTTTATAATAATACTTGCTAAAATTCACATTTTTGTTACAACAATGCCATCATCTGTGAACATGTAAAATGTTGTTTGTGGATCTTCGCTCTGCCAACAGGGAAGCATGCATGCTTCTGTTTTATAGGAATATCCACACGCAAGACAGGCTTAAAAAGGTACAATTTTAAAAGCTTTTGTCTTGTTTATTTCTTTAATCATCATGTTACTGTGAGCTTTCATAGCCATAATATTTATTTTTTAGCTGATATCCTATTTTATGTTAAACTGTTGGTCTTCCTACTATATTCTATGCCTGTAGACGTTTGTGGATGCTCGTTGGCACTTGTGGACACAACCGTCCTCTCTGTTATCGTTCAGTAGACATACTTATTTAGAACACTGTTTTCCAACTTTAAATACCCACTTATATCTCACTCACACACACACACACACACACACAGACACACACACACACACACACACACACAACTGATTTTCCATTGCAGCCATTTTATGCTAGTGGATGTTTGTGGTCATTAATTCTACAGATTGGGCTAGAACAGTCCATTACAATTCAGTTTATCAGAGATAACATTAATATGAAACAGTTGTTAATATAACAAAATTTCATGTTTGAAATGATAAGAACTTTGATTTAAATGTCTTGTCATTTAAAACTGTACACATTTGTACACAATTTGAAGAGAAAGTTGTTCAGTTTGGCTGCTCCTTTAAGTTCTTTAATTTATAAATATTGATCTTGAATGAGTGTCATTTGGTGCTAGAACTTGTATTTTTTGGTTACTAAAGACAATTAAACATGTATGGCTTTATTCCATGAAAGTACGGGTAGACACTTGGGTAATAATATTTGTTCAACAGTTGTGTTCATAGAAAATGTGGCCCCATAAAGCTTTATATTTATCCACATTCAGCTTTTGATTTAGTCAACGTTTACATTTTCAATTTAATTTGTGAAAGTTTGATGGTTATTTTTAGTATTTTACCTTTGTAGAGTAAGTGTCATAAACATGTTTTAAATCAGTCATTTCTAACCTATTAGTAATATCAGTCCTTCCTTACACTTATAGTTAGATAAAGGTTGACCCCGGGAAAATTTGAACAATCATGGATTTTAAATATGAAATGTCACTCATTATAGATTATGATTAAATTTCTTGGCAAAGTCAGACAAAATTGATAAGTTGGTAAATTAGGGCGTATGACCCTGATTTTGAGCGCTGGTACACATGGTTTTAGTCTCATCCCATTGTGAAATACTCTAAAACTAGCAGAGATATGTCCTAAGTTACTACTGACCTTATATAGTATCCCTTAAATTCTAAAATGTAGCTGTTAAAATGTTTAAAAAAAAAATTAGCTAGATACCTACCCTGTTTACAGAGATCCAACATTAGTTAACCAACTTTATCTGACTTAATAAACCTTTTCAACATCAGTTTTCTCTTTTCTTTCAGAAAAAATATTAAGATTACCAGGAAAAGTACATAAGCTGAATAAGGAAACAAGGAACTAAGCCCAGTAAATATATGGAGAAGAAATGATAGAAATTTTGTCCAAGTGAAACATACATTCCAATATAATCTCACACTAATACTTGACGATGGCATCAGCAGGAGGAAGCTCTGGACCCGGTGGAGAGGGGGGACCATATAAAAGGTTTCCACCACCACCATCTCCAAAATTTGTGCCTAGAACTGACAATGAAGAACCGCTCACTCCTGACACAGAGGATCATGTGCAGGAACAGACTGAAGGGATTTTCAAAAATTTTATTTATCAGAGACTTCAGGATGATCAAATGAAAAATCCGGGTGATTTAGAGACACCATTTGTGCCTGAATTGACAAACTTTCACGATGCTCCTCTCAGGTATGTATGAAGACTGACATAGGAAGAATTTCCATGGAAGTATAATAATAATTGTGGAATACTTGATAACTACAACTTTCAGTATTTAAATTGCACTGTTGTTGTATTGTATTGTATGTTTGATTATAACAAGGTTGTTGTTGTTGTTATGCCTGTGTGTGTGTGTGTGTGTGTGTGTGTGTGTGTGTGCTGTGTTTACTTTATGATAAGAATTCACCATGTTACAAATTTCATCAAAAGTTTTTTTGTCATTTTATGCAACAACTTTACAGTTGTATCTTTATCTGGGGAAAAATAATTTTTTCCAAGCAGTTGAAAAAAAATGCTACTGTTGATAACCATGATGAGATCAGCCTTATCCCTCCCACTTTTGTCCTACTGTTATTTTGCACTTCTATGAAACTACTGGGTACAGGGGTAAAATCAGAATATACACACCATTTCTAATAGTATGAGTCACATTAGTTTACCACAAGCTAACATAAGTTCATGACACTTCACACAGATACATCAGATGAACAAACAAACGGCATATCTGATAAGCCACATACACCATAGAGGTAAATAAACAGCAATGTAGCACATTCATTTTGATGTCTTGATAATTGAACTCTAGATGTAAATACAGATATCAGTAGACCTGGGCTAACATATTGGTTTTTGAAATACAAATTCACAAAACTCCAACTAACTGTAATAGCCTTAGGTCATTTGATTTTGAATCTGATGATTTTATCTAAGGCTGCATTCCCAGAGCTTTTAGATCGATCTATCCCCGCGGGGAGTCTCACTAGATTACTGTCAGATAATCTGGCTTAAATGTCCGTCCCGCCTACTACAATCTGTAAGGGGGTAATTAACTTTCGTGTCCGCTCGGCTGACAGCTATTTAGCGTGAACCCCCAGGGAGTTAGGTCGATCTAAAGTAGATCGATCTAATCTCTGGAAATGGGGTCTATCAGTTCATACTAGTAACTCTGCTAATTGATTGGTGGAGGAGAGAGGATTGTGGGAAAAATTTTAAGCATTCAGTATGCACTATGGCTCAGGTAATGTCAGCAGTGAAAACCGACTTTTATTAAAATAGGCTTATGGCTGATATATGCATGTGTCACTAGTCTAGTGTGCATATGACTTGGCAGCCCTGTATTAGTAATCATAATGATGTTTTACCTGGTTTATATTGCAAAGTGTGTGTTATGTATTAGACTTCTGGGGCTTGCAGGTGGAACAAAAGTTAATTGACGTTGGATTCACTGACATGTGTTTCTGTCATAAACAGACATGCTTTGGTCACAGATCAGGTTGAATTTGTGTTTTGCAGCATCATTTTGTATTACAATTTCAGTCTGTGCTGTTAACCTTCAGGCTTATTGGCCATTCAGACCACCACTTTCCTAATTATAAAATCTACTGGTCCAACTTGGAATTCACTGGTCAGATAAAATAATTCAATGTAACTGGACATTTTCCTATTGCATTAATATTAGTAATAAAAAGACCTTTATTTTGTCAAATGTATATAGAATCAACAGAATATAACAGTTACATTTAAGAAGAAAAAATCAAAGCTCCTTTGAGAACCAGTAGAAAAAAAAAAAGAAAGAAAGACCATATTAGATCACTAAATGCACACATTCTGAAAAATCTACAGGTCATAATAAAATTTAACTGGTGTGGGCACAGACCAGTGGCTAACTGTAATAATTGCAGACAGCAATTTATAACATTTTTGTTAATTTCACTTTCAAAAAGCCCAATGAAATGCAAGCTTTTAATTTTAAATTGAAAAACAAAAGTATCAATTATGAAATGGAAGAAAGCATGAAAGTTGTTCAAATGATTGTAGTAAACACAGAAAATATCCAACCTAGAATGATTATCAAATCAAGTCTAAATGGATACTCAAAGAGTAGAAGCAATTTACTCTATGGTGTCATTCCAGGAGCTTTTGGGAAAGGGGGGGGGGTGAGGAGGGCTTTCAGAAAGTGCATAACACAGGTGGTGAACCACAGCTATGTGACACAATGGAAACTGAAGCACACCTTTACAGGTATGTTATCAGGTCCATGCACCTAAAGGGATCGTACAACTATTTTTTCTAAATTGAAACTACATTTTGTCTTTTTCAGTGCCAATGCACAGATAGGCAGGCGGCTAGCACTTATAGGAGATGACATCAATAGGAAATATGAACATGAGTTCAGAGACATGATACAGGCGCTCAGGATCACTCCAGACACAGCTTATGAAGCATTTGCAGGTGTGGCCAGAAAGTAAGTAATGGGTTTTTTTAGGACAAGGTTGGTGAGAATGTCTTGAGTTTGAATTTGTGCCATGCATGCAGTGAAACTTGTCCTTTTACTCACTTATCACACAACTAAAAAGTACATGCAAATAAGATTTTGCTGAGATAGTGTAAAAGAAAAAAAGTGATTACGTCTTGGGAGGTTGAGAAAAAGCACCAATTGTAATGTCTGTATTTTCAATCAGTTTAAGTCATCATAACCCAGGGGTCATTGGCAAAGAAAGAAAACCCATATGGTGTCTATAAGTGCTCTGTATTAGAGACTAAATTACTGTTAAAGTAATTGGTTTTGATGCAGTGATTACATTTGAGCCCCCCCCAAAAAAAAATGGAGTAAAAAAATGAATTTATAATAATAATAATAATAATAATAATAATAATAATAATAATAATAAAAGTAAAAAGCAATTGTGGTCAGTGTAAAATTTAGTCTCCCAAACCTAAGAAACAAAATTTATAATTGTAAACAGACATAGCAGTAATAGAAAAGAATTATATTTCCGAAGCTAACTGCATTAATACTCGTTTTTTAATTTTTAAAAATCCTGAATGAAATTTATTAACACTTCTTTGTGTAAACTAAAATAACGGGGATTTTTTAGAAAACAAATGCAACCTTTAAAGTGTTGTAAGTCAAGTCATGTGGCACTAATTAATCACCTTGCTTTATTTCGATACCAAAAAAAAAAAAAAAAAAAAAAGGAAAGAAAAAATTATATTCTCCTATGCCATTAAATTTCAACAAAGCCACCTGTAGCTATGAGCAAGCATGTTTTATGGACTTTTCCTGTTATTGAAGTTGTGCATGTTGCCAGCATGTGTTATGACAGGTCTTCTTGCTGATCGATATGTCATTTGGCTTCTTTTCAATTTATGTACTTATCAACTGGAATGATTTCTAAATCACCTGCAATAATTTATCTAATTTTAGTTCTTAATTATTGCATTGATTTTCTTTATCCTTATTTATCCTCACTTTATGTTTAAACACTGGTAGTTTGAGCACTTCTTAATCTTCTATATACTTTAACTTTCTTTTCAACTGTTAAAAAACTCTTTTGTGCCACTTCTTTTGTTATGCCATTTGCTTTTATATTTTTTGTCTTTCCTGCTTTATGATTTTTCCATTCTCACTCCTTCTTCTTCCTTCATATGAAGTGTAAGTCAAGCTGAAAACAGGTGTCTTTACCATGATAGGTGAGTGTGGGGTGATATGAGGACGTGGTATTAAAAGATACTGTTATATATGATAAAGAAAAATTCCTTAATCATTGTGTGATTGATAAAAAACCCTCCTAGCAGTTTCAGGTGTCAGTATGGTTTCCGTTGATAAAAGTTTTGATTTTTGTATATGTGCAGTATAGTCTTAGAGGATGTCTTATAAATATTTAATATTTAGGAAAAGTTTTAAGACCAAATACACTGATTTTATATTGGAAGAATATGTAAAAAATCACATTGCAGACCTGCAGGTTGATAATCGTCATAATTTTAACAAAAGATTCATTTTGACTTAAATAGTGATGACTAATGCCCTGAAGTGAACTTATACAATAATTTTGCTTTGTTGTGGTATGATGTGAGGGCAGTAGCCTCTCACTGTAACCACTAAATATTTAATCATTTCCTCTTTGTAAAACCCATATGATTATGTTTTGACTGAGTATCCAACAGCCCTGTCTATTTTTGACGACATATGCTCAAAAGGTCTCTGTTGTAATTTATTTNTGTAAATTTTTTTCATCCTGAATGAAATTTATTAACACTTCTTTGTGTAAACTAAAATAACGGGGATTTTTGAGAACAAATGCAACCTTTAAAATGTTGTAAGTCAAGTCATGTGGCGCTAATTAATCACCTTGCTTTATTTCGATACAAAAAAAAAAGGAAAGAAAAAATTATATTCTCCTATGCCATTAAATTTCAACAAAGCCACCTGTAGCTATGAGCAAGCATGTTTTATGGACTTTTCCTGTTATTGAAGTTGTGCATGTTGCCAGCATGTGTTATGACAGGTCTTCTTGCTGATCGATATATCATTTGGCTTCTTTTCAATTTACGTACTTATCAACTGGAATGATTTCTAAATCACCTGCAATAATTTATCTAATTTTAGTTCTTAATCATTGCATTGATTTTCTTTATCCTTATTTATTCTCACTATATGTTTAAACACTGGTAGTTTGAACACTTCTTAATCTTCTATATACTTTAACTTTCTTTTCAACTTTTTAAAAACTCTTTTGTGCCACTTCTTTTGTTATGCCATTTGCTTATATATATTTTGTCTTTCCTGCTTTATGATTTTTCCATTCTCACTCCTTCTTCTTCCTTCATATGAAGTGTAAGTCAAGCTGAACACAGGTGTCTTCACCATGATAGGTGAGTGTGGGGTGATATGAGGACGTGGTATTAAAAGATACTGTTATATGAATAAGAATAATTCCTTAATCATTGTATGATTGATAAAAAACCCTCTTAGCAGTTTCAGGTGTCAGTATGGTTTCCGTTGATAAAAGTTTTGATTTTTGTGTATGTGTAGTATAGTCTTAGAGGATGTCTTATAAATATTAAATATTTAGGAAAAGTGTTAAGACCAAATATACTGATTTTATATTGGAAGAATATGTAAAAAATCACATTGCAGACCTGCAGGTTGATAATTGTCATAATTTTAACAAAAGACTCATTTTGACTTGAATAGTGATGACTAATGCCCTGAAGTAAACTTATACAATTATTTTGCTTTGTTGTGGTATACTGTGAGGGCAGTAGCCTCTCACTGTAACCACTAAATATTTAATCATTTCCTCTTTGTAAAACCCATATGATTATGTTTTGACTGAGTATCCAACAGCCCTGTCTATTTTTGACGACATATTCTCAAAAGGTCTCTGTTGTAATTTATTTTGTGCTTTGTTTTGAAAATGAAGTGTTTTCACCCCCTCCCCCCCCCCCAAAAAAAAAAAAAAAAAAAAAAAGTAACTCTGCTGTCAAAGTAACTCTTGTATACTGTTATTAGTATTTTAGAAAAAAAGTTGACTCTTTCCAACTAGGATGCTTTGAGAAAGAGGGAAAGAGGGGGAGGGTAGATAGTACATGTATAACATGGTCAGGTGGACTGGTGCACATGCTGATAAAAACATTGCTTTTGGTTGGAAACTTGATGTAATGATCAAATCATGGGTTTGTGAAAATTTGGTATAGGACCAGTAAAGATTATTTTTAAACTAAGTACTTTAACTACTAGTAAACCTGTCCAAACAAATGGCAGTTTTTCTGATCTCCCAGTATGTACTTTGTAGTGGTAAACAAATCTTGTCCTCAGTGTCCTCTCTTGATTATCTCTGTGATAGGGCATCCAATCAAAGCATTAATGATTCATGTTGTTGAAAAGTAAACTTGGGGTCAGGCGTGGGATAATTGAAGCCTGTGTACTTGGTATTTAACGATGGGACACAATACCCTGCTATCCTGGTCAGTATTCAGAGTCTTATGACCAACCTGACCAGATTATCACAGTTTTTGAGAGATGATTTTTTCTCCTGCTTGCTTACATAATGTGTATCCGTTTATAGCAGAAGACTACCAAGGTTGAAAATTTAATAAATTGTCCTTTTTCATTGTGCTAGTAAAACTTAATGTTGCTATGTTGTTAAGTCAATAGAGTTGCTATATCTGTGATTTTTATGGACATGCTATATATGTTATGCATGTTGTCTTATTGGGGGCTGCAATCTTACATACGAGTACCTGTGTGCTTAGTGAGAACTATCATTCCACATTCAGGTTTGGACATTTTCTCGACAATGCCTAAGTTTATAATCATTACAGGACAGAGTGACCTTTGTGAAGATAAGATTAATTNCAGAGCAGTTTGAGACCCTGCATCATTATCTACTGAGGGATGATGTATTTTGCGTGCTGCCCACAGGTTACGGCAAGTCCCTGATATTCATTCTTATCTTTGATTGGTCCGGATTTGAACAAAGCGCGCTTTGACTCGTTCGCGCTCATTGGCTAGATCGTTCAATGAGTCATTGAGTGCGGGCTTTAAATTTGATTGGCGGGCGGCGGGGGCAATCGAATGTGGTCAGAGGTAACTTGACACGATGAAGATAGGCTATTGTGAAGAGGTTAGTGTCAAGTTATCTCTGAAGCTCAGGGTGCCCCCCCCCCAAAAAAAAAAAAAAAAATCGAAAAAAAAAATCAAAAAAGTAACTCTGCTGTCAAAGTAACTCTTGTATACTGATATTAGTATTTTAGAAAAAAAGTTGACTCTTTCCAACTAGGATGCTTTGAGAAAGAGGCAGAGGGGGTAGATAGTACATGTATAACATGGTCAGGTGGACTGGTGCACATGCTGATAAAAACATTGCTTTTGGTTGGAAACTTGATGTAATGATCAAATCATGGGTTTGTGAAAATTTGGTATAGGACCAGTAAAGATTATTTGTAAACTTAGTACTTTAACTGCTAGTAAACCAGTCCAAACAAGTGTGAGTTTTTCTGATCTCCCAGTATGTACTTTGTAGTGGTAAACAAATCTTGTCCTCAGTGTCCTCTCTTGATTATCTCTTGTGATAGGGCATCCAATCAAAGCATTAATGATTCATGTTGTTGAAAAGTAAACTTGGGGTCAGGCGTGGGATAATTGAAGCCTGTGTACTTGGTGTTTAATGATGGGACACAATACCCTGCTATCCTGGTCAGTATTCAGAGTCTTATAATACAACCAACCTGACCAGATTATCACAGTTTTTGAGAGATGATTTTTTCTCCTGCTTGCTTACATAATGTGTATCCGTTTATAGCAGAAGACTACCAAGGTTGAAAATGTAATAAATGTTCCTTTTTCATTATGCTAGTAAAACTTAATGTTGCTATGTTGTTAAGTTAATAGAGATGCTATATCTGTGATTTTTATGGACATGCTATATATGTTATGCATGTTGTCTTATTGGGGGCTGCAATCTTACATACCTGTGTGCTTAGTGAGAACTATCATTCCATATTCCGGGTTGGACATTTTCTCGACAATGCCTAAATTTATAATCATTACAGGACAGAGTGACCTTTGTGAAGATAAGATTAATTTCTGACCATTTTTTACCCTTAATTCAGCTTGTGTTAATAGTCAATAAAGCTATATATGAAGCATATGTTGAAGGAAGGGACAGGGGTGAGACAGCTGTGGTTAAAGTAGCTGGGGATGTTTATAGACCAGGAAATCTCATTGGCTTAAAAGTAACAGAATGAAAAACTGAGGAATTAAAACTGCACAGTGCAGGCTGGCATGGGGAAATGGGCTGTAAAAGAGACATAATGGTAACCTGGATATATTTGCAGCCTAACACATGAGGATTTGGTTTTAATGTAATGCTCTACCATTAGGCACATTGTTTGTTACTGATTACTATGATAATTATACGCCAATATGTAATGGAGGTATACTAACTCCTTCCTTTACAGTATTGTTCATGTGCTGTGGTTGTGTTTGGAAAGCACTCAAAACAATGACATCACTGTAAATATTTCTGTTTCGATGCTGACCACTTAGATTAAACGTTAATGAATTAGTAATAATATCAATTGAGACTACTTTATAAGTTTTCTATGGAAAAACTTTGTTCCATGATATGCTGCACGTCACCTTACCTGCATCTTATTTCTCTGAGTGTTAATTATTAATTGAATGCTTAGGTTGGTCCCCTCTGCCACTAACCAGGATTAGTTATGCAAGTAAAAGTAGTGTATTTCTGTAAATCAACATGAATAAAAGATGTAAATGTGAACTGAGGGCAGAGAGGGGACACCAATGAATATATGATGACATTGTATTTGTTTTTAGAGCAAATGATCTTCTTTGACCTTTTGACTTTAAGTATAGAAAAGTATGTTGGTTAACATGGCAGATCAATACATGAAGATGAATTAGCTGTCAGTCACATTTAATGTTTTTGTATCAATATATCTGTAGCAAATTAGACATGACTTTTGTTAACTTTCATGATAGTTAGAGGTATACTGAGGAATTTTGATTGAAAAGGTGGTGTTAGATTTGAATTATTTATTTCTGTCTTTATTCTGTTTGACATTCCTTTTACAACACAGAACTTACTCAGTTTTGTTAATTTTTTCAGACTTTTTGTAGATGGCCGTATTAACTGGGGAAGAATAATCACACTTCTGTGCTTTGGGTACAGAATGGCCATTGAAACACTCCATAGAGGTTTCAGGAGTTTTGTTCAAAAGATCGTCCAGTTTGTCGTCAAGTTTATTGCAGTGGAAAAAATTGCCAAATGGATTGCAGAACAAGGTGGCTGGGTGAGCTGGTTTCTGTTCATTGTGATTTTTTTTAAAATAGGGATACTCTAAGGAGATAATATTTTTTCAATGTCACTAGTTTAAATATGATTAAATAATAAATCATTTTTAAAGAGACTAACTGTATTTTCTGTCTGGGCATGAAGTTTCGACCCATCGTCATAGGAGCTTGATCACATGACCAACTTCTACCTCAGTGGTTGAAATTGTGTTTAATCTCGTTGAAAAACATTTACTTTTTAAAATATTTTTATAGGGAAAACTATACTTGTGAGAAAATGAAGAATTTATTCATTTAATATTCATTATTATTTAATTTGAAGTGGGGAAATGCTTTGTTCCTGTTAGTAATTGATTATTATATATGCTCTGTTTGTTTTCCAGGCTGCTGCCCTAAGATATGTCCCAGAGACCGTGGGGATGCCTGTATTTATGGGAATGGTGTGCATCCTGGTAACAGCAGTAGCAGCATGGTATTATTTTAAAAAGAAGTGAAGTCCAGCAATAACAATTTACACATCAGTATTGACATTTAATGTATACTGGGAAGAAACTTGTTTTGTAAAGAGCATTTTTAACTGAAGAATCTGCGCAATATGACATTTGGTTGAAAAAAAAACATATCTCATATTTGCATATTATTTCAAGTAAACGATAAAAGTGTCGGAATCTTCCTGTTTATTACATTTTGCAAGTTGACACACGTTCTACTCTTGTTTTCTCTCTTGAACACCAAGCCAAATTCAGGGTGAATATTTAGAATATTTATTGATTTATCTCTGGAGGACTGCATGTATCATTGACCCAATTCATCTGTCGATGTAAATGGCATCCAATATTGGCAGCCTTTATTTGATCTATATGAGAACATTTCTGGAACCTTTTATGTCATTTTTGACTAAGGCTTGAATTGCCAAATCTGAATAAATTTTGAATATAAATGTGGCTCTGAAAAAACATTTTACATTATTATTAAATATTATATTGGATCATTATATTAGATCAGAATATAGAGTGCTGAAGCTATTTTGTTGACATAAAAAGATTAGACACCATTTTAAATGTGCCTTCAAACACTTTACATTTTTTAATCATGAAAGGTGTTTGCTACTAATTTGATAATGTTACAGAATATGTGATAAAAAAGGCTTCCCCAAAATTAAATGTCTGGAGTCATTTGTGTAATGTCAGTAAAAATTGGTATATGTATTTAACATGATGCATTCTTCTGGAATTTTTATAGGGGTAGGGAGGGGAGATGAGAATAAACTTGATTGATTAATCACAACTTGTGCATAATACAATTGTGCGAAAGACTTGCAATAAGAGTCTAGTTTTTACATAAAGTAGAATACAATCATTCACTGAAAAATTTTTTGAGCTGTATATGGATGGTGCTGCATGGTGTTTTTAGTACAGTGAGTACAGAAATACACTCTCCCTTTTTTGTCTCAAGAGTATAGTTATAAGTGTGACACTAGCAAATTATAAATTCAAATATATATATATATATATACATATTATGACAAATAAGAAAAAAACTGCTGGGTATTCATTTGATCTCAGAACGAAATGTATATACTAGAATACTGTAAAATATAGTTTGTGTGTTGTCAATTGCCATTAATATCACTGTTTTCAAAGTTCAGTAAGCTTGCATGTGGTTGTGTCTTCATGGAAAGTGTTATTTTACATGATACTTGTGTTTTAAGTTATTGGACTTTTCAATGTTAAAAGGAAGTGCACTCTTTTCCCATTTAATATATAACACGAGGCAGAGCCTGTGGTATTGTTTTTAATTTTCTGTTATTTCTATCTACTATAAGATGGCTATTGACCTAAAGAATTTCTTTATTTAAGTGATATATCTTTTTAATGTCCCAAACTGTGTATTATGTGCATGGAGATGTTAATCAAGGCATGGTATTGCATGTTGTTTTAAATATTGACATTTTCAAAAACAATTTGCTAAAAGCGGGGCTCTTACTAATAAAATATTCTATGCAATGAAATTGATTTTTTTCTCCCTTTTACTTTATTTCCTGCAGAATAAATATGACATAATTATGAGCAATGTGAAAGTGAGCTACAATCTTGGAAATTGGAACATTTTGGCTCACTAGTTCCTCTGTTTTTCTAAAAGTTGAGGATGTGCGTTTCAACAAATTTGGGTGCAAAGTTGTTATGATAAATTTGAACTTGTCCTTCATGATATGCTCAGACATTTTTCTTGTTAATTGTTTACTTAATTTGCTCAATTTATTTTGGTATTCAATGATTTATAATTTCACCAATTAATGAGCACAGCAACTTGAGAAATGACAGTTGAGAAATTATGGATTTTGTAATTTGATTTATTACAAACTTGTGAATATAACATTCTATTAAAAAGTATAAAGAATGTGAAAATTGCACATACATGTGTCTTGTGAAAATGAATCAGATCGTTTAAATGTTGTTCTAGAAATTTTTTACTTTTTTCTTTACACTTATGAAATGCTGATATTTATCCACCAGTACAAAGCATGTTTTGAAAAAGCAAATTTAAGCTGGTGAAACTTGCAAAAAAAATCACAGACTTAATTCAGAAAAAAAAATTTAAAAAGAAAAATTATCATCTGATATGTATTATAAAAATTGCCCTAAAACAAACAAACTGAACATCTTTACGTTCAGTGTGTTACAGATCTGGTCATTTCAAGCAGGTGGGATCATACCAATATTTCCTTTTTGTATTTAAAAAATCATAACAGGTGGGTAGTTCTAAATGTGAATAAATCATAATAAAAAATATATTATTTAGGTACATATTTAACACTTAAGCAGGTATAATACTTCTCATATATATACTGGGGTATTTACCTGTTTGCAAAAATGCCATTGCTTCTAGAGATAATATGCACCATACCACAATTACTATCCTTCATTAATTTATCTTTATGCGTATGATGATTATGATCAATTTCAGGTTCATGCGTCTTTTCAGCTATTTTTGATTATATGGCATACTGTTCTTGAGCTCCACTAAGTATTCACTGACTAGAAAATAAGTTGCGCAACTTTAGCACAGCTTCAGCATGCTGCAAAAGTATTCTTATGCAACAATGTTACATTGATTGTCAAATTTACATAGAAAACAACTTAAAGCTTCTGCCCCCCCCCCAGCAATAAAAGTCAATCAGCCAAAAATAACTACAGCATATTCATAGATTGCTGAAGCATACTTAATGTAATATGTACAATTTCATAATGACAGATGGCTTTCATTTACATTACAATAGAAAGTATCATTACATTTACCCTTTAAAAATGAAACTACTGGTATTTTTAAAAGCATAAAATGGTGTTGTTTTTTGTTTATTTTTTAAAAGAACGTTATGATTAAAAGCTGTTTCCTCCTTTTCATTCTATACACAGGATGGACACTACAGTATGTTGACACTATGTTCATCTCAATCAAGTACCTTAAGCATTCATGTTTATGACACTCAATATAAAAATACAACTTTAATCATCTGTTATTATCCCCTTTCTTTCCCTTTAAGTGATAACTAAAGATCTCATATGAGCCAGATTTTGCTCTGTGATTCCTGCTTTCAAGTCTCTCATTTTCTGGCCTAGTTCTTCCTGTCTGGCCGCACGCTGCCGCCTGGCAGCATCCTGGGCTTGTTTTCTTTGTAAGGCAACAGCATCTGCATATTCTTCATATTGTAGACGGCGCTGCGTTTCATTCCATCTAGCTTGTGCTCGTTGATTTTTTAATTCCTGAAGAGAAAAAACGGTCAAGTCAATGTTTATACTGCTTATGGCATATTCTTTAATTAGTGCTGTTTTGCAGAATTTTTAACCACATTCTTTGTAATATTCAGGCAGATACTTCTCATTTTAAATACTCTTATCTAAATTTCATGTAAAACAATGATAAAAATTAACAGAATTAAATTATAACAATGAAAGTCACTTAGTGCAACCTTGAAAAAAAAACAACTCTTAAATCATGTTTGACAAGTAAACAACTGCACTAATTAAGAACAGTGTTAACTTTGTGCACAGCAACTATCAATAACCTACTGAATTATGCAACAACGTTATAAGGTTTTAATAAAGTAAAACATAAAAAACACCTAAACTTATAAGGTAAGGTTGACAAAAATATATTTGCATGCATAATAAAGAAGGGTAAAATTCAAGAATAACTGACACCAAAGGAAAATGCATCACAAGGAAGTCAGAAAACATATTTCTCATGGGAAAGGAACAAGCAATAAGAATGATTGGAAAGGAATTATACCCCAGAGACCAACACCAAGCCAAGCATCATATCTGTCAATTATCCATACCTACCTGTAGAACTGATGCATGCTACCTATGGATTCTATCTACCATAATCACTGATAAGGAAAGAGAAGAAGGGAACTGAACTATGTGTATATTTTTAATGAATTTTAAGCAACAGAGTATACATACATGCATTTAATACATTCAGGTATAAATACACATATGTATTTCTTTGGGTTCAGTTGAGCCAACATAGAAATATATGTCATGCATCCATGCTATTCTCTATTGATCTATCTTGTATATTTTAGAAATTTTTGATGAGGAAAGTGTATATATATATATATATATATATATATATATATATATATATATATATATATATATATAGTATATACACAGACAGAAATTTCAATATCATCATTAAAAAGAGAAGAAAACCATTAACTACACCTATCTAGCACAATTGTAAAGAACTAAAAATGTTTAGATTTTTATCTAAAGGCATCCCTACATGTACATGTATTCTTACCACATAATCACTCCACTCCAAGTATGCACTTCCTAAATGAATGACATTTTAGCTGTGTAAAACTGATTCTCAATGATCTGAACAAACTGCATGGTAAGGTTTTGGCTGTTGTATCTGTGTTGATGATATCTTGTTTTATCAATACCACTTGTATTGGTATAAACAAACCTTTGAGTTTAACTTTGCCCATTTATAAACACCTTAAAATAACATACCTGTCTTCGCTCTAGTGTTTGCTGCATCGCACGCTCTCGATCCTGCATAACTGCTTCACGTTGCATCTGTCGTTGTCTCATGGCTTCTATCCTCCGTTGTTCCACCTCGGACTCTCTCATTGCACAGGCATCCATCTTCCTGCGAATTTCATCCCCAATCTGCTTTTTGGCATCTCTAGTTCTCTCAACTTGCATTTGGGCCTGGCGCTGACGGTGCCTCTCATTTTCCATGTGTGCCTTTAGATTTTGTCTGTAGCTGTCGTGGGAAGGAGGATGCATTCCGCTTCTGTGGGGAGCAGTTTTCTCCCAGGAATGGTTCTTATCCATGATTCTCTTCGCTCTAAAACAAAAAACACACAAATATTGAAATTAATGCATTATTTAGCACTATATCACCAATATAATAAGTCATAGGTGGGAAATATTAATTCTCACCCTTACCAGTACGCGAAAAAATCAATAGTGAAAAAGATATCTTAAAACTGTGAAGAAGAATATATAAACTGTCATGAACAACAATTTTTACCTGAAATCTCTCCCTTGATGGTCTTTGTGAGGAGTCTTTTCTTTACTAGGAGGATGTGGCTGTTTGGTGCTCTCCTGGAAAAGGTCTCTGTCGTATTTGACACTATGGTTCACGGGTTTATACATAGTATCTGACCACTCCACTGAAATAATTGCTATACATTAAAATGTGTTCACTAATGTGATGGGTGAGACATATCAACCAAACAGATTCGCCTTCTCTAAAGAACTAAATCTTCTGTTGGTAAGTGAAAGTACATGTATCTAAATGAAACAATTTAAAGTGAAAGTGTACATGATATTTTTTTATGCAATATTACAGATATGCTCATACATTTTTAAATATTAAACTTAAAATTTAAAAGCAATTGTCAGACATAGAGAGATTCTATTTACATACCATAGCCATTAGGTCCAATTGTTGGCTCTCTGCATTCCAAGGGAAGGGGTGTGGCACTTTCATTGTAAGGCCCTGGGGTGGGAGGGCCTATCAAGGCAGGACTTGGTTCATTGTTCCAATACTTCCATGGTGGCCTGCTCTCCACTGGGATTGTTTTCCTTGTTCCAAAATTTGGGGACTTTGATCTGCGGGTTTGTGTCGCTTTATCTTCAGTGTCAGAAAGGGCTTCATCTGATCCAAAACTGTACCTTCGCCTCCTTCGTGTGTAACCACCGGGATCTGATCCCGTCCAAGTTCCAACACCACTGTCAAGGTCTATCTCTTCTTCCCAATCACTTTCATCTTCAAATGTCACTGACCTCCTCCTGTGAAATGTGTCCATGGGCACATCATCCATGTCCTCAAATGACACAGATCTCCTCCTCAGAGAGGCCTCTTTCTGCATTTGCTTCCTTCTCAACAATCGCTCCCTTTCTTGTCTGATCTTTACGGCCTGTCGGTTTCGGCGCTCCCTGTTCATCTGACGCTCATCCTCATCGTCCATTTTGTGTTCCATGATCTGTGACATTACTTTCTGGTTGAGCTGCTCTTTTGTTAGCCCAGTTCCAGGAATTAGCTTACTCATCTCTTCACTTTTTACTGCGCTGGGAGGTTTCTCCATGTGTTTGTGGTGTACTGGGTAGATAGGGACATAAGAGGGGTGGTGATACAGGCCTCGGTCAATCATGACAGGGGTATGCACCCTATCTACATACACTGGTGCTGGCAACTCATACTCTTCAGGATCTGCATCTGGTCCTGATGTGGGGTAACCCGGGAGGTTATCAAGGGGATACCTGTCTTGGGCCTCGAGGGTTTTTCTTGCTTTGGGTGGCATTTGAAGTTCAAACTTAATTCTCTCATACAGGCCATCAGGGATCCATACTGCCACGCCAGGATGGACTTGCTCCGTTCTGCCATTGAAGAAATTCACAGTGATCAACTCATCCTTTGCAGTGCCTGTTTAAACGAATAAAGGAAATGAATTTTAATTTAACTAAATATTTAAAAAATTCTAATTTAAAAATTTTAATTTAAAAATTCCAGCACCAAAAGTATTCATGAATTATTGCATTAAATTAATTTATTAAGAATTAAAAAATTCCACCACTGGAAGTATTTATGATTTATTGCATTATATTAATTGTTCCTGAACCAAATACATCAAAAATAACATCTGAAGTGTTTGCAAAAAGAACAGGTGTGTCTGGATAGTCCAGAGTTTCATTGTAACATTTTCATCAGTTTTTAAATAAAATGGTTTTGTTGGGTCAAAAGTTCTAAAGTTAACATTCGGACCAAAGAACCTTTGGATTATTAAACCTCTAGACTACTGTCATGCACCAAAAAAGAACATGCTTAAATTTCTAAAATATCAAAAACCTACCCTCAGCAAATCTTTTCTCACATCCATCAATTACAATTCCTGGGCCAAATTTCTCTCCTTCATGCTGCCAGGGTGCTAGAACATGATCTTCAGTCACAATGGAATGCCGCAGTGCATCAGCATATGAGATGATATCATAAATGTGAGTTTCCTGGTAAACAGTATCTTTGAATTTCCCTCTTTTGCAGGGTCCAAACTCTACCAGGAATTTGTCTGCCATAACCTGAATATATGACAATAGGGTCAAAGTTTTATGACAAAAGTTGATCGTCTAATAAAATCAAGGCAGTTTAAAATATCAGATCAATATCACATTATTCTAATATCAACAAATAAACATCTAGACTGTGACATCCAATTAAATAACACGCAATAGTTATATGAACCCATCTTAAGGAAAATTTGTATAATAGATAATTAACCTACCTGACTCTTGACAGTGCCCATGTAATACAGCCCATCCTCTGTTCTCCTGGCCAGTACTCTGTTTCCTATCAACAAAGCACCTGCTGCTGGTGACAGGGCCACTGGATTGGATGGATCTAACTCTTGTAATTGCTTCTGTTCCTTGAGCCAGCTATGGGCGGGTCTGTAACAGGACCACATCTGGTATCTTGGGCGAGGGATGTGGTACACAGCATCTTTAGTAACAACGACCCTTGGTGCAGGGATAGGATCCACAATGGCTGTGTCTCCTGCTACAACCACACTTGGCTGCAACCCCGGAGATAAGTACACTGTGGAGGAAGGGGGTGCTGCCAGTGTCGTGGTCAGAGAACAGAATTTTTCATTGGGATATAAAACTCCCTCTGTTGATTTGATAATTCTAGCTGCGGCTCGTTCTGATTCAAAAATGTGTGTAACTTTTTCCACACACCCGTGTTGTGTTATAGTAACTATATCGAATGAACCATACGTCTCACGAGACAGATCTTTCAGGAATTCTGTTGCAGCACTATCAGCCTCGTTACCGTACATGAGATAAATGCAGTGTACTGGTCTGCTTTGACTGGCATAAGAAACATGGTCAAGAATGTCACTGGGGTGCTGATCAGGCAGACCATCTGTAACTAGATATACTGCCTCACAGCCTTGATCACTGAAAGCAGTCAGTAAGGCGTCCTGAGTGTTCGTCCCTGTTTTGGCACTAAGTTTCTTTATCCATGCTGCTGCAAATTTAACAGTCTGTGGGCTGCATTTCACCATCTTGTCAGCCCACTGTGTAACCTCAGAGTTGAATTCTATGATATTAAACATAGTGTCCTCCCTCTCATGGGCTCGTTTCACTAACTTCTCAATCAGCTGGTCCTTAACCACTTCCAGTGACATGTACATGCTGCCTGACGTGTCGATGAGGAAAGTGACGTTCTTTTCGGGCACATCCCTGAACATGGTTGGGGGCTCCAGGGCAGCAACCTCTCCAACAATTGGATATGCTGTCATCTTGGAAGTGTATCTTTGGTGGCTTGGTCTACTGTTATGTTTCACTGTTTGTCTTTTGGAGTAGAATCTGTACAGTGTATATAAGCCTGCAAATAACAATTAATACCAAATAATTAAAAAGATATGCCATTATGATAAACACATTTTGCACTGTGCTCTCTTTTAAATCACAGTCAAAATAGTTATAACCTGCGACTTCTCTTCAATTTACCATAAAGCGACATACAATATATTTCTAAAATACACGTGTTTTAACAGTGTACATGTACTCGTAGTGCCAATTAATATTACTAGTAATACCCGGTATAGCCGATATACCCGGTATTAGAGATGTTTACTTCAACATTTGATCTTCGTTAAGGTCATACAACACCTACATAAAATCTACTGTCGAGCAGATCTATGTAAACGTTAATCACGGCAACATTAATCAAAGTTGATTTTAACCAAATTCTCCAGCGCACCTTTTAAAATACGCTTATAAACAAATTACAAATGTTAATAACTTATTATGACAATCAAATTGCACCATATATTCTTACCTAACGAATGTGTATAAAATGTGCTGTCGATTTTCTTTTCTGCCTATTGGTGCATTGTTATATTATAGTGTTGAGTGTTATTTCTCTTCCCCCAACAACATCATGTTTATTGTTGCCAAGGCCGAGTCAATACGTTCCACTCTACTCAGCGAAAGTGACGCCACCTATCGTACTTCTCAAGCCCTCCATCTTTCGTCCCAAATAACTTGCAATTTTAGATACTTTGAGGCGTCCCACTCACCATGTCGTCTCGTCTATTGCAAGCAGTAAAAGTAAGTAAGCTGTATTTTGCTGCAAGAAACACATAAAGCATTTCTGAATCTGTAAACTCGTAAATATGATTGCAAATGCCTTTGCTTGCACAATGTCAATCGCCCATGCCATGGCCGAGTAAAAATCTTAATTTGAAAATAATTTATACATATATATATTAATATAACGGCTTGTAAGGGTTATGTTTTGCTTAACCGGCGAAAGAAGTTATAATATTAGATTTTTATTGTCACATAATCTAAGACGTAAATGTCTGTAAACCGTCATATGTTGTCAATAAATTGGCACTTTTGCATCCACCTTCCCACCCTATAACTCTTTAATTTTCAGTATATTTTAAATATTAAGTGATGTTTTGACTTTGAGCAGTGTGTCCGCTCTTCAAATTTATTAGTTAGCGGCGCAGTGTATGACTTAGGGAGGTGACGGGTAACGTTTCACAGCTCTCACATTTTGGTGGATGTGCTTGCTGGATGCACCTTCATCTTTCATGTGTAAAACACATACCACGGATGGTAAATAGGAGTCCTAACTCATGAATTTCTGTGCCATCTCACGTGTTGCCATAATCATGAATCCAGAATTTTGTTTGAAGCTGTCAGTTTTTTCCACCCACCTTCACATGTCCACACTGTCATGGATCCAAGAATTTTTACACCTTGTAGTCATAGATTTGTGAAGGTAGTTTTACTGGTAATTTTTACAAAAGTCAAATTTTATTTGGTACTTTCAATTTCTAAATTTTCAGGTATGCAGGCCCTGTTTGACTAGGCACCTCTTGCAACAGACACAAAGAAGACATATGTCTGGTCTAGAGAAAGTGACTCGTATTATAAAGAGATCCCTAGGAAACGAATCAGTGTATGTATCTTTATTTGACACTTTGTCATCAATTTTCTTGAGTGTGACTTGTGAAGCTTTTTTTGCTAATGGCATGAATTGGATTTTTTTTTTTTTTTGTGGTAGTCTGAAACCATTGCATTAAGGCGAGAAGAACATTTAATTTAGAACCATCAAAATTTTCCAGTTTCAATATAGAACTATAAGTAGAAGGATCTTTTGTCATCTGTTGAAATTGTGAATTTATCACCATCTGTGGTAAGGTGGAGCATTTTTTTTTTGGTACCAAAAGTGATCTATTAGTCCAGATATTTATCATAAGACTAAGGTTCATTTCAAATGAACTCTGTGGGGACTCCTGCTGAAGGCAATTAAATTAACAGAACCTGGTGTTGAGTACAGGAAAGTTAGTGATTACTCACAATTGCAAACAAGAGGAGGCATGTTAATCTGATTGCATTCAACAAGAGTCCTCACAGATTTGGATCGATCTACGCAGAAAGTTAGTCTCCTTCACTTGGGAATGAGCCTTAAGATTACAGATCCTTGATACTTAAATATAATATCCATTATAAGCAGGTGGAGCAGGTTGGATTGGATGGAACTTGAAACATGCCAATTTGAATAACACTAAATCTTTGGTCTGAAATTGAATGAGTATCTGTTTGCCAAATTGAATCTTCTTCTTGTGAAATTTTTTGTTTTGATTAATTTTTTTGCTGTTTTTTATTTTAGATATTACAGAGATGGTGACTGCTATGATAAGGAGTATGTAGAGATACCATACAATGTAAAATTTGGCGTCTTGACGTTTTTATCATGCTTATTCTTTTACTTCTACTACCATCCTATGATAGAAAAAGTTGACAGGGTAAGTATTCATAAGTGTAAAAAATCTTTACATAATTTAGACCATATTGACATATGGAGTCTTTCCGTTTACCTGGATTAATTCATTGGTTGTATAAGGGAGGTTAAATCATCAACTTGAATTACATGAAACTTATCACTTATGATACCATTAATCAACACATAAATGTAATGAATCTTTTTTTTCCTTTTTCTTATTTTAGCCACATTATCATGGTCCTAATTTGCATGAATTTACCGATGAGGAACTTGGAATCCCACCAGATGATGAGTGAATGAATAAAATGTAATAAAATATGACAGCAGAACATTCACTGTAAAAATTTGACCTTTTATGGTTATCGCACTGAGTGTTCAATAATATGGATTACTTGCGAGAAAAAAAGTTGTTTGATGATTCATGCAAAATAAATATTTATTCAGTTTTTAGAAAGTGTTTTTTTTTCTTACAGAAATAGTTAAATGAATAATTGTATAAATGTACAATAAAAAAAAACAAAAACATAGTAAAGTATTTTGTAAAGTTAAAGTTTTGATTAAAGCCATTATATAAGCAAGCTGGATGCCCAGATAAAATTGTTCTGTTAGTTGTGTTTAAGTATTTCCAAGACGTGCCATTGATTCCATTCATTGAAGAGAACCTCTTTACGTATTTTAAAATTTGTACAATCAAAGCTTTCCTCCTTACACGGCAATAGGTAAACTAGTTGATTAAAAATTTCAGTAATATATAATATTAAATGACAATGACTAATCAATTTCACATTTGGCAGATGCCTTTTTGGGTGTATTTCAGTCTTTATTTTTTTTATTCCACACCTTGACTAGCTGGTGTTATGCTTTTCAGAAACAGAGCACTGGTCTTTTCATGACACTTAAAAATTTCATCAATTATTAGGCTCAAATTATGGGATACCATGAGTCTATGGGGTGGTGCCTGATGATGACTGGAAGCTGAATGTCATTTGTCAAATTAACTGGTTTTGCAAACATCAAGCACTGATGCATTTGAGTACTTGGTTTGTGTTCTAAGATGGGTGCAGTGGCCCAGAAGTCTTGGCTTGCTGAGAACTCATTTTTCATGGAAGGAAAATGTCTCCCAAAAGGGAAGTTATGGAAGTTAACGCACATACATTGGACTATACTTTTTGTGACATGAAGTGTTTTTTCTAGCAATTGTTATGTTGCCTTTTTGCTGGTCCTCCACAAAAGTCATAATTTCCATAATTGTCTCAATATCGTGACGTCTGCCCTGGACCTCCATAGTTTGGGCATGTGGGCATGCCTTCATATGGGCCTTCAGACCTGCAGCAAAGGAAAAACTCTTATGGCACCTTGGCTCTCCTGGACACTTCCACTTGATGGGCATTTTCTTCAAAATGTTCCCTTTTCACAATGATTTACAGATCTAATTCCCAGATGTTGTCAATTTGCAACCTGATGGGAGTAAAAGGCTCCCCAGTGGAATTTTTAACAAGTTTTTAAATGTCACCAGTCTGGGGTGAACTTGTGGATGTAGCTGGTGCATAGGCAATGTCCCAGTGCTTGGTGTATTCTCTTGGACTGTAGTCTGCTTATGGTTTCTTGTGTGCAAACAAAAGAGCAGCAAATGGGTGGTCTACACTATAGATTCCAGTGCACTCCCACTCTGGAAAAAGAAATTGGCCAAATGAGACGTGCATGCTGTGACCCAATCCTTAAATTACATCACTCATTGAATAATTCATTAAATACTTGAGAACGCAACTATTTGATTATATGCTATTGCTTAACTTTCCTTTGGTGACGTTAGTTAAAGAAATCAATATTGATTTATTGAATTGAAAGAGTGTTATCTTGGTTAGTCATTTTCAGGGGCGGATCCAGAGATATTTTCTGACAGTCTTCCAAATTATATTTGCTAATCCATCCTCAATTTTTTGACTGTCTTCCAACAGAAAAAACTAGATACCCGTCAATGTAAACTTGAAAATCTGACCGTCTTCCGGAAGGCTCAGAAGTCGGTCTCAATCCGCCCCTGATTTTTGATGGTTGCAGTGTGCAAAGTGACTTGGTTTTACCTTCATGTGCTTTGTCTATTACAATATTAAAAACCCAACAATATCCCTCTTATTATTCTTTATGATGAATAGTTGAAAATGGCTAAATTAGCCCAGCTACAATTGAGGCTGCATCTTTAAATGATTAAAGGCATCAGATATGGAAAGATTTTTGAGAATCTTGAGATCCATTATACAATGATCCATATCAGAACTGCTGTTCATCACACATTGACTTAGTTGCATTTCTTCATTTAAAAAAACTCGGGACAGTCGCTTCTCAAAAGCTCTGGAGTGAGAAAAATGTGTATGTCTAAAGATTTCTGTGTTATAAAGGAAGTTATACGTAACAGAAATTTAAAATGAGATGTTCCCTGTCACTTTTCAGTCCCCTGTGTCAGGTGACCTCTAGTACTACTGAATGAAGTGTTTTAAACATTTTTTTCCAAATTTAGATTATTTTTAAGGTAATCTGCCCAACTTACCTTTCCTAAGTGTAGTTTATGTCCTTGTGACAACTTACCCAAATTGCTTTAAACATTTAAATGCAGTAATTAATTTTTTTAGTCTTTTTAGAGTCACGCTACCGAGATATTTACAAAACTTACCATAAGGTTCTGCTGTATTTGTCTCTATGCTGTTGTTGTGAACATAGCAGAAGCCTGGCTATTTATAGACCATTCACAAAAGTTAATCTAACCCCAAATTACTCGCATTAGGTACACCTTGTTTGTTCTTCTTTCAACAGTTATTGCTGCCAAGTAATCCCTATCAAAATGCCTTTCTTTCTGAACAACTGGCAGCACAGGAAAGTCGTTGCTAATGGCCTATGATAGCAAGGTGGATAAATTGATTTTTGTTTCTTTGTAGACTTAGGATTCTATAACTACACGGAAAAGTACATGCCTTGCTCTCTTATTGATCTTGAAGTGTGTCCCTTTTTGTCTGTCAAACCATGGCACAGGTGTAAATAAAGAATGTTTATAAAGCAAACACAAGGCTGGCATTTGAATTTGTCTGGGTGTCACAGGGCTATGTCAGCACTGAAAGTTTTCTATTTGTAAATGCCAGACACATTGCTATGCAATTTTCATATGAAAATTAGGTTAATGCCAGTTGATTTCTGTATTTGACAAAACTTGGGTGTTGTTGATTCCAAACTACATAAATTTAAGAATTAAAATTTGAATACAACAAATAGTTGTTTCTGCAATTAAAATACCCCCTCCCATTAGAAGTACAATATTTTAATGAGTGTTTGTGAATGAGGCTGTTTTTGAGTTAAACTTCCCTATTTTTTTTTTTTTTTTTTTTAGGTAATCAATAATTTGAAAAACAACTTCAATTTTCCAGTTTAAAAATCAACCTTTGGCATTTACAAGTGAAAATGAAAGGAATGTGTGTAAATAACAATTGTTTAAGCCCAGAGAAAAGACTTTTTTTTACACACATTCAGTTTTTAAAGTCATTTTTATATACGTACACTGAAGTTATCTGTATTTATGCCTCTGTAATTTTCTCCCGTTCACTGGCTTTTTAAAAATTTCATTACATCAGATTTTTTGCAAGCATAAAATTTTTATATTGATGCCTATAGCAAAAAGTACTTATCAAAATTTTTCTTATAAAAAGGACCTTATTTACTGAAAAAGTTTCCAAATCATTTAACTTTCACTCATTTTATTTGAATTCAGCAGTTGAAATTGTATGTAAATTGCACTACAGCCACCAAAAAGGTTTCCTTGTTTTGTAACAGATTCATTGAATAAAATTAGACCAAAACCTTGTATGATGACTCAGGAGTGTAAGCTTCTTTCTTTGAGAGTAACCACAAATATCCATAAAAGAGAATCAAATCAATCTAATCAGGGAAGAATAAAAACAGATCGGCAAACTGCAGGCTTACCTCATAAATATCTATCATAGTTTTACTTCAAAAGACCAACATGAAAATATGTATAAAATAAGATAAAAAGCAGTGTATAATATTCATATTTTTACCCCAGGAGTGCTGCAGTACCAGCTGCTGCACTCTGGGCTGTATAGCTGTATGTTACAAAAACTTCTTACGACTCTAAACAGCCAATGAAATATATTGTGATGTTCTTTTCTATTTGTATGCCTCATTCATTCAGTGCTTAAGAGCTGTCTAGTACACTGTAATGGGTTTGAGAAAAACAAAGTCAATATAATCTTCTACTTAAATTGCACAGGAAGCTATCTTTGACTTGGATACAATCATTATCTGTTCTCTTTCTTTGCAGACTTCTGTTGTGGCTTTTGTCCTGTGCATATAGGTTTATGTCTGGTTAGATGGTGTTTTTGTGCAAATTGCCGTCCACAAAGATCACACTGAAAATCTTTAATTCCAGTATGTACCAACATATGTTTTTTGAGATTCTGCAGTTTAAAGAACTGTTTGTTGCATGTCAAGCAATTGAACACTCTTTCTTTGGTATGGACATATTCATGAGTCTTGAGATCTGAAGACCTGGCAAACATTTTGCTGCAGTAGGAGCACTTCAGCTTCCTCTCCCCTGTGTGGGTGATCAAGTGGGACGTAAGGTGAGCCTTCTGACGGAATGTGCGATCGCAATGAGGACAGCTGAATTTCTTTTCACCTGCAACAAGTTAATGATGGTAGATATAACTGGGCTAGTGCTCCTCATGTCAAAATGCACTTAGATCCTTCAATTTTACATGTGGGAGTCGCCAAAACACATACACAGATCCATTCTGAGCATCATTTGGACCAAATAAGGCATTTAGCATGTACAAATTTATCCACACATACCCTGTACTATATCTACTTTACACTTATCTAACAGCACAAATAAGCATTAAATGTCCAAAACTAACAAAATAGTCTGTAAAGTGAACACACTCACCTGTGTGAATGGACCTGTGCATCCGGAGATTACTGGCATCAGCAAACTGTTTATGGCACACCCTGCACTGGTGGGGCTTCAGTCCCATGTGGATCAACATGTGGGTGTCCAACTTAAACCTGTTGGGAAACCCTAGGAAAAAGTTTTCGACAATACAACATGAAGATCAGCATGAACTATATGTAAAATATAAAATAGACAGAATTTGTATGCACTATTCAGGATTCATTGAAATCAAGTGGAAATTATTGCACAATGTATTATAGTTGCATTGATGATGAAAGAGAGCTGTATCTGGATCTGTTTTGTACAAAGACCAATTATTGGTTTGACAGAAGGTTATTTATAACCAAAATACTCCTCTACCTTTTGAACACACTTGGCATTTATGTTTCTTGGAGAAAGAGTCAGCATGAATGTATTTGATGTGTTGAGCAAGAGCCTTACTGTCCACCAGCTGTTTATTGCAAATATCACAGAGAAAAGCACCTTCTGGGGAAAGAGTAACACCTAGAGAAGAAAAGGAATTTGATCATGCATTCAAATCAATGTTGAAAATATCTAAAGAAACAAACCAACTGAATCGACCAAAGATGCACATGACAGTGTTTTCTAGGTTAATGCAGTTTCTCACACATAAGGCTCTAAAACAAAAGTTCCACCTTATACTAATTGCTTCGATTTTTTTCATAACTTCAACCAAGTCTTTTTAAAAAAAAATAACATTCACAATTAGGAGGGAAAAGTCATCAATTTACGGCCAATATTACTTTATCATTTTTCCTTGAAATTACCTAATTCTTTACAATATTCCCTGGAATACCAAAACGCAAGTTCTGAGCCAGGCTGGATATCTTTGCACGTAACAAAGAATATGCTCTCTCCCTCCTGGTAAGCTGTGAGGTTCTGATCACTATTTGTCTTGGCTCTCTTCAAGAACATTGTCCAGTTACTGACATCTTCATCAGTACACATCAATATATTGCACTCCTCAGCACAATGGATCTGGAAGAGAATATCGTGATAGAGTAAAATGTTACAGTCTATACTATGCCAGTGAACAGCACTACCCTTCAAGCAAATGTTTACATGATGACACCCTTCAGGCAAAGAGACACAGGTTGTAAAACTGTGCTGAATTTTCAATGAAACTGCTTGATCTGCATAAACAATGGAGCTATTTAGAGTAAATTTCATACAATGTGAAAAACATTGTAATCATAAAATCTTTCCTCTACAATACTACTGGCAATACTCAGCTTCAAAATTATATACTACTTATTTTGTTCAAAAACTCACCTTCCAAAAAAATGGAGGGCTCAAATCTGCATCTTCTGAGAAATTTGAAAGAGGTGCCAAGTTTCCTACTACAGGTCCGAACTTTGTTTTCTTGGGGATCAATTCTGAAGACCACACACCTGTGTAAAAAGTGTTTTTAAATTATCTTTATGGTAAAAGTATTTTGTAAGATATAACATATACATTGCATAAAGCATGAACAAAAAACAAAAAATAATGACAAATTTCTCAAATGAATTCAACAAAAGTTACTCATTGTAGGGCTATACACCTATGCTTTAAATTAAGCAAATAGCACTATAAAAATACATTAGTTAAAAAAATAGTTGTAAGTTATTCCTTTAATTGCTTCCAAGAACATTATCCAGTTACTGAGTTACTGTTATATATATATATATATATATATATATATATATATATATATATGCATTTAGCAACCCCTCAGTATATATCCCTTACATGGTTAGAAAATAACTAACTGTATCTTAGGATTATACTTTATGGGACAGGTGTATGTATGTATGTGTGTGTTCTACATCAGTCAATATAGTCTCACATCTTCTAGGAGCCTTGCCAAGAAACCCCAAATAAAAAAGGCACAAACAAAGTATTCTTGCAAGTTCGAAATATTTCTATTCCCTACCACTTCTGAAAATAAATCAGTCACTTTAGGGTTAAAATAAAGAAGGATTCCCAGCATATGAGCAAATGTTTAAAGTCGACGGCATGACATTACAGAAGACTTACCTAAATCAAAGTGTATTCTACTATTTTGATCAAACTGTATCCTACTGCTTTGTAAAGATAGCTGGGCTGGCAAGGAGGCTCTGGCTCTGGATAAAACGGGTGTATCAAGCACATGAATGTATTCCCCACCATGCTTAGAGCAAGAAGACTCATAGGTACAGTTACATTCAACACAATCTGAAAAATAAACTATAAAATTAGTATGTTTATGCTCAGTATTTAGGCAAGGAATAAAACGTACTTTCAGATTTTAATTCTACCATTCGTTCTAAATGAGTACATATTCTAAATATTCAATATTTATCCTTTTGTAAATGATGTTACAGTTAAATATTAGGTCACATTAGACTATTTTTATGGTCCAATCAAATGCACTGCAAATGTATAAAATATATACACATTATATTCCTGTGACCAAGACTGACTGAAAACAGTGTAATACTAACAAAATGTTTGCAGAGATTGTACAGTCTGTTCATTGCTATCCTCCTCTATGAGACCATGTTTTCTTCCCTCAGTGGCATGGTGTGCAGAGTCTGCCAGGGAGGTGTCTTGGGACTGAATGATATATTCTAACACTGAAAATAAGAACAGAACAACATAACATCCCCTAGGTCTTTCCTCACACTAAAACACATAACAAATAAATCAGCCAACTTTAAATTCAGAATTGCAGAAAAAAAATCAATAACAAGCATTACTAAATCAGATGCATATAGCAATATCTGGATATTCCAATGAAGAAAAAAAAGGTTAAAACTGCCATACCTTGCATTGTAGGACTTAGTAGATGTGTATTCTGATTTTCTTTATCAGAAGCTTGTATAGCACTTGTGGCTATGGTTAGAGCCATTGAGACTGGTAAATCACCATGGGAAAGCACATGAGCTCTTTTCTCTGTAGTCTCTCCTACAATGTGGTTTTCTTCATGTAACTGAAATTTTGTTACGATAAACAACATGTATAAATTCTGTGGACATAAATGCTACTAGCACCTTGATAGCAAAGACTACATTTGGGAACAAGATCAGTTGATATCAAAAACATTTTTGATCTTTGTTACATGGTGAAATGAGACAATATCACTGGGCCGATATAAATACCTCATCGTGGTGGGATTCCTGGCTGTTTTCCTCCTGGCTGCCAATCAATGTCATGTGAACTATATCCAGAGAAGGTGTAATACTGGGCACTGGAGTCACGCAGGAGCTCAAAGAACCCATGCCTGAGGCTAAACTGATACTTGGGGTAATGTTTTTTATCTCTGGGGTTGGGGTTCTAGACGAGTCAGACTCTTGGGAACTTGCAACCTGTCCAACAGTATCTGACACCTGAACATGGTGTAAGTGGCTGTTTATATCAAAGTGCTGTATGGAAGAATGATGGACATCTGAGGCACTGGTCCCATTGCTGTCTGTACCTGTGGTGTGAGGTAGGCATAGTTCCTGGGCAGTTGTATTGTGCTGGACATCTGGGCATGGCGTGCTAGTGTCCACTGTTGAAACCTGGCTGTGGTGTAGGCCAGTGTGAGGAAAGTGAGCAAACTGGGGATTGAACTGATGCAGAGCACTTGGGACACTTGCAAGGGGAGTGCTGGACAAACTGCTGGGAACTGATGAGACGTGGATGTCCACAGTTGTCACCTGGCTTGAGGTCACCCCAGGTGAGGTACATGATGTCATAGCAGGCATGCTGTGAGACACACGAGGTCCAGCTTGTGATAAGGAAGTTATAGGAGGCACTCCTATTCCATGGCCTAACAACCTGCTCAATAAAGCTGGAATGTGCTCTGGGGCGTATCCAGTCGGGCCAGTATTTATCCCTGTTGTGGAAGAGGAACTCAGGCCAGGGGCAGCATTAAATACTGGGATCTGCCCTATAGATGTGATCAAGATGTCCTGGGCATGGCCGCCTCCTATGGACATGGGCAGGGACATAGGCAGTGACACTGGCATCCTTCCTGAGGTTTCTGATAAATGATGTGGAAGACTTGGAGCAGATGAACTTCCCTGGAGATGACTGGGTCCAGACTGCATGGAGGGGGCTCTGATTGGAATAGGGATTGCCAGAGGTCCTGTAATTCATGTAAAGAAAATGAGTAATAAATCGTATGTAAAGCAGGTCTTCTTGATTTCTTTCATACAACTTGTACTTAACACAGTTATTATTTGATACACTATCACTCTCCTTTTTCCCACTTACAATGGAAACCCTATTCTTTATCCAGTATAGATTTGAGCACATCTCACAAAAAAGTGACATTCATAACACTTTGATCATAAATGCTAGCGTTTTACCTGGAAAGGGAAGTCTGTTATGCTCCATATGAAATGGGCGGTTTTCATGCTGTAGAGGAAACAGTCGATCTTGAACTGAAAAAGATTAAGCAAATTTGAATATTTTATAACAAAAGACATTTGGGACAAAAACCTACACTAATTATTATGAATTTTGTAATCTTCAGCAAGAAAAATTTCACACATAACTAGCTCATATCAAAGTTAGCTCTGCTTTTCACCTACAATTTCTACACATTCTTTTACATTTACAAAATTTTCAAGTTCTCACACAATTAAAGTGTCGAGCAGAAGACTACCTCTTATATATCAACTTTAAACTACATGGTTGAAAACTAAAACTGTCAAAATATTTTTCATATTCACATAAATTTTTGAATTCCTTTGGTATGAATTACAAGGAACTATTTTACACGGAATAAGTGTTCTGTCTAAACTTCTTTTCTATCTACCTGAAACTAAATGGAATCTGTCAAAATATATTTAAATAATTTCCCTTGTTCCTTGGTATACCTTACCAGGAATGAGTGTCCTGTCTAGAAGTGACCTGTCCTGTATAAGTAGTGGCCTGTCTCCAAGAGGAAGAGACAGCAGGAAGGGTGCAGATGCTGGCAGAATATTAGGAAGTGATGACACTGTGGGAGTACCTGTGGAAAGATATATATTAATGAAAAAAAGTAAATATAATTAATTTGAATTAATGGAAATAGCTGACAAGGTATGACACACTGAGATGATATAGTCATCATATACAACATATCATCTGTTTTATCATAAATGCAACAATAGAAATATAAAATAAAATCGGTATAAGCTTATAACACTTCTGTATTCTTTCCTAATGAAGAAATTTATCCATTTTTCTTTTCTGCTTCTAAAGGTATAATTTACGTATATCATCGTATTGTAAAATTTTGCAACATTGCTGACATTTATCTATATAAACTCTGCTAGGCAGTAATAAAAACCTTGTGAAAGATAAGCTTTCAAACATGAAATAAATACCAAGATTTTATAAAATACCCACCACTTGTTTGCAATAAGGATGACCCAGGAGGTGTACGTGGGAGTGGGTCATGTCTTGTATGGGATGGTCCTGATAACATAGGTGTTGGTGTCACATTCACAGTGTTCTGCACTGCTGAGGTTAACTGCTCTATGCTAATAGTGGACAGGGAGTCACTCATACTGCTTTTAGACTCCATTTTAAAGTAACTGAAATTAAAATATAGTGCATATTTAACTTTCTACAAATTTACACTTTCTAATAATTTCTATTTCCTCAAGTAAATCCCAGTGCGTACATTTAAAACATTATCCTAAAATTTTAATAACACTCTTTCTTCACTCTCTCTTCACTATTTCTTTACGTATTATATATTCAATATCAATACATTCAACTATAGACTATAGTAGTCTCCTGTTCAACTCCTTTTCTACAAACACTATAAAGGGTGGGCTACATTTGTAACAGGGTTTCTTGTTAGTTTACATCAAATGTCAACATTGAAAACATGGATCAAGAAACTAGATTCAGATGTAATTTTGTATGCACAATAGGGAATTTGTTCCCTTGGTTTTGAGCAACAGTAGATAAATTTTATGGAAAGGTTCCCATCCAATAAGATTGTGCACCCAATCAGCTACACTCTATCCCCCCCCCCCCCCATGTCCATAATTTCTACCCTATTCCAGTATTGCCAGCTTGATCTTGATTACATATTTAACCCACATCAGCAATACCAGGTACCTAGTAAAAGAGATCGCATCACAAGATTTTTAACAAGCTAGCTTTTACTGTGCTCTGACACTCTGGGTAATAATTTCTAGCACTGCAAACTCTTAATAGGAGTGCTAAAATGCCATTTTTTTTATCTTCATATTATTTTCTTAACATATATAACGCCCTAAGTAAACAGCATTGCAATATACCGAATACGAGTGGCAGTCTCTGCTTATTTACTTTTGTCTCGACTGAAAACATTGTATTCGGAATGAAAGCAACCAGTCTATTGGTTCGTTTCATTTAACTTATGCAAAAAGTGCACTTTAAATAAGAGCAGAGATAAAAATAATGAGGAGGAAGATAGTTGAATACCACTGGTGTATCTGCGATCTTCGCTACGTCAAGAACTTGACAAAAACATCAGCGGTGGCCCCAGCAGACTGCTTTCTGTCGTCCATAGCTCTCTAGGAATCATGGGAGTAAAAACCGTTTGTTTTCTTGTAAGAAAATTGCATCACAACTGCAACTAGAAGAACACAAATTTTACTAAAACGTTCAATATGAATGTTAATGCTTTTAAAAGAACGTCACTGTAAAATAATCATAAATTTTACAAATGAAATACACACACTCCACGTGACCTAAAAGAAACTGGGTCACATGCAGCAGGAAGTGCGGTCCAAATGTGATTGTGCAGACCTTAGTGAGGCCGATGTCATATTTACAGTAGGAAACAATCATTCATCTAAAACTAAGTCGTGGAAGGATTTACACCGTCACAAAAAAATGAGTGTTATGGAAATGGCGTAGAAGAAGATAAGACCTCCTCAAGCAACTTAAATCGAAACAGACACTGAAACAGATTAACTTTATCGCCGGTGGAGCTGGGCGGATCATTCAAACAAATCCGTAACTCATTGAACTCATTTGTAATGGCTACGCAATACTTTTGAGAAAAGAAAAGTGACGCAATGGAGAAAATTCGATACTTTGCACTTATTTTTATAGTGACAAGAGTGGCTTTACCGGTAAGTTCCGTAGTACTTTTGCGTTAAGATCACCCAGTGTTTACCTGCAGTGCACTCTCGTGGGGTCATTTTTATTGCCCACACCCACCGTGTACACAAACTAACCAGCGTACGCATTCATTCGTGACGTCCATGCACCATTTTGAGATTGGTTACTTAAATTAATCATAGCATTAACTAATGTTGATTTCTATTATCACATCTCTTTCAAATAATATTTGAGTGAATTGATATAAAACCACTGTTTAAAATATATATTATAAATTATACAGTCAGAATTAATAAGTTGGTTAAGGAGCTCGACTGGTTCTTATTTCGAGGAAATCCAAATTTTGCCTATTTTTGAATGGAAAAATTACATTATTGCTTGGTAAGTGGGAGAAATTTACAATTGACCCTAGGAAAAACTTAAATGAAGTTGTTTTTATGCTCTGAAATCGCATACACTGTACTGTACTTGACATTACCTCTCTCCTCTCTCCCTTTTGAAATAAAAGATAAATAAAATTTAAATAAAAAATCCAATCCTAAAGTATAGCTGCTTTGCTTGATAAACAACTTATGTCCTATTTTAATCCAAATAAAAAAGTGTCTTTTTACCAACCTTGTTTACAGAAAGTCATCATTAGAGAACCAACTTATCAATTAATTTGATCAAGCCTCAGATAGATTTTTGAAATGATTTTTATCATGGACAGTATAAATTTATGATAAATAAAATTATTGGGTGGTCAGTTCTCTCACATCAGAAAAGCATTTTGGTTGAATTTTTATGCAATTCATTTTTGTAAAAGAAACACTACTTTTGTTTGAAATGTTAAAGTAAATTTTTTTATGTCTAGATGTCCTGCAAAGCTAATAATATTTCTCAATTCATAACTTAAAAAGGATCAAGTCACTTGAAAGTATGATGTCAATATTTTCTTCTGAAGCAGCGGGAATATATGGCAAGTGTGGAATATTTAGAGTATATAAATTAAGGAACGGGTCATGCAGTGTTTCTTGGAGAAAATTAGATTTTGCTTAAAAGTCCCTTCAGAACATATGTTTTATTTAACTGTTATTGTCATATCAAAAAATTCTGAAGCTTAAGAAATAAAAATAAGTATGATACTTAATGTTCATTTAACTATCAGAACCTAACATGAAGACCCGTTTTTCCTAATGGGTGCCACATAATTCTTATTTTCCAAGAACACATCCAAAAAAAAAATGTTACCTGAAGGAAGTTAATTAATGCCAATTGCAAGTTTCCCCAACTTCAAACCAGGTTTCTTATTGGAAAAAAAGCATTTTTCTTCAACTCATGAATCATTGCTTGTCCTGTTCCTGTATTTAACTTCTGTGTTTTATATATCATTTCTGATTAGATAGTTTGTACATTTAGGAAGGAAATATTGATATCAGGTACTTTTATTTGAGAGGTTTTTATCATGTTTTAAGGGCTGTATTGTGAAAGATAAGTAGCTTTTTAGGTTATATGTAGACATAAAAATATGACTGGGACATTTTCAAACAGGGAAATTATGCATTTTAATTAATGGAAATTAAAGACGGGAATTGATTTTATTTGTGTGTCTGGCCATTAATACTTAAGATTGCATAATGGAATCAGGAATGTGGATTTAGTAAGCAAGTGTCAACAGCATTTGAAATCCCTGTTAAGTCATCAACCTTATCAGGTTACCACACTAGAACATTCTTTATGTCTGACCCTGGTCCCATGCAGTCCTTTTCACAACCACTACTTGATTTCTGTGACCACATGTTTAAGCCACAGGGGCAGATATTTCTTGTAAATTACTCTGTGAAACCAGCCATTGATGTCCATTATCAACTTCACCTTGTTCTTTCAGTCATCAACACACTGTATATATCCAAACTGCTTGACATGATCTGACATATCAAAAAGATTGTGTGGGGTTGAACAAAATTGGTGTAAAAAATTGTACAACTTTACTTAGTAACTATTATCATAGAAGTAGAGAAAGTGCACCATTAAGTATAGAGCCTCCATATTATCTTGAATTTCAGTACTTTTTTTTACAACTTTTGAAGTTAAAATTTGTTTGTACATTTAAGTTATACACCAGTATGCTTATTAAAGAATAAACCTCCCATTTCATGTCTAGTAATTTGATCAAAAGAAATGTACATGTTTTTTTTCATGATCATTTGGTCTACAAAAAAAGAAAAATGGTTCTGACTAAAAAGGAATAAAGAGAGAAAAAAGTAAATAAATAAATAAATAAAATGAGAAAAAAAAATTTATATCATATGTTTTGATTTTTATCTAAAGATTCATTCATAGTCCCAAAACTGTTTAATATATATACATTTGTAAACAGCATTTAGTCATCTGTGGTTTGAGGTTTGATGTATTTTTGAGCAAATGTGAAAATATTTTGTTTAAACATGTACTTCACCAGGTAATTTGAGGTAAAAAAAATTGTTAATGAAGTTAGAGGCAAGGTATGAAAGTATTATTTTAAGTACAGTTGTAATTGAAAGAGGTGTTTTGATAAAATATTTGGACAAAGTGATAAATTCCATGAAAAAAAAAATTAGTATGCTAACTTTAAGTTGTATGTTTTGAATTTTTTTCTGTGATGCTAAGTTCAAAGTTAAATGGTGAAGTGACTCTTTTTCTGAATATAGTTTGCTGTATTCTTTGTTTTGTTTGTCTTGAAATGCTTTATCTGTACTGAAGAAGTCTATAGTCTCAGAATTACTCATTAAGTCATTCTGTTGATTTGTGTTTGCCAATATATGCCATAAACAATGCAATAAACATTAATAGTTGCCATGTACAAATTTGGGAATAGGTACAACTAAAGGAATATTTGACATTATTTGGTCTCCTTGTGAAGATGGCATGTTTAAGACAACTTGAAATAAATCTGTATCGTTAAATTAAAAGAATACATAAATACATCATGATTTTTCCAAATCGTTTGGCTAGCACTTAAAGACATATTTCTAGAAATGTCTTAGAAAAGCTGTTTTGGGTATTTTTTATGGCAGAAGATTAGACCCCTTATACTGAACTTGGACACAATTATGGGGTGATACACTTGCTATATAAACATTTTGGCACATTTATTTTGTATTTTTTTAGTACATTCTTGATGTTCCTTACTGATGTTCAGAACATATTATAGGCCATTCACATTAGAACATTAACCGCGGTCGAGTTTATTCTGATTAAACTGCGGTCAACCAAACTGCGTCCAAACGGCGTTCACTCTGACACCGACAGCGATCAGTAGCGGTAGAATCTCAGCAAGCGTACTTCCTGTCAAGCATGCCCTCTTACTAGAATCTGTGCAACATGGCGGGAGCTCAAATGACGATACACTTGTGCGCATGCGCTTCATATGTAGACATCCGGTCTTGACTGTGGTCAGGAGTTTACTCCAATTACACCTCCCGATCTGGATTTATTTTGACGGTGGTCAGGGCTACGTCGTCTGTTCACATTAGAAAAGTTAACCGCGATAGAACCGAGGTCAGGCCTTGACTGCGGTTAAAAGTACTAGTGTGAATGGGGTATTAGTCGCCATTTTCATCCAGGTCATAGTCTTAAATCAGTACAGTTAAGATATGGCTGACATCCAGACAGGATACAATTCTTTTTTCTTCTTGTTCAAATCACACAATAAGATCAAATGGAAAATAATTTTAAAAGAAATATATTGCAGGAAAAAAACAGGAACTTGTAGTCAGTTTGAGTTTTAAAGTCACAAAAGCCCTGTAAAGCAGGAAAATGGCGAGTGACCCCAACATTTTATTGCATCCCTGTATAGTTGCCCCTGTGCTAACACTTCCTGGTTAAAAGGCTCAGATAAGGGGTTGTTGCTTAGACACACTATCATTTGTGTTTGTTCAGTATGTCGTTTGAATAAAGTAATTATCTTTTTAGGTGAGCCTGCCTATTTTGTTTAAAACCTTTAAGTTTTTAAAGACACTTAATCACTTTGCCAGTGTCTGTTAAATGTAGTTGAAAAGTAATAAAGGTGAAAGGATATAGAATTAAACCAATGACTAATTTTAAAAACCTGACATTAAAAAAGATAAGTTATAGGAATTTATTTCATTCTTTTCATAAGCATACCACTCTTAGGACACAAATGTTTGCAAATCCCATTCCACAGTTACATGCCAGTTATCTACAACTTGACAGTGCTCTAAGTGTAAACAAAGTTTACAAAAGGTTGGACTGTGAACTTATTTACAACTGTGAAAGTATGCCAAATGTGGGAGTACTTATTGTTTCTTTTATATGATTGGGATCTTGGAAAGATATTTTTATAGATTTTTTGGAGACTTCAGTTTAATTCACAAGGTTGTTTGTGCATTCAACTTCCCTCTCTCTTTATTTTTCTCTGTCTCTCTCTCCTCAAAATAATTTGTATCTTTCATGGTGTGAATTTTATTGAAACTATGAAAAATTGACTTTTCAACATGTTTTTATTTTTTTTACAGGTTACCTGCCAAAGTAAGTACTTTGAAATAATAAAGATATTTCAAAAGTGAATTTGATATGTGCATTTCAAGAATTGCTTGTAATTATTCACAATCTTTGTGTGCATAGTCACTGTAGATGATTTGCATTATAGATTAGAAGATAGAAATTATGTGCACACTTGGTTCATTCTGGCTTGTGAAATTTTAGGAAGGTACTCAAAATGATTTTTTTGGTTAATGGAAATCATTTTTCAAATAATTAAATTGGTAAGTTACAAGTAATCTTTATTTTGATTCTTAACTTTGATTTTACTTTTAAGTATTTTTACAGGATTTACCCACCAGAATTTTTTTTTTTTCTCGGGAAAAAAAAACATTTTTTTTTTCTACTCACGAATCATTGCTCTATCTGCCTCGGCATTTAAATTCAAATTTTTTTCCAATGAAGGGGTTTCCTAGTTCTTTTAGGTCTGAATTATGAATGACGAGTAGCTTTGTAGGGTATATAGCAATTTAAAATCTGACCTTGGGAATATTTAAAACTTGCACAGTATGCCTTCAAATGTGCAGCTATTCACTTGTTCACGAAGCAGGGAAAAATGCTAGAATGAACCAACCTGGTTGAAGCTTTTTTCTTTGAATCACTGCATGGATTATTTTCTATCAGCCACTTATGACAGTATTGAGAGCACAACAGCCAGCACTCTCACTACCACTTCTCAAGTAACAACTGAATCAACATCAGTAACTACTATTGCTGTGACAACCACAGAGGCAGGTATGTAGCACTTTTTTGAACAGGTTCTCCCCTTCCTTGAAGTCCCAAGAGGGAGGGTATGTTATTTCTTCTTAGATTTGTGGCTGCTTAGAAAAGTCATTGAGCACCTTAGTTATTGTTTTAAAATGCATGTATTTTCAAGCAGATTGTTAAAATCTATCTTTGTCATGTGATTTGTGAATTAGATAATAATTTGATATTTGAACAACAACTTCAGGTGTGCATATTAATTTTATTATGCTTGCATCTGCTAATGGTTTTGATTTTGTCAGATGTGAAATTATGTCATTGTGTGAAAAAAAAGCTTTAAGCTGAGAGTAATTTCTCAAGAATACTAAAACTCGGTTAGAGCTTATGAGTAAGTTTCAGTTTGGTAAAGGTAGAATTCTGGGCGTTGGGTGTTTCTGAAATCTGTTATCTGTGAAATGTGACTGGATAAAGTGATAACCTTTAAAACCACAGTGCAACCCACATAATTTGGCAAATCTCCAACTGACCATAAGTATCTCTCCATGTGTTTATTCTTCATGAAAATATGTTTGTCTTACACCCTTACAATATTCCACTGGCACTAACTGACCCTTTTGATATTCGGAACATGGCCTGTTACTCTGAGTGTTGGATGTTTCTGGAATCGAAATAGTCCAACAGTTTTCTACTGGATGGTGCTTGTTACCAAAACATAGTGAAATATACACCATGCATTTGTTACTTTCTAAATTGACACTCTTGTCATGGTTTGTTGTATTAAATAATAAATTTGAAGTTTTAAATATTCACAAGACCTACAGCATGGAGTTTTAAGTATTAAGTAAGTGCATTTTGTTAAAAAGTAAAGCAGTTTATAAAAGAATGAAGGTGACAGTAAGCCTACGCTTAAAATATCTCAGAACTCATGTTTATCTCTGTCTCGCTGAGCAATATTATTCCCAGACACAATTTCAATTAATGATTACCAACTGATAGGTATCTTATCTTGGATATATCAGATAAGACTGAACAGGTGCACTTATATTTATGTAATGTTATATTGGTATTATTTGCTAATGCAAAGAGAAAGCTCATAAACAGCCACCAAATTAGATAAAAATATTTGTCTCTTTCTTTAATTGCCTTATCAATTCGCGAACCTATCTTTCTTTATATTTTTGTTTTTGTCATTTGTCAGCCTAATTGGGGTCCTAAATGAATTCCGAAATAGACAGTAGAGACTAGCATGAATATGTTGTATTATCATTCCCACTTATTTTTTTAGTTGTATATATCATTTTTCACTTTTTCATTGACTTGATTCCTTAAGAATTGTAGCTTATAAATTGTAGATGAAAAATGTTTATATTCAGCATAGAGAGAACTTGGAAACGCCTATTAATGAATTCATAGATATTTTTAGAGATACACATGATCAATTATGGTATTATATCATGAAAAAATGTTCATCTTGTTCATTTGATTTAGTGGAAACATTTCTTCAAGAAAAAGCTATTGTTTAATGGCATGTATATTTGATAGGTACTCCAACTGGTAAGTTTTAGTCATTAACTTGACATACGTAGCTGTGTTATGTTCAACTGTACTAAAATTGTGGGCATGTTGTCATTAAAGCTGTAATTTGTGTATAGTTAGTCATACAGAAGTGACTCTTATATGTAGAATTTTAAGTTGAACATGCTGAGAATGTAACTTGTATTTCTGACATTTCAAAATAATAGCCTAGTAGTTGAATGGTGTATTTTATGCCAAGCAGTAATGATTTATTGTGTAGTTCAGTAATTGAAAATTGTTCAAGTATTGATGCATGTTTTTCTTTATTTACACATTACGTAAACTTATGCCTTTAAAGCAACCCTCTTTGCCTGGCACATACCCCATATGCTTATTTTAACTTTCAAATTGCAAATGTGAGGCAATGCCAGAATTACCAGGAAGTTTACACATTATTTTTGATGTGATTAAACAAGTTCTCTGCTTGCTTTTGACAAAAGATAAATGCATGTGACCTTATCTGTTTAAGTAATATTACTGAAATTTTAACTTGATGAATCTAACTGCAGCATTTTGAATAAAAGCATCTTACTAATAAATTATTGGCCAGGATCAGCTGGTTGTATATTGGCAGTATACTGAAGTTGAATGATATTAGTTAAATGATAAAAGTTTATGTATTGCAAATTATGGACAGCAAAAAGGAATTTAAAAGTGATTTTAGTAAGGAATCTAATAATGAAGTCAAGTCAAATATGATGTAGTTGTATAGAATTGATTAAACTGCATTTTTTGGTTTACGGTTAAAGATCAACACAAGTCAACACGTGTCATTGGAATGGTACAAGGAAGAAACAACAATTAAGTGTAAAAACCGTGTTCACTTTTTTAAGGGAGAAATTTCAATGACTTTTCTTTAGACTTGAGATAGTCATTTGAATTGGTAGGTATATAAATAATACCTATATGGCTTATACCTGTATGGTATACCCATGCTGTTGCAATTTATTTTGCTAACAATTCCTTCAAACCCCCAATTTTGTGCATCCTAAAGCTATGGTTCCATCAGAGCATCTTGTTTCCCAGATCTGCTGTATTGCCAAAGATGTATGCTTGGATCCTTTCTTACCAGACTTTGAGAGCCTTTCTAACCAGACCTTGAGAGCAAGCATCCTTCCTCTTACCAGGATTCTTAATCAATACTCGTTTTGATGTTTTTCTGACAAGCAAAAGGGTTTTTGATACTGTAGGAGCAGGAACACCAGTGATATCTCCTGAAGAAAAAGCTGTTGGATCAACTCTAGAAACAGACCCAGTGCTACCAACTACTTCCCTGTCTCAGAGTGCGGGCCTGGAGGGCACCAAAACGCAGGAACTTGTATCGAGCACAGTTAGCGGCTGGTCGGGTGATACTAATGTGCCCTTTTCAGGTCATAGTGATATTACGGATACTCCTACAAGCAAGGGATCTTCAAACAAGCCAGATCCAGCAGAGAGCACAACAGAAGCTTCAACTATAAAGGAAACAGGCACTTCTGTTGCTTCTGTCTTATCTGATACATCAACAAAATCCCAAGTGCCATCATTTTCCACTAGTGCAAATGAGAAGTCTACCTCTTCTGCTGAGGAATCCTCTTCACCTTACACTGAACACAGTTGGTCTGATAGGACAGGCAATGCTCATGGTGGAAATACAGAGCCAGTTTCTAGTTTTACAAGCATGCAGGAATTTGAGAGGACAACTAGTTCATTAACAGTCAGTGCAACTGAATTATGTGAGGAAGAGACAACCCCAGCCATTCAAAACATTTCAGCCAGTACCTCAGTGAGAAGTGTCTCAAATGGGGCAACGTCCCCAATGCAGCAGACAGTGACACCTGGCAAGATTTCAAAAGAAACTGATTCCACCAATATCACCATTGCATCCACAAAAAAGGAAACAATAGTGCAAATTACAACAGACCCAACTACTACTACATTCCAACCTGAAAATCAAAACAGTACCATGTTCAGTGCAACTATGAGCAGTAGTATTACTGAATCTGGCCAGAACTCAAATGATCCTACTACATCAGCTATTACAGTGATGGCATCTGCAGTATTGGTGTCTAACCAGACACATGCTTTACCAACAACCCTAAAACGGGAATTGATAAATGAGACCGGTTTCAGTGGATTCAGTGCACAGGCAACTGAGTTTGAAACTGTTACATCAGGTTATAACACTAGCACAGATAAAAGTACAGCTGTCCCAGTGCATGCAACAACATTACAACTAAGTAGTTCAACAGGTTGGCCTGATGTTCCTTCATCCAGATCACCTGAAAATGGAACTGAAACCACAGCACTGTATACAACACTGCAAGATAGTACACATGATGGCAACTTCACACCAACAGTGGAAACATCCAACAGAATATCTGTTCCCCTTACAACTACTGTTTCATTCAATCAGTCCACTCAAAGTTTCAATGTTTCTACTAGCACCCCAAATGATATAGGAAATGCAAATACAACCGTAACAAGTACCAGTAAAGTTTCAAATAGTAATATTACCACAGTAGTATCAATTACAGATATTCAGGGAAATTTGACAACTTATTCAATTGAAACTACAGTTGGTAAGGAAAATGTGAATTTTGCTTTTAAATAGTTCATGTCAATGATGAAGTTTTTCTTATCTTTTGTGATGATTTGTGGTAGTTGTATTATTTTTAGATGTCTGCTTTTAGCAAAGTTTTACATTTTTCATTAGATATAAATTTATGGCTGCTCTCTATGTAGCATTTTCATTTCTTTTCCTGATAAGATTTTTGAATTATTATGAATTATTACAGTTTTATAATTGAGTATATTTTGATTAGTTTGCAAATTACTTTTTGATTTTTATGTACAGACACANGAAAAAAAATTTATATCATATGTTTTGATTTTTATCTAAAGATTCATTCATAGTCCCAAAACTGTTTAATATATATACATTTGTAAACAGCATTTAGTCATCTGTGGTTTGAGGTTTGATGTATTTTTGAGCAAATGTGAAAATATTTTGTTTAAACATGTACTTCACCAGGTAATTTGAGGTAAAAAAATTGTTAATGAAGTTAGAGGCAAGGTATGAAAGTATTATTTTAAGTACAGTTGTAATTGAAAGAGGTGTTTTGATAAAATATTTGGACAAAGTGATAAATTCCATGAAAAAAAAATTAGTATGCTAACTTTAAGTTGTATGTTTTGAATTTTTTTCTGTGATGCTAAGTTCAAAGTTAAATGGTGAAGTGACTCTTTTTCTGAATATAGTTTGCTGTATTCTTTGTTTTGTTTGTCTTGAAATGCTTTATCTGTACTGAAGAAGTCTATAGTCTCAGAATTACTCATTAAGTCATTCTGTTGATGGGTGTTTGCCAATATATGTCATAAACAGTGCAATAAACATTAATAGTTGCCGTGTTCAAATTTGGGAATAGGTACAACTAAAGGAATATTAGACATTGTTTGGTCTCCTTGTGAAGATGGCATGTTTAGACAACTTGAAACAAATCTATATTGTGAAATTAAAAGAATACATAAATACATCATGATTTTTCCAAATCGTTTGGCTAGCACTTAAAGACATATTTCTAGAAATGTCTTAGAAAAGCTGTTTTGGGTATTTTTGATGGCAGAAGATTAGACCACTTATACTGAACTTGGACACAATTATGGGGTGATACACTTGCTATATAAACATTTTGGCACATTTATTTTGTATTTTTTCAGTACATTCTTGATGTTCCTTACTGATGTTCAGAACACATTATAGGCCATTCACATAAGAACATTAACCGCGGTCGAGTTTATTCTGATTAAACTGCGGTCAACCAAACTGCGTCCAAACGGCGTTCACACTGACACCGACAGCGATCAGTAGCGGTAGAATCTCAGCATGCGTACTTCCTGTCAAGCATGCGCTCTTACTAGAATCTGTGCAACATGGCGGGAGCTCAAATGACGATACACTTGTGCGCATGCGCTTCATATGTAGACATCCGGTCTTGACTGTGGTCAGGAGTTTACTCCGATTATACCCACCTCCCGATCTGGGTTTATTTTGACCGTGGTCAGGGCTACGTCGTCCTTTCACATTAGAAAAGTTAACCGCGATAAAACCGAGGTCAGGCCTTGACTGCGGTTAAAAGTACTAGTGTGAATGGGGTATTAGTCGCCATTTTCATCCAGGTCATAGTGTCTTAAATCAGTACAGTTAAGATATGGCTGACATCCAGACAGGATACAATTCCTTTTTCTTCTTGTTCAAATCACACAATAAGATCAAATGGAAAATAATTTTAAAAGAAATATATTGCAGGAAAAAAACAGGAACTTGTAGTCAGTTTGAGTTTTAAAGTCACAAAAGCCCTGTAAATCAGGAAAATGGTGAGTGACCCCAACATTTTATTGCATCCCTGTATAGTTGCCCCTGTGCTAACACTTCCTGGTTAAAAGGCTCAGATAAGGGGTTGTTGCTTAGACACGCTATCATTTGTGTTTGTTCAGTATGTCGTTTGAATAAAAGTAATTATCTTTTTAGGTGAGCCTGCCTATTTTGTTTAAAACCTCCAAGTTTTTAAAGACACTTTATCACTTTGCCAGTGTCTGTTAAATGTAGTTGTAAAGTAATAAAGGTGAAAGGATATAGAATCAAACCAATGACTAATTTTAAAAACCTGACATTAAAAAAGATAAGTTATAGGAATTTATTTCATTCTTTTCATAAGCATACCACTCTTAGGACACAAATGCTTGCAAATCCCATTCCAGTTACATGCCAGTTATCTACAACTTGACAGTGCTAAACAAAGTTTAAAAAAGGTTGGACTGTGAACTTATTTACAACTGTGAAAGTATGCCAAATGTGGGAGTACTTATTGTTTCTTTTATATGATTGGGATCTTGGAAAGATATTTTTATAGATTTTTTGGAGACTTCAGTTAAATTCACATGGTTGTTTGTGCATTCATCTTCCCTCTCGCTTTCTTTTTCTCTCCTCAATATAATTTGTATCTTTCATACTATGAATTTTATTGAAACTATTAAAAATTGACTTTTCAACGTTTTTATTTTTTTTTTACAGGTAACCTGCCAAAGTAAGTACTTTGAAATAATAAAGATATTTCAAAAGTGAATTTGATATGTGCATTTCAAGAATTGCTTGTAATTATTCATTGTCTTTGTGTGCATAGTCACTGTAGATGATTTGCATTATAGATTAGAAGATAGAAATTATGTGCACACTTGGTTCATTCTGGCTTGTGAAATTTTAGGAAGGTGCTCATAATGATTTTTTTGGTTATGGAAATCATTTTTCAAATAATTAAATTGGTAAGTTACAAGTAATCTTTATTTTGATTCTAAGCTTTGATTTTACTTTAAAGTATTTTTACAGGATTTACCCACCAGAATTTTTTTTTTTCTCAGGAAAAAAAACATTTTTTTTCTACTCACGAATCATTGCTCTGTCTGCCCTGGCATTTAAATTAATTTTTTTTCCAATGAAGGGGTTTCCTAGTTTTTTTAGGTCTGAATTATGAATGACGAGTAGCTTTGTAGGGTATATAGCAATTTAAAATCTGACCTTGAGAATTTTTTTAACTTGCACAGTATGCCTGCAAATGTGCAGCTATTCACTTGTTCACGAAGCAGGGAAAATGCTAGAATGAACCAACCTGGTTGAAGCTTTTTTCTTTGAATCACTGCATGGATTATTTTCTATCAGCCACTAATGACAGTATTGACAGCACAACAGCCAGCACTCTCACTACCACTTCTCAAGTAACAACTGAATCAACATCAGTAACTACTATTGCTGTGACAACTACAGAGGCAGGTATGTATAGCACTTTTTTGAACAAGTTTTCCCCTTCCTTGAAGTCCCAAGAGGGAGGGTATGTTATTTCTTCTTGGATTTGTGGCTGCTTAGAAAAGTATTTGAGCACCTTAGTAATTGTTTTAAAATGTGTGTATTTTTAGGCAGATTGTTAAAATCTGTCTTTATTGTTTGCTTTATAAATCAGGTGCTATGATAAATGGATATTTGAACAACAACCTCAGGTATTCAGATAAACTATATTTTGCTTGCATTTGTTTAAGTTTTAAGTTCAGATATGAAATTATAACACTCTGTGAAAAAAACTTTAAACTAAGAGTAATTTCTCAAATGTACTAAATATACTGAATCTCAGTTAGAGCTTGTGAATAAATTTCAGTTTGGTAAAGGTAGAATTCTGGGCGTTGGGTGTTTCTGAAATCTGTTATCTGTGAAATGTGACTGGATAAAGTGATAACCTTTTAAACCACAGTGCAACCCACATAATTTGGCAAATCTCCAACTGACCATAAGTATCTCTCCATGTGTTTATTCTTCATGGAAATATGTTTGTCTTACACCCTTACAATATTCCACTGGCACTAACTGACCCTTTTGATATTCGGAACATGGCCTGTTACTCTGAGTGTTGGATGTTTCTGGAATCAAGATAGTCGAACAGTTTTCTACTGGATGGTGCTTGTTACCAAAACATAGTGAAATATACACCATGCATTTGTTACTTTCTAAATTGACACTCTTGTCATGGTTTTCTGTATTAAATCATAAATTTGAAGTTTTAAATATTCACAAGACACACAGCATGGTGTTTTAGATATTAGGGAAGGTCATTTTGTTAAAAAGTAAAGCAGTTTATAAAATGAATGAAGGTGACAGTAGGCCTTTGCCCAAAATATCTCAGAACTCATGTTTATCTCTGTCTCGCCGAGCAATATTATTCCCAGACACAATTTCAATTAATGATTACCAACTGATAGGTATCTTATCTTTGATATATCAGATAAGACTGAACAGGTGCACTTATATTTAATGTAATGTTATATTGGTGTTATTTGCTAATACAAAGAGAAAGCTCATATACAGCCAATTAGGTGAAAATATTGTTTCATCTCTTTCTTTAATTGCCTTATTCAATTCACCTATCTTTCTTTATATTTTTGTTTTTGTTGTTTGTCAGCCTAATTGGGTTCCTAAATGAATTCTGAAATAGAAAGTACAGACTAGCATAAATATGTTGTATTATCATTCCCACTTGTTTTTTTAGTTGTATTTATCACTTTTCACTTTTTCATTGACTTGATTCCTTAAGAATTGTTAAGCTTATAAATTGTAGATGTAAAAAAATGTTTATATTCAGCATAAAGAGAACTTGGAAACGCCTATTAATGAATTCATAGATATTTTTAGAGATACACATGATCAATTATGGTATTATATCTTGAAAAAATATTCATCTTGTTCATTTGATTTTGTGGAAACATTTTCTTCAAGAAAAAGCTATTGTTTAATGGCATGTATATTTGATAGGTACTCCAACTGGTAAGTTTTAGTCATTAACTTGACATACGTAGCTGTGTTATGTTCAACTGTACCAAACTTGTGGGCATGTTGTCATTAAAGCTGTAATTTGTGTATAGTTAGTCATACAAAAGTGACTCTTATATTTAGAATTTTAAGTTGAACATGCTGAGAATGTAACTTGTATTTCTGACATTTAAAAATAATGGCCTAGTAGTTGAATGGTGTATTTTATACCAAGCAGTAATGATTTATTGTGTAGTTCAGTAATTGAAAATAGTTCAAGTATTGATGCATGTTTTTTCTTTATTTACACATTTTGTAAACTTTTGCCTTTAAAGCAACCCTCTTTGCCTGGCACATACCCCACATGCTTATCTTAACTTTCAGACTGTATATACTTGTGCAGTGCCAGAATTACCAGGAAGTTAACACATAATTTTTTATGTGATTAAACAAGTTCTCTGCTTGCTTTTGACAAAAGATAAATGCATGTGACCTTATCTGTTTAAGTAATATTACTGAAATTTTAACTTGATGAATCCAACTGCAGCATTTTGAATAAATGCACCTTACTAATAAATTATTGGCCAGGATCCGCTAGTTGTATATTGGCAGTATACTGAAGTTGAATGTTATTAGTTAAATGATAAAAGTTTATGTATTGCAAATTATGGAAAGCAAAAAGGAAATTTAGAATGATTTCAGTAAGGAATCTAATAATGAAGCCAGGCCAAATATGATGTAGTTGTATAGAATTGATTAAACTGCATTTTTTAGTGTACATTTAAAAATCAACACAAATTAACAGGTGTCATTGGAATGGTACAAGGAAGAAACAACAATCAAGTGTAAAAACTGTGTTCACTTTGTTTAAGGGAGAAATTTCACTGACTTTTCTTTAGACTTGAGATAGTCATTTGAATTGGTAGGTATATACATAATACCTATATGGCTTATACCTGTATGGTATACCCAAGCTGTTGCAATTTATTTTGCTAACAATTCCTTCAAACCCCTATTTTTGTGCATCCTAAAGCTATGGTTCCATCAGAGCATCTTGTTTCCCAGACTTGCTGTCTTGCCAAAGATGTATGCTTGGATCCTTTCTAACTAGACCTTGAGAGCCTTTCTAACCAGACCTTTAGAGCAAGCAACCTTCCTCTTACCAGGATTCTGTATCATTCCTTGTTTTGATTTTTTTCAATAGTCAGTCACCTTATTACAAGCAAAAGGGTTCTTGATACTGTAGGAGCAGGCATACCAGTGACACCTACAAAAGGAAAAGCTGTTGTATCAACTCTAGAAATAGACCCAGTGCTACCAACTACTTCCCAGTCTCGGAGTGCGGGCCTGGAGGGCACCAAAACGCAGGAGCTTGTATCGAGCACAGTTAGTGGCTGGTTGGGTGATACTGATGTGCCCTTTTCAGGTCATAGTGATATTACTGCTACTCCTACAAGTGTGGGATCTTCAAACAAGCCAGATCCAACAGTGAGCACAGCAGAAGCTTTAGCTATAAAGGAAACAAGTACTTATGCTCCTTCTTTCTTATCTGATGCATCAACAAAAATCCAAGTGCCATCATTTTCCACTAGTGCAAATGAGAAGTCTACCTCTTCTGCTGAGGAATCCTCTTCACCTTACACTGGTCACAGCTGGTCTGTTAGGACAGGCAATTTTCAGGGTGAAAATACAGAACCAGTTTCTAGTTTTACAGGCATGCAGGAATCTGAGAGTACAACTAGTTCATTAACAGTCAGTGCAACTGAATTATTTGAGGAAGAGACAACCCCAGCCATGCAAAACATTTCATCCAGTACCTCAGGGAGAAGTGACTCAAGTGAGGCAATGTCCCCAATACAGCAGACAGTGACATCTGGCAAGATTTCAACAGGAACCGATTCCACCATTGCATCAGCAAAAGAGGAAACAATAGTGCAAATTATAACAGACCCAACTACTACATTCCAACCTGAAAATCAAAACGGTACCATGTTCAGTGCAACTATGAGCAGTAGCATTACAGAATCTGGTCAGAACTCAAATGATCCTACTGCATCAGCTATTACAGTGACGGAAGCTGCAGTGTCAGTGTCTAACCAGACACATGCTTTACCAACAACCACAAAAAAGGAATTGTCAGATAAGACCAGTTACAGTGGATTCAGTACACAGACAACTGAGTTTGAAATTGTCACATCAAGTTATAACAGTAGCATTGATATAAGTACAGCAGTCCCAGTGCATACAACAACATTACAGCTAAGTAGTTCAGGTTGGCCTGGTGGTCTTTCATCAGGGTCACCTGCAAATGGAACTGAAACCACAGCGCTGTATACAACACTGCAAGATGGTACACATGATGGCAACTTCACACCAACAATGGAAACATCCAACAGAATATCTGTTCCGCTTACAACTACTGTTTCATTCAATCAGTCAACTCAAAGTTTCAATATTTCAACTAGCACCCCATTTAGTTCAACTGATACAGGAAATGCAAATACAACCGTAACAAGTACCAGTAAAGTTACAGATAGTAATATTAGCACAATAATACCAACTACAGATATTGAAAGAAATTTGACAACTTATTCAATTGAAACTACAGTTGGTAAGAAAAAAATGTGAATTTTGCTTTTAAATAGTTCATGTCAATGAAGTTTTTCTTATCTTTTGTGATGATTTGAGGTATTTGTATTATTTTTAGATGTCTGCTTTTAGCAGAGTTTTACATATTGCACTTTTTTCATTAGATATCACAGTATGACTGCTCTCCATACAGCATTTTCATTTCTACTCCTGATAAGTTTTTTGAATTATTATGATATTACAGTTTTATAATGAATATGTTTTGATAAGTTTGCCAATTGGTTTTTTTATTTTTTTTTTACTGCATCTATTGAAAAGTAATGGGATAAACAAATTTATAATCTTCATAAATACTAAGTTTTCATTTTCAGCACCTCCTCCCAGTGCTCCAAGAGAACTTACCATTGCTAGCAAAACAACCAAATCCCTGGAAGTTACTTGGCAAAAAGCGACACCAAATGAGACAATAGATTCATATATCGTACAATTTAGAGGTAGGTGTTTTATGGGAATAGTCAAAGTTTCGGTGAGATGTATTCCATTTAATTTATTTGGAACTGGTGGAAAAGATGTTGCAAATTGTAAAAAAATATTTGAAATGGTTTTTCAAAAATTTTAATGATTTTTTTCAATGTTTCACAATTTCCAATAATTTAATTTGTCCTTCCATTAGATGTTCATCATGATCATAAACCTGCTAAATAGTATTCCAATGTATAACCATCTTCCTAACATTTATATGATAAAAATTAAGTGAAGAAAATGTTTTCTGTGGAAATGAATTGTTCTGAACCATTGTGAAATCAGTGGTTTTATTATGTAATTAACTTTTACTGAAATCTTCTTACAGATGCACCTGATTCAACATTTAGCGTCTCACATGCCAATTTGTCAAGTTCAGCCACCTCTGCTAACATCACTGGTTTGTCACCAGGACAGTACTACACTGTCCAAGTGATAGCCACCAGAGGTCTGTTGAATAGTTCAGCAGCTGAGACAAATGGAGCAACAGGTGAGAGAGCTCTGGGTGATGTGTGGTAGGAAGAATGCTTTAATGAAATGTAATTAACCAAAACATCACTTTTGATTTACAGAAAAACTTGAAAATACCTGAAACAGCAAGTTTCCTACTTTTAAATAAACATTTTTATGTACAGACACTGTAACAAAATTTAAATTTTACAGAAAGGTGGATCTCTTGTAGGTTTAGTCAAATAAAAAATGCCTGCTTATAACTCCTAAAGCATTGTCTGCTAAGCAGTTCTTTTAAATTTCAATCTTGACTTAACCATATACATATTCTCAATGAATTTTTAATGATATGTATATTTTCGTTTAATTTAATGAAAACTTTTTAACATGCATATATTATATTCTAATATTCATATTTTTGTATAGTTGGTCTAGTTGATTTAATCAATACTTGAACATATGAACCAAAAACATTTTTATTCTTTCTTGATTTTTTTTTCAGTACCATCTGCTGTTTCAAATATCAGATTCCCCCAGGAGTATTTGTCAGAAAACAGCTTGCAAGTTTCTTGGACTGCAGGAGCAGGTTATAATGATGGTTACCTTGTCACGGTTAATTATACAGCAGCAGTAGTTAATTCATCTGCAGTATCTGATACATATAGAAACATCACAGGGCTTACAGCAGCTACAGGATACAATGTTACTATAGTTGCCAAAAACAGAAATGGTGACTCAAGTAGTGCAATTAGTGAAATCCAGTTCACACGTAAGTGATATTGTATCTAAGACAAAAAAAATTCAGAAATCAAAATTGAATGAAATTGAGTACCCACTTCCTAGCAGGGCTTTCACTAATTTAGTAATTATAAATAATACAGAGCAAAAGTTTATTTATGCTGTGATGTAGAAGTTAGACATTTTTTCTGTTGATTAATTATTTGATTAAACACCAGCATTAGCCCCTCCCCACCTTAAACATGTTTGATACAATTCAGTGCTGAACTGTCTGAACCTTATTACAACAACAACAAAGTATTTGGATGAGAATGAAAGCTTTTAATGTAGTTCATGCATGTTCATGTATAGAAATTTAAAATATAAAGCTATACTGCATCAAGGTAATTAGTACACGCTGGCAGTACTCATGATTTTAGTTCCGACCTGTCTTGTACTGCTTCGTTAGCTCTGCTGGCTCCTTCGGCTCTACAGGGTGGCGTGGGATACAAGTCACTTTTACTACTTCTTCTCCTAGACCGCAAAGACCTATGTCCCCATCTCTTGGATTTAGCTCGCATATAATCTCAACTTGAACCCCCTGGGATTTTTGTCTCGGTTGGTTAATTTGTCAAATTTTTTGAAAATGCTAAATATCTCCCAAACCGAAGGAATTATACAAAAAATTACTATAAAAGTCTGATCGAAAGGTATATTTGTAGATTTCAAATATGCCCTTTGATTTGACCTTTGAGCTTTATTTCAAGGTCGATTGGGCCAAAATTTAATGAAAATGAGACTTTTTGCAAAAAAAAAAAAAAAAAAAAAAATTAAATCTGCGAATTTTCAGAAACTACACAGACCTAACCTATAATATTATGGGCAGGTGCTACCCTTACGGTCATCTTTCATCTTCGTGAGTTTTTGGTCAATCAGTGTATTTTCACAGGAGAACATAAGTGCTAGAGACCTCTTGTTTTTTGCATTTCATAGAGCTTGTCAAGCACAACACTGGTAGTGGTGTCTGTTTTTTTTTTTTTTTTTTTTTTTTTTTCCATACGTTTTACGAGTTGTGCTATATTCAAAAGTACAATGTGGTGGTGAAAATAAAAGGTGAAATGTGGTAATATGCCATGAAATTTCAAATGTCGGGAAAAGATAACATAAGGCTTAGTGAGGGATAGACAACTTCCTGTCAAAAATGACAGAATATCATAGAATTCAAACATCTGGAATTGCTGAGCACCTCCCATTTCAAGAATTTTGACCAAAGCGATCTTTTCTTTATTTCAATTAATTTCTTCTGTATGAAATTCATGACACATCACTGTAACTCCAAAATTAGCAAAGATACACCCATTGTAGTCCCTTATATCTCCAAAACTGGCAGAAATAGGCCCATAGTTACTATTGAACTAGAATAGGAAGTCATACGCTGGCAATCTGTGACCTTGAAATTGACCTTTGATGTACTTTTCACTGTTGAATGGGAAGTCATATACTGGCAATCTAACTGTGACCTTGAAATTGACCTTTGGCCTACTTTGCATTATGCACTTGACTTAATAATATATTAGTCCCTTATATGTCCAAAAACTGGCACAGATAGGTCCATAGTTACTATTAAACTTCAATAGGAAGTCATATGCTGGCAACCTAACTTAGACCTTGAAATTGATCTGTGACCTACTTTTCATCATGAACTGAAGTTTGCAACTTTCTATCTCTTATATCTCCAAAACTAGCAGAGATTCGCCCATAGTTACTATTGAACTTGAATAGGAAGTCATATACTGGCAATCCAACTGTGGCCTTGAAATTGACCTTTGATTTACTTTTCACGGTGAACTGAACTTTGCAACTTTCTATCTCTTATATCTTCAAAACTGGCAGAGATAGGCCCGCAGTTACTATTGAACTTGAATAAGAAGTCATATACGGGCAATCTAACTGTGACTTTGAAGTTGACCTTTGAAGTACTTTTCATCATGCACTTGACTTTACAAGATTGTAGTCCCTTATAGCTCCAAGACTGGCAGAGATAGGTCCATAGTTACTATTAAACTTCAATAGGAAGTCATATACTGGGAACCTAACTTAGACCTTGAAATTGACCTTTGACCTACTTTTTACAATGAACTGAACTTTGCAACATTCTATTTCTTATATCTCCAACACTGGCATAGATAAGCCCATAGTTACTATTGAACTTGAATAGAAAGTCTTATCTGGCAATCTAATTGTGACCTTGAAATTGACCTTTGACCTATTTTTCATCATGAACTGAACCTTGTAACTTTATCTCTTGTATCTCCAAAGCTGGCAGAAGGGCCATTCAGAATGAGAAGAGCAGAGTCTAGCTGGTCCACGGGCAAAATATGGCAGACCTACATGAAAGGAAGACTCTGCCTCTCATGCCTCCCCACGCGTCGTCCCTCAACCGGTCGAATTGAGCCGAGATTTATTACTGTGCCCCTGCAGGGACAATGTGTTGGGAGGCGTGAAAGAAGCGGAGAGATCATTACACTATTAAGCAGTCTTCCTTTCATGTAGGTCCACCATATTTAGACCAGCTAGCACTCGGCTCTTCTCATTCTGAATGGCCCCAGAAATATGCCCATAGTTACTATTGAGCTTAAATAGGGAGTCATATACTGGCAATCTTACTGTGATCTTGATATTGACCTTTGACCTACTTTTTGCTATGAACTGCACTTCCCAAATTTGGTTTTAAACTTTTACTGTGCCCCATGATTTTGTTTTAAATAGTAATTTTCAACAAAAATATTGAGAACTCTTTATTACTGCGTTTTGTAGAGCTTGTCAAGCACAACACTGGAGGTCGTGTCCCTTTATTTTTTATTTATTTATTTATTTTTTATTAATTTTTTTTTTTTACTAAACAAAAGCGCTTACTCCAGCTGGGGGTACAATACCTGGAGGTGGTATCACCTCTCTGATCCTCTAGTTTCTGTATAAACTTCAGTGTGTTGCCTCTATCAAAAAGAGAAAGTAAAACTTTTGATCTTTTATCTTTTGTAGGTCATGAAAGGCCATCTGATGGAAAGATTAAAATACAGACTAACCATAAAAAGATAAGGGTGGAATTTGATGATTTTAATTTTGATTATACTTTTGACAAACTTGAAGGCATGTTATATTTGAAGATAAATGGATCTCTTGTGAGGGATGAGACCGTAGAAAAACCAAATTCTGATTTGGATTTCATAAACCTTACACCAGGAGAAAGTTACACCGTTGAAGTCTTTTACAGATTTCATGATGTATTAAGTGAGCCAATGGTGGTTGATGTAGATTTAGGTAGGTGATCACAGTTTAATTTTTATAGGTATCGCCAAATTATGCAATAAAATGGTATTTACTCCAAATTTTAAGTTTACGTGAAAACCTTATTAAATCCACATGCATAATTTATTAAAACACTCTCGCCATTCCATGCCTTTTTATTAAAAGCAATCTTTTTTCAGTTCCCTCTAAGCCACATAGTCTCAAAAATTCATCTGTAACTGAAGAATCATTTACCCTGACATGGTCTGCTGGTGATGGTGTAGTAGGAGGATACTATGTGGAAGTGAACACATCCGGGACAGGGAACACTACTTTCTCAAAGTTCACCAATGAAACATCAGCAAATGTCACTTCATTGCAACCAGGCACCAGATACTCTGTGTCCATCACTGCAACTAGCAGGGGGTTACTGAAGAATAGCACAGCTCTTACAGGAACTTTTCAAACCTGTAAATTTATATTTAACATCATTTTATTACCTTTTTTTCTATATCTGATTTGAGTATCTTCCAGATGGTAGTGTCACACCAGTTTGTATTCTGTTCTGAGTAAAAAATAGTGTAATTTGTGGTAAAAGCAGAGGCTGTATAGAAAATATATATAAAAGGGTATAACAAAGTGTATGTGCCTTTGTTTGCAGTCTTCAATGTGTATAAATTTATTAGATGTGAGGATTTAGGAAAGTGTGACATGCTTTGGTATTTACTGTTTATATACATGTATATATTGCTTTTCAGATCCAGCCAAACTAACTGCAGTACAGGTGATTGGCTGGTATACAGATAGGATACAGTTAGCATGGAAAAAAGGAAAGGGAGAGGCCGACAGCTACATTGTCTCACACAGTGTCAATAATGAAAGAGTTGATTCATCCAACCTTGCTGATCCTGTCTACAATATAACTGGTCTCACACCAGGTGCAACATATGAAATAAATATTACTGCTTATCAAAACCACTACCCAAGTGAACCATTAACAATTATTAATCAAACCAGTAAGTATACTCCACAGATTTTTGCTATATTAGTGACATTTTGGCTTTCTCAAAGCAATATTCCAAACTGTGACTTGATAATGTAGTGTATTCAAAGGATAATAGTTGATAATTGAAACTTGAATAATTTGAATAATTGATATAAATTTGCTAAGTTGAATTAGTTGAATGAGGTGAAAAGATGTTCAATTTATTTTCAGAACCAGGCACTCCAGGCTCAATAATTGTATTGTACCGTACTCCCCGCACTTTGGGAATTCGATGGTCCAACTCCTCGGGTGTGGTTGATGAATATGTAGTTGATGTCAGCCCTACAGGGGCTATTTCACAAGTATATACAGTTAACGGAAAATCAACAGTTAATATCACTAGACTAGACCCGGGACAAATGTATCATGTGTCTGTCAAAGCTGTCACAAGGAACCTTTCTGGTGATGTTTCCGAGGAAAATGTATCAACTGAAGAAATACGTGAGTTTTAATAATTTAGATATGCATTTATTTTTAACTTCTTTTTAGCTTCTTTCAAAGAAGTGTAATAATTTAGATACGCATTTATTTTAAACTTCTTTTTAGCTTTTTTCAACTTAATGCTTTATTAATAATAACTAAGTTAGAGAGTGTATAGTTTTAATTGTTTGATATTTTACTTTTTCGTTTGTGATAAGCATTTCTCTGTAGCTGCATCATGTATGATACTTCCTGAATTTTGAATTACACTATGAATTATGAATTAACTATGAATTGCACCTTGCAATGAGGCTCAATGTCAAACAATACTAAGAGAAGCATAGTGTTTCACCAATTATCATGTTTGCTATTAATATGTGACAATATTGAAAAAAGATGTAGTTGAGGTACATAATTACATATTCACTCATTATTATGTCTTATTCAGTAGAATTCAGATGTTTATGTAACTTCTTTACTTTCTAGCCCCTAGCGCTCCTATAAATCTGACGTCTGATGAAAAGACAACAAATTCAACCAATTTGAAATGGGAAGAACCTCAACATCCTAATGGCAAAGTCACAGATTACTTTATTGAGTACTGGCAAGCTGATCATAAAACCAAGGAATATGATACATATTACAATATTTCCACAAATAGCGCAGATACTTCTTACAGTGTTATTAACTTAATCCCAGGTGTGTATAGTTTGACTGATATTTTTAAAGCTATATTCTTTTGAAAAATTATGTAATTGTGTGATTTTTTAGAGTGATACATAAATTGTTTTTATATTGGCACAATCCCCAAAACAATTTCTATACCTCACCACACATCTACTTATGGACTTGAATAAATGTTCCAGGGTCAACTTACAAATTTCAAGTTAAGGCTGTGAACAGCAAAGGGCCTGGAGAAGTATCAAACAACATTACTGTGACAACAAATGAGAGCAGTAAGTTTGTTGATTTTATTATGGGGTAGCACTTGTCATATACATGTTTTTATACTGTGTCATTTCTTTGAGTATAGAGCCTCAAGTTTAATACAAGAAATTCAATATGAAGATATATCACAAGTTAACCTTTGGATAAGGTAACAAAATATACAGGGTTCTCAGAAGGTCTTGAAATATTTGAAGTGCCTTTGAGAAAAAAAAGGTGAATTAGATTGCTTTTAAAATGTTGTGACCAGTCACTTGAACTGCATTGTTTGCTTCATTTTAATCAGCACCTGGGGAAGTCTCTAACTTAACAGTCAGCCAAAATACCTCCATGTCAATGAACATAGGTTGGGAAGAGCCAATTGAGCCAAATGGAGAGGTTATCACCTATGAACTGCATGTTTTATTGGAAGATAAAAGCTGTGTACAGCAAGTGACTTTCAATTGCACAGATTGTCCAGCAGTAAGTAAGGAGTTTTGGAGTACAAAGTAGACTGTCACCTTAACCATTCCTGTGTACTAACTATCACTAGACCCAATTGGTCTTTAATGCCCACCATCTTGCATCCATGGCAACCAGACAATTCTACTGCTTGCTGGGTTGTGGGGGAGGTATCTATAATGAGAAGAGGGTGTATAATGGACTCCTCTTGACCATATTTTAATTGACTCCTTTTTACCATATTTGATAAAATGTTCAAATAACAAACTGCGTACCCCATAAAAAGACCTGTGTATATACATAAAAGAAGTTTATAAAGAACATTGTGTAACACTTTTTCTTTTTTTCCCTATAAAAATATGTTAATGAAAATTTTGTTACTTGGACTATAATATATTCAGTGTGATTTTTCTTGTAGCATTTCAGTAATATCTATCTTCAAACTAGGGTCATCTCGATACAAACTAAGTGTTTTTAAGACTGACATGTTTTCATTGAAATAACTAATAAATAATAAGTAAATAATCAATAAATAAGTGAAAGATAAAAATGAATATTTAGTATTGGGATTTTGAGATGAGAAATGTCTGATTCACAAGTCACCAATTTAAGCAAATTTAGATATGATAATTTATGCTTGGTCTGATATAGATATCCAAAACCAGTGAAAAAAGTGAAGAAGCACCATCCTGTACTTCAACAGATACAACTCAGAGCTTCAGTATACATGGACGTGTTGACTATACTGTAAGGAACCTGGTACCCTACACCAACTACACTTTTAGAGTTTACCCATTTACATCAGTTGGGAGAGGGAAATCCAAAGATATGAGACAGCAAACTTTGGAAGACAGTAAGTCACTCAAGACCCATTTTATATTTGACACTGTTCACAATCATTGACTTTATCTGTTGTAGAGAAAAGTATAGCAGATAAAGTCAACTGCTGAAAATTTGTTTAAAACAGACTTCTTTTCTTTTTCTTTTAAATGGGACACCATTGTATGTTAGAATATTTTCAGAAAAATGTTGATTTGTTAAAACCATGAACCATTATTTTGTATTGGCTATACCCCAGAGATATGTCACTGTTGAACTTAGGTTTTGAAATTGATTCTTTTTATAGCAACAGTCAAACAATGTAGTGAAATAAACAAAAATAAGAGAACAGAATATTTGTGAGCTCAGATTGAATATTTTGATTGTTTTCCTGTTTTAGCACCTTCTGAGCCAAGAAATGTGATGGCAGTCAACATCACCCAGAATGAAAAAACTGGCCTGAACATAACATGGGAGGCTCCAGACAATCCTCGTGGAATTATAACTGAATATCAGCTTCGTGTAACTGATAATCAGGCCAGCAATTTCTATAATACAACTGATGAGTTAAAAGCTCTCCCTTATCTTCTTAGTTATCAAAATCACACTATTGAGGTGCGTGCTTATACTGTTGCAGGCCCTGGAAATTGGAGTAAGCCACTCACAGCTTTAACAGGAGAAGCACGTAAGTTGAAACTTGCTCAACAAGAAACACTCTACAAAATGTTTTGTTTGCCTGTTCAAAATTCTTTCCTGAAAATATGTGTCTTTTGTAGAGTATAGCTAAACAGAAATTATAATTGAAAATATGTGTTTATAACTGATTTTCATTTCTGCTAATGTTAAGATGTAATAAGGTGTAATGCAATAGTAATTCTGTTGTTAAAACTTGTTTGTCCGTTAGCTGTTCCAGACATCGGTACATTCTTAAGTAAAAAAAAAAAGTTTTAAAACGGACAAACAATATTTACTTTCTACCAGAAAAAGATATAATTTCACCATGAAGGATTTTGTAATTGCTATACAACAAAGATATGCCACTGTTGAACTTATATACTGAAATTGATTCTTTTTATAGCAACATTCAAACAATGTAGTGAATTTCATAAAATAAGAGAACAGAATCTATGTGAGCACAGATTGAATATTTTGATTGTTTTCCTGTTTTAGCACCTTCTGAGCCAAGAAATGTGATGGCAGTCAACATCACCCAGAATGAAAAAACTGGCCTGAACATAACATGGGAGGCTCCAGACAATCCTCGTGGAATTATAACTGGATATCAGCTTTGTGTAACTGTTAATGATACCAGCAATTTCTATAATGCAACTGATGAGTTTAAAGCTCTCCCAGATCTTCTTAGTTATCAAAATCACACCATTGAGATACGTGCTTATACTGTTGCAGGCCCTGGAAATTGGAGTAAGCCACTCACAGTATTAACCGGAGAAGCACGTAAGTTGAAACTTGTTCAACAAGAAGACACTCTACAAAATCTTTTGTTTGCATGTTCAAAATTCTTTCCTGAAAATATTTGTTGCCCTTTTTACTTTTGTCAAAAGTACATATATTTTATATTTTTTGTATTTTGTTCTAACTTCTTTTTAATTCTGTCAACTTTGTCAAATTTTTGATGTCACCATTAAGAGTTTCATTTTATGTTTGTAGTTCAGAGCAATGTTTTCATTATTTAAATTGATGCATAAGCAAGTAAATCTTTTAAATACAGTTAAAATTATACTGTTAAAATTGTTTACAAATTTTATGTCAGGACCTAGTGCACCTCAGCATATTGCATTTGGTGACATATCTCCAACATCAATTGAAGTGCAGTGGCAGGATCCAGTGATGAAAAGAGGCATTCTCGTAGATTATCTTATCACTGTGACAAAAGCATCCAATTTGGAGGTAGTGAAGAATGAAACCCAAGATGCCAATGAAGCAAAATCATTCAACGCAACTGGCCTTGACCCATGTCGGAACTACACATTTAAAGTTGCAGCTAGGACCAGCAAAGGGTTTGGAAATTACTCCTCTGAACAGACCAACTCAACAGCAGTTAATAGTAAGGACCATCTTAGGCAATGTTTAATTTTGTTTCAATAAAATGTTGTGGTTCTAATTCCTGAATTAGACATTTTGATTGCAACTTCCCACTTCATCAGAAGTCCCTAGATGAAGAGGTAAGCACAGAGGGAAAACACAGCATAATGGAGGGTTACAATCATGTGACTACTTTCTGTTGTTTCTATTTATTTCTTAATTTTTAATGTGGATTGTAATATACTGTTCTGTTATTTTGAAATAAGTCTGGTTAGGTGTAGTTGGAATTGTAATCTGAGGTAGGTTGTTAAAATGTTTAGGTAACATAAGTAACAGTATTGAAAGTTGTGAAGATATATTTGATACTATGTCATTTCCCTTAAATCAAAATGTATTTAATAGACCTTTGTTTGGTGATTATCTGCTCTTTATCCAACTTGACTTATCCTATCAGTCCCAGGCACACCAGTGAGAGTTAAAGCAGAAGCTAAAACCTCAACATCCATCCTGGTGATGTGGACTCCACCACCAAATGAGACATGTCTCATAGACTATGTGGTTGAGATGACTGAGAGTGACGGCCAAAATTCTGTCAAGGAATTAATTAAAGGTAGTAAACCATTAAATTTCAAATCTTGTCAGGATTTTATTTTGATTGGATGGGGGGGGGGGGGGGTAAAATGTTACACATTAGTAGAAATTTATTGATATTTTTCCATTTAGGAATAGCTTATATTTAGTGTAACTTGAAAACAGTTTCTGAAAGATATGACAGGTTTTTTTTTTCAAATTCAGAATATGAATTTGATAAAATTTACAACCAGGTTCTTCACCAAATTATGCTAAAATACATTTTTAGGATACCAAAGTACTGAAAAAAACATCACAGGCCTGAAAAAGTACTGGTCATATGATATAAAGGTGAAGGCAAATACCACAGCTGGACCCAGTATGCCTTCACCAAATGTAACCAAAAGAACTCTGGAAGACAGTAAGTGAAATAATTAATACATCATCACAATAACACATTCTGAATATGCATCATTCTGAATTGTTTTAATTGCTATGTTTTTCTTATTTTGATACTTTTCATAGGAAGGTGATTAATTGTAGTTAAATTGCTGTCATCTCACATATTATCATTCAAATTGTTTTTCAATTTTAGCACCTGGTCCACCAGCAAGGGTGAATGCCAGCTGTGATGTCTGCTATAATAATATGACTGTGACTTGGGAAGCACCAACCAGAGAAAACAAACATGGATTAATAACAGGATATGTGATCTATTATATATCGACTGATGGGGAAATATCTGTGAGTGAAGCAAATTTGTTTCATTATAATTGTAATTGATCTGTAACACAACTTATGTAGCAGGTGATGATTTTGAAGAATGTTTATGTTGCTGCCAAGATGTTAATCCATGCAGGTCCTTAATCTGGGTAGGTGATCTTGCCTACTCACATTATAAAGTTATAATCAGAAATTATTTATTATGAAGATTAAGAATCAAACATTTATTTTGAATAAGGCAAATTTAAGTTAAACTAAAGACTATTTTTTTTATTTTATAGAAAAATAAAGAAATCAGTGGCAGCCAGAATTCATCCACAATAACTAGTTTATCAGCAGAGAAAAGTTACCAGGTCAAGGTAAGATAAATTGTTTTATTCATGAACACATTCACTGCCACATGCATTTTATTTGAAGTATGTTATGAGATTGATTTGCCCATTTAAAATAAATGGCATTTAAAATGTACACAAGAGGCCTGTCAGGAAGGCTTTTTATTTCAACCAATCAGAGACTGTCACTTGAGACTCTAATGGTAATTGGAGAATTTTAAACTACAACAGTTGGTTTTAACCAATCAGAGACTGTCACGTGACGCTGACCAATGGTCAGTTGAGAATTCTAAAGCACAACGGTCAGTTTTAGCACACCAGCCTGAGGCAGCCCTTGGCATTTTGTCGCCCACAGCACCACTTTTACAGATCTTCCCTTCCACCCATTCCATGGATGTTCATAACCACAGACTTTGAATTTTCACAATTACGTGCTTTTACCCAATTTAAATATATAGGATTCACTACAGGCTTTATGTTCCAGGTTGCTGCACGCACTAGTGTTGGTGAAGGGGAAAACAAGACAGCACCAACCAACGTGAAGCTGACATCAGGACGTGAGTAAAATTTTAGTTCTGTGGAACATATAACACTGGATTCCCAAAGAGAATAAAAACCGAGCTTTTGTGGTCTATATGCTGCAAATATTGCAGTCAGAAGCTGAGTATTCATCTGTGAACACAGCATTGATATACATGTACCTTATTAAAAGTTCATTCATTTTAGCATAAATAGTTGAGATATGACATATCAATTGATTTTATTGGACAATTTTTGGGCATTCCAGCTCCCATATTCGTTGCCCTTGCTAATACTTTTGCTAAAGTATCAACCGCAAGTGTGGAAGATGCCAGAAAACAAATTTCATTGCAAGTGCCCAGTTCTCCATTTGGCTCAGAAAACGGAATTGTGAGGAACATAAGCGTTATTGTGGCAGAAGACTCGGAGGCAGGTGTGTGAATGCTTTCTAAGGAAAGTGCATACTGAGATATATGACATAAATAAAATGACAAACACTATCAAATTCCCTGAAGTAAATGAAGTGAGACTATATTATGTAATCACACGTTAAGAGCGTGTCCATGAGAAAGCCAGATAGATAAGTCAGAAGGCGGCAAGGTGGGGGTCAGCAGATTTTAATAATTTTTGGTGTGGTAAACCATCAACATAAAAGATATTGTGAGCCACTGGCTTTCTTATTTTGGATCATTAGTTTTAGAGATATGGGGGCAGATCTTTTATTGGCAATTTTGCCAAAATATAGCATATTTTAGCTCTTGAAAAGTAATAATTTTAAATATTCTTTTAAAAAATCATGTACATNGTCCACTTTTTCAGAAAAAGAAACCCCCCTTTGAAATTGCTGGCTATGGACCTGTAGTGTATAAACATAATCTGATTATCATTTAAAGTATTATTATTTAACATTGTATTTTTTTGTTAAAATAGTTATAGTAATTATTTTAAGGAAAATGTTTCAGGGTTTTAATGCACACATTGTCTTTACCTTTTTAAATGTGACAGAAAATTGAAGAGGAAATCATCAAGTGAAGCAGAGCAGCCACCATACAGTAAACCAGGGTAAGTATTCCAGATATATATATATACATGTATTATATTATATTGTGATAGACACTAATGTAAAACTTGCTTGCAGTAATTACTCGATCTTTTAAGTGGGGAGAAAATTGTGAATTTTACAGTTAACTGTGTTTTTAAGTCACTTAAAATTACAACATTCCTGTTTAGCAGTAGCATCAAATTTGAAATGCCAGCTTCTCTATAGCTGTATTCTATGTAGTAAATGCACTTCCAGTACATATATTATACAGAAATATAATTTTTGTGGCTATTATAATTTGTACCTGAAAGTTAGATAATTTTTCCCCCTTGAAAAGATCTAGTAATTACCGTAAGTGTTGCTAATATGGACTGATGCTGGACACTCTGCATGTACAAACTGCTTTGCCTTATTTATTATAAGGTCATTTTCCTGTTGTACAGACAATAATGTATGATGGTTCTTCTTTTTAAGTCTTAATTAATTTCTTTTGCATCGTGTTTAGAGTCTGTGGACAACTATGTTCATAAAATGAATAGATGATCTCTGTTCTGATTGAGAAATACACAATGATATTTGTAGAAATTTATTTTTCATTGTATATTATTTGCTATAATAATTATTATTTTTTGAGAGCATTTTTAAATTAATCCTATTTCTTTTCTGTTCAGTCTTCCTTTTGTTTAAGACAAACATGTAGGTAAAGGAAACAATTTACAAGTACTATGTACCAGAGATAGGATAACTCAACTAACTGGGTGGGAAAATGGTGGCAAACTGACCTCTTTTGTGCTGAATTGCTTGGATTTTACTCCCCCTTTTTCCAAAAATTGTCACACTTTGGGCCTTTTTTTTTCTGTGAGAATGCTAGATTCAACAAAGTTAATCATTGCAGTTTCAGGGGGCAAGCTGTGAACCTTGAGTTATAACAGTTTTGGCTGCATTTTTTGCAGCCTACAAGTGAACTCAAGATTTTGTTTTGTAATTATAGTGAACATTTTACATGAAAGTACACAGACAACAATTTTGACATTGGCATTATTTTTCTGTCAATCTGACAAATTCATTTTATTTAGTTTTATGAAATGATATAAAAAGCATGCTGTAATTATGTGGTACTAATTATGCAAAGTCAACGTAGGAATTAGGATGGAAAGAAATATGTCGATGTCAACGATAAAAAAAACAATTATGGCTTTAATTTTGGCTTTAATTTGGTACAGTTTTGAAAGCCATTTTCTCAAAATTCATTATTGTGATGACATTATGTTGACATTGTATGATCAGGGACAAAAAAAAAAAAAAAAAATTGGCCCAGAGTTTGGCACTGTTGGAGTAGTCAGACTGTCTTCTCTATGATCTAACCTATGCATACTTACCTGCTTGTAATGTTTTAGTATTCAACTAATACACTGAACACAACAGAGTGCCCCCTTGTCACATAGTTTACAACTTATTGGCTTCACCTCAGTACATGGAATGGTCACCTTGTACTGGGGAGGTGCATGGACTTATTGATAAAATTAACCTACTGTTGTCTAATACTGGCATTACAGTATTTAGATTTTTATTATCAACTTTGCCCTTTACTCTAAAACACATCATTTGACTTGGGTTCATTTTGTATCCCACTATAACATATTCAGAAGATTTCAAATTATTCTTCTTCTATTAGATTTTGTATAGACACTAATAGCATGTTCTTTAATTTTAAAAACTCAAGTTTTGTCTGCATGAGTGGTACGTACGTGAGATTAATTTATTCAGAGACTAACTAAATATGCAAATATTTTTGTGGTTTCTCAATGAGTTCAGAAGTCTGAAATTCAATTGCTTTGCTTTTAATGTAGGTGAGAAAAAGTTCTCTAGTTCACAAATATGTACATTACTAAAATGGGTATGGGTAAAATACACGTTTTAACAAATGGGTGTTCAAATATTTTACATGGAGATGTTTTAAATTTTTTAATTTTGAAGATGATTTGTTATATGTTAGAACACTGAAAACTGCTCGACTGCTTATATATGGTATATGCCAAGGATATGAAATACATACTTAAGCTGGACAAAATTATGACCAGTCCTTCATTTCTTCTCAGGGAAATGAGGAAAGAATCGAAATCTTCAAAATCCAGAACGAGATCGATACAGTCTCCCACACCAACTACTGTCTCATCATCTGCAACAGTTCATCAGCCTCCTCCTCCTCCTCCACCACCAGGGGGCATTCCACCACCGCCACCAGGGGGAGCTCCACCTCCACCACCTCTAGCACCTACACAAACCACAGCACCATCTTCAGGAGGGAGGGGAGCACTACTGGGTGACATCAGGAAAGGAATGACACTGAGGAAAACGGTCACCAATGATAGAAGTAACCCCAGGGTGTAGACCTTTCAGATGACCATTGTCCAGTATGGCTCAGATGACCATTTGTCCAATATGGCTGACCATGAACCAGATGGATTTAGGTGCAGAGGTTGAAGGAGCAGATGTGTGCTTGGGTTGATAATTGATGATATGTTAACTGATGCAATATGGTGCAAAACGACAGAAGGAACAACCTGCAAAGTTTAAAAGTTCTCATGTTTTTATTTGTCACCATTTCTTTGCTGTCTCAAGTTTTAAAATATTAGAACTTGAAATTTACACTGTTAGAAAGTTAGTTTTGGCCAGGGCTTGTTATATTATTATTATTATAAATGAACACATAAATACAGAATTCTGTATGCAACTTTTTACATATGTATAGGAATAATGATATTACTGGCCTTAATTATTATGTTTTCGTTTTAGTTTTTAAGAGGGTTTCTTCAATGCAGCTTTTTTGTTTAGGCAATAAACATACAGTATGCTTCAGGTATTTTAAGGCTTACTGTTACCTGCAACGTTTTGCTTTAATAGTTAATACCAGTAGTTGGGATGTAATGACAAACTAGTGGCTATAGTACTAGTTAATATACACTGCACCAGGTGGCAGGTCAGAGCATCTTAATGTTATTGTATAGGTACAGTTTTTGTACCAGTACATGTACCTGAATGTACAGTTTATCTCTTTGTGCACATTGAAGAATTTTAAAAGCATCTTTGTTTTAATCAATGTGTAATACTTACCTAAATGCTAATTTAAAAGTGGATTGAAGGTTTTTCTTTTTAATTAAGTTTTAATACCCAAGAAGAAAATAACAAATTTTGCAGAAAGGTTTTTTTTTTTATAAAAAGAAGGACAGATACTATTGGAGTGCTTTACTGTTTTACATGTATGTGCTGTTGATTACCCTGTCACTACATGGTGAGGAGGGTGACAATTGCACATGTTTGTTAATTACCAGTGGCTTGATCTTGATATATCTGTTAATTAGGAATTAACATTGTTCACCACATTAATAAAGAAAATGAGAAAATACACAGCATTTTATTATTTATTTGTTATCAAGATTAAATGTTATGTTGTAAAAACTAAATTATTTGTTGACATAAACCATTATTTTTGTTAATTGTACAAAGAATTTTAACTTAAATTCTAATATTATAGTGTTACTTGAATGAGTATTGTTAATTATATGAAGTTTACCAAACTATTTTAATTTAAGCATTTTATGCAAGTAATTTTTACATTTACTTTCTGTAAATCATCACTACATGTATAACTTTTTCATAATGTTGTGCTTGTATCATCAGATGAATTCTTTTTCATCACACCAGAATGAAGTTGTCCTGCCAATAAAGCACTTACTCTTTATCTTTATTATTACATTTTCAATAAAAATATTTGCACAATGTCACCAGGAATTATTAAAAAAGAACAATTCACTCTGGGCATCCAGATCCCATTGATATCCTTGGTTAAAAACATAAAAGAAACTCAATTTGTATGGATCAAGATACCTAGTATATTTTATTTTTCTTTACCCTGCCAACTAAGCAAAAACTTAAGTTATAAATGATAAACTTCAATATGTAATGCACAAGTCACATATCTTATATTTCTGTCTTAGATCAGGTGCCACTTTGCAACGCTCTTTAGTGTGACTCTGACTTGGAAAGGGGGGGGGGCATAGGTGGGTCTTATTTATTGAGGGTAAAAAATGGTAAATACAAATTTTATCTGCCTGATGGCCCTAATGACTAGCTTAGTAATAAGTTAATTCTCATCTATTAAGTTGTCATGAAGTACATTGTAAGTGACTATGGCTTAAAGGAGTCTTCTATATTGGGTGATAACTTGAAGGCTTTGCGGTAAAGCTCTGCTGCCTCTGCGCATTTTCCTTGAGCCTGAAAAAGGTAGGTAAATACATGTATACGTATGATTAAAATGCAAAAGAGAAAATGATTCTTAATGAAGAGAGATAGAAAAAGAGTGGAAGATTGTACTAATTTAGTAAATGAATGAGGAATAAAGAGAGGCTTGGGTAGTTAAAAAAGAGCAATTTACTTAAGACATTGCCGTCAGATATTTTCAACTGACCTCCAATCTTTCTGCTTCCTGTAGAAGCTGAATGGCCATCTCGTCCTGCTCGCTAGCTGCCATCTTCTCGACCCTGTGATACATGATATCTGTCCTCATGATGTACTTCACTCCTGACCTACAGATACAAACAACAGGAATGTGTCAAAAACTTGAACAATTCCCTCCATTAGAAAGTATTCTGAATCGGCCATCACTATGGCTGATAAATATACTGACGCCAAGCCAAAAGTGACTAACACCCCATTCTCATAGATTAGATCGACCTACATTGGATCGACCTAACTCCTTGGGGGTTCATGCTAAATAGCTGTCAGCCGGGCGGACATGAAAGTTAATTATCCCTTTCTGCTTGTAGTAGGTGGGGACGGACACTTAAGGCGGATTATCTGACAGTAATCTAGTGAGACTCCCCTCGGTGATAGATCGATCTAAAAGTTGTGAGAACAGAGCCTAAAACTGAGGCTGGGCCAGTCAACTTTAATTTACCAACACGTCTGTCCAGTTCCTGGTCAGAATGTTTGCATTGGACCAGGTTTGAATTCTTAGACCCTAGTGTAATATTGTTTTCCTTTATTGTTGATTTTTCGGAATATTTATCTCCGTAAGTTGGAAAACTTATAGCCTTCATATTATGTTTTACTAAAAACATAATTGTCATTTTGAATGTCCACTTTTCTGGCCGTATATTTTATATGAAACTAAACTATTGTAAATCATCTGAGAAATATCAAATGCCCAGATAAACCAATCTACTGGACATCAGATAAACAACGTGGCAGAAGACCAAAAAAAAAGCAGTTGTTACATGAGTTACTTACTTAATTCTCTCCCCCTCATGCAAGCGGTGATGGTTGAAGATGATGGCCATGCCCGTCTCTGGCTGGACGCGATGGATCACGTTTTTCTCCTCGGCGCAATATTTGCCGCTGGAATCCTGTGAGAAAACATAAACGCTGGCATAAGTTTAAGATTGTAATATATATCGACCTAGCTTGTAATGGAAAAAAGTTGTAATTAAGATGTTGATAAATAAATAAATAAATAAATAAATAAATAAATAAATTAATTAATTAATTCTGGTGAGTAAATCTGTATTACTGTGATAAACACTGAATTACATTCAAGAGAGGAAGACCCTGGGGAGGGGGTAAGAGTTGGGGGAGGAGGGAAATAGGCAGCAGTTAGATATGAAAAGTGTTTTTCAGGTATATTTTATTTTGCAGGATCAACATATTTGTTATTCCCATGTGTGTGCCCATGGATCCTACAACCAAAATTCCTCAAAGCGAACTTACCATGTGCAGTTGTTGTGATTCGTCCACAAAGTTAGTTGTTCCTCCTGTAAAGTCATCATTTAAGTAAATCATGAATGTCTTCATTGACCTCTTCTCAGAACTGGACACAAAATGACCATCAAAATGAGGAGCAAAATGACCCCCTGGCTGATACTTGCAGATTCTGAAGAGCTGAAATTGTACAAAATTGTTCCAGTACATTACCAGTAGTTTCACAGCTACTGTAACAGGTTAATATCTATAATCTATAGACCTTCACTTCAATGTACATCAAGTGCTTATTAATTTTTCAGAGACATAAGAAAGTGATTTTTCATTTTAAGAATAAGATATTATACACAAATTGTACAAACTGGAGGAAATACCTACTGAAAGTAGCATATATAACTCTATAGGTGGCAGATGGTGGACAAAATTTTAAGAAATGTAAAAATAATATGTGCAGAGGTATACAATATTTAGAGGACATTTTATAATAAACTGGACTGCCCTAGGAAATTATTTTATTGAGGGATAAACACAAATACATGAATAAAACTTAAACAATACTTGTCAGTAAATACATGTGACATTGTCTTCATACCTCATTGAGACCATAAGGCTTCCAGCGCCCCTGCAATGCCTGCTTTAATCCATGAATGTGCTGCTGATGTGGGTCTCCGTGAATCTCGATATCCTCCACGTGTGTCTTGATGGTGTCCCAGAGATGAGAGGCCAGAGCAGAGGACTGTACCAATAGTCTGCAATATACAAGGTACCCCGCGGTACCAGTACAAACATCTCAGTTATTAATTACTAAAGATTCATATACGAAACTTGAGTCTGTCTAAAAAACATATGAGTCAACGGATTTCAGTGATAAATGATCATGAACATTACAGTTAAAAAAACTTTAAGTTGAAAAAAAAAAAAAAAACACTTTCAAAGGTTCGAATGAAGTTGTTTGGAAGATGTTTACTAGTATAGCTACAATAACTTGTACATTGTATAAGTTATATTTAAAGTTTGTGTACACAGTATACATGTACATATGTACTAGTAGCTATAACTTACATACTGAAGCATTCTTGTGTTCACCTGATGATAATGGGGCCGTAGCAACAGTCTGAAGATTCATTGGTCCGAATGTTCACTATAGAACCTTCGGACCAATGAACCCTTGATTAAAAAAGAGAAGAAAATGTTACCACTTTTCGGACCAATGAACCTTAATTCGGACCAATGAACCTTAATTCGGACCAATGAACCTTAATTCGTAATATTGAGACGCCCCCATGATTATATATTTACAGCATCTCTTAATGTAACCCATCCATTTCCCCGGGCCATTCTTTTAAAGGACAATGTTCATGTAAAAATCCATTTCTCGAATTTTGAAGATACAGCACTCAATCCANTTTATACAACTTGGGATAACCATAATGAAATGCTTGTTAAAGAAATGACTAGACGGGAAATGGTTTTACACAGCTTCACGAGGATTTAGACCCCTCGGGTAAGAGATTTGAATGAGTATAAACTTTTATCAGAAGCCAGAGAAGTCATCTTACAGGTAGACAATGCAGCTCAGTTTGACAGCTAAGCACGCTCTGTTCTCCAGTGGCTCGATTGTCGTCATTGGACCACGTGACCACGTAGCTCATTAACTCCCATTCCGAGCAAATAGGACGTTTTTTAAAGCCAAAAATTTACAAAATGAGCTTTTAATTTGTGTATTTGGATAAAGATATCGTTAGTTGGGCATGTTTTCTGAAGAATATGTTCCGTTCAGGCCATTCTGACGGCATGAAGCAAACCCTTTAATAATTTGTAAACTATTCATGCTATGTGTATACTAGTATATCGATGCATGCAGCTACAAGAATATGAAACTCGGTACCTTTCACAACTTCGGTAATTATTCTTCACAAGTTCAGGTATGGCCCCAAAACCCTCATTTTCAAACTCTTGAATATATTCTTGACATTCTTGCTGCGAGAGTATACCGTGCAGCAAGAATCCTTCGCTTCCAAAATCAAGTATCTCCGATCGTGTGAGGGAACGAGGCTTGGAATCGTCCGAGGCGACTTTCAGTTTCATATTTGTCAAAATTTTTTCGTCTTCACCTTTCTGGTAGACATTCTCTTCTTCTTTAGGTATAAAAACCTCCTCTGACATTTTGACATGTCCGTGTTAAATCGTGATAATGGACAATTAAATATTTGGTTTATTTAAATAAGGTCTAAAATTTATGACTGAGAAATCAATTTCATGCTCTTGTGCAACAGGAAACAAACGATGGTGCTGTATTCCACAAAGCGTCCGTGCTATCTGTGCCTGGGTGCTAAGCTTAAAACACACAAATTGTATAATTCTCGATAATTTTGTCTCTAACATTGATCATAAGTAGTATTTGTGGCGTATTTTTAATTTTATTATACTCTAAATTTCAGTTTTAATGCCTGAAAATAACCATTTGTGTCCCTCGAGGTACATGCTCTCGTTTGCAGCCTAGCCCATATCGCCTCGCTTTGGTAACGCAATTCAAGATGGAGGAGAAAGATGTAAACAAAAGTGGTTTCTAGCAAAATGTAATCTACTTTCTTCTTTCTGGTGACTGCATTTGGAACAAATAATGTCTCAAACGAGACAGGAACAAACGTGGAATGAGCAAAGTGACAGGTAACGTGAAAATATATGTGTTAATTTGTGTAAAGATGAAGTACTGACCAAGTCGCAGAATCTAGTGAAATATGAAATACTTTTTCCTGCAAACACATTCTGGGTGTTATTTTATTTATGAATACTCGTCTTTAATGCAATGCAACTGCCAACGTGATCGTTGTCATTATTTTTTGAACTACTAATTATCTTAAAACTTTCAAAAACCATAATGGGTAAATCTGAAAGTATGATTTTAGGAATTTTTTTTTCAAACAACCTTCAAAATGCAGAGTTCATGTGTTTATCTAAAGTGTTTATGGTGTGCATATGAAATATTAATGAAAGAAATACATAAAGAGTGCTGTCATCCACTTCATGGTTTATAGTTGTTGTTTATTTGTTGTTTATTTGTTGTTAGTTTGAGAAGGATCCGCGAGCAGTTGGCAGAGGCACAGGAACACCAGCCCAGACGCCACTCTGCAGGAACGTCAAAGAGGAAGGGATATGATCCCAGGCAGACCAGGACACCACCTGCTCTTCTACCAAGGTTGACCAATCATTTGCCTTGACACATATCTCACCCCATGACTATATCAATCATTTGCCTTGACTCTGAACCAGTCGTGCTGTCTTCCACACGTACATGTATCTCAAAACAAGACTGTACTAATCACTATATGAAAAACACATAAACTTGATGATAAAATGTGACTATATTAATTAAGCAATTGATTAGTGCTTATTACAAACCATCACAGCATCATGCTCTTATCAATATAAATTTTTCTACATACGTATATAGTACATGTAGAACATAATCGAAATATAAATCATAGTGGTCAACTAACCTTTCCAGACTGGACACTCCTCCTGACCATGACCAGTACAGACAGAGTCCAGTGTTAAGAGGCAGCAGGTATGGTGTGGTGCCACCTGTTGGACCCCGCCAAGAGGCATATGAGAGGTATGTCTTTTTGTAGGAGATCATTTTACTGACGCTTAACAAGGCAGTGAACTCAATCTAGTCTGTGAAGGTTACAAAATATGGATCATTTCTAAGTGGAAAGGGAGTCCCTCACTTTTTCCATTTTTATAAATTTGCTTATTTATTTTTAATTTGTAGATAATGGATTAATGGACATCAATAAGAATTGTAAATTTAATTTAGGTTTATTATAAATTTTCCAATCAAAAGCATGATAATGTTAGGAAAGTAAATAGACCTTAGTATAGATATGTGTTGGTATAATGTGTTCTTGTTTCTGTGGTAATTATTACTGTATATTGCAATGTTACCATATGCAGCATGATGCTTGATATTCAGGTATTGTATTGTATTGTATTGTATTGTATTGTATTGTATTGTATTGTATTGTATTGTATTGTATTGTATTGTAAATGTATTGTAATGTTTTTTTTGTTTTTGTTTTTTTTTTGTTTTTTATTATTTCATTTATTATAACTTTATTCTTAACACTTTTGTTTTTGTACATTTTTGACTTTATAACCAGCATACTTATTCAATAAAAATCATTAGTTTATACTTTTAATGTTTGCTTTTAATAATGTAGTTTTTATATATATTTTTCAATTTCTGTTTGCATTATTTTAACAGTTTGCTGCTAACACTGTAATACACCCAGTAGGAAAACAATCTTCATTAAACATACATGCAGTGCCTTAGTTTGTACCATTCCTGTCATGTGGCTGCTAGCATTATTGGTATACTAATACATCAATGTACAGCAAAGGTAAAACTCAAAGTGAAGCATAACAAAGCTAGTATCTACACTGTGTGTGCATGTGCATGCGTGCATGCCCATGTATCATTGCCACGTGCACACTGCTCTTACAGGTCTCCTTCTACGGATAGCTGGGGTGATGACAGTGATGGCTACGAGCCCCGCCCCCACGGGTACGAGCCCCACCCCCAGGTGTTCCCTGTACCCTACCAGTACCCTTATCCTCAGCCATACCCATATCCATACCCTGCAGTCTACCCCATACCCTCCATGGTGTACCCACCACCCCCTCCAGTCCCATACTACCTCCAGGCAGCTGCTGCAAGACCAAAACACAGAAAAAAGCACAAGTATAGTCACTAATATGAACTACAGAGGGCAGCACATGATGGAGCATTCAGTGATTTTGTCTTAATGAAATCCATCCTTTGCTGCCTTCTGTATACTCATAACTAATTTAGCACTTGGATTTTCATATAATCTCTTTTTAACTTCTTAAATATTTATACCGTTTGCCGTGTGAATTTTGTGCTGGGAAGATTTGTAAATTTTACTGGAGTGAAGGTTTTTCTGGTTTCACAAGTAATCTGCAGCAATTAGACAGGTATTGTTTGTGGTGTAAACTAGACTACAGTAGAATCTAACAATCTCATAAGAATATTACTTATTTCTCTTCTGGAACTTACAATCCATGATGACCATTTTAAAATAAGTGGATTAAAAGAAAGGACAACCCAAATACAATTTGTTGACTTTTTTTCATTTCCTTTTCCCTGAAGGTCAAAACATTCCAATGCCAAAGCCAACCAAAAAGACCAGGCCACCTATACAATAGAGGACAGGGCCACCCAATACTCGCATATAGAAAACCGTCCATTTTGGAAGGACAAGTTTGAAGAAACTTACAAATTCCACACAAAACCTACACAGAGTAGAATGAATGGAGTGATAAACTATAAAGGAAAAGACAGGCAGTCACATTTAGATGAAGATGGCGATGAGAATCAAGATGAGACTGTGCCAAGGTTTAAGTATATTTCCACTACAAAACAGAGGAGTGATGTTTTTGATGATTCAAATTCTGTGATACAAAGGTATAAGGTGAGTTTTTCAAAAACATTGACATCTGTGATGTTGAGTGCATATTTTGGTTCTTATTAGAGCATGCAACTGCATGTTTCTTCTGTTGAGTAAGATATTGAGCATTTATTTTTCAGCTACATCTTTGTGATGTTTTTTCAGTATTTGATGAAAAATGTGAATCCTTTAAAGTCAGGATTATGCCTGATTTCAGGAACTGCAGTCTTCATTTTGCGATGAGAAATTGCAAACTACGTTTCAGGATCTTCAGTTTTTACAAAAAAGCAATAGGAAAATAATGCCGATGTTTTGTCTTATTGTCACATACCACAACAGCTGCTACAATTATTGTTTTTCTGTGTTTTGAAAAGTGTATTTTTTTTTCATCTTTAAGTATGACAGGGGGAAATATAAAAGTCCAGTCCCAGATTCAGGACCTGCTTTTTCACAACAGACATTTGCAGAGTTGAGCCTGACAAGACTAAATAAGGTACACAGAATAATGATATAGTATCAGCAACTCTCTGTGTAAAGACATTTATAGTAAACAATAACACTAAATGAATTTCACAATGCACAAGTAACTTAATATTTCATTGATGACATTCCTTTCCAATTTTTATGCAAAAATCTGTCATTTTATTCTTTTTAACTTATTTTTTCACATTTTTTTACAAAGTTCTTCTTCTTCTTCTTCTTATTATTATTATCATTATCATTATAATTATTATTTCAGCATACCCAGGTAGCCCAGTATTTCAATGCTCATAACTCCTTTGCTCAAGTATTTGTAGAGGATTTCATACAGGAGGCTCTGGAGGATGAGATTGTCCCAGATCTTCTGATAGAAGTGGTGTCAGAGCAGAAACAGACGGTAGGCTTGGCTTTGGTGGAGAGTGTTTTATATTTTGCGAGGTGTTTTATCTTTGTTAGACTACTTCTTCTTCAATTCCTTTACCCAGGCTTTCAGCTAGACTACAAGTTTTGGCCAATTCAGCAGATTGGGAAGATTGGGAAGATTTTTCTGTGATTAACAGATTTGTTAAAGAGAATGTGTATCCTCTCCAGCCTTGCATGATGCTTAGAGGTAATTTTGAAATGAAACACATGTAACTGGCTATGTCACACGATAAGATGTTTTTACGGTTATCTCATCACATATTCAGGTATCAGTGAAATCTCGCTTGCTGCCAGGTGGCGCTGTAGATCTTTACTCCATGACGGCTGCTCAGCTGCGTGACTTGGACAGAGACACGCTGATGAAGCTCACTGACAGGTAGTCCTATCATAATGGTTGTGTCTCCTCCAGACATTGTGATACTCAATAATATTTGCAATCACTATGTCTTATTTTGTGGTTGTTGGTCTAATTATCCTTATAAAAAGTTAAAGTTAATATATATATAATTTTTACCCGTAACCTATTGTCTTTGATGTGAATATTTCATCCCTTATAAAATGTACTTAAATACACCACCTCACCCTCACCCCCACCCCTATTTAATCAATAACATTGCTGGCATAGAGACATTTGTATTAATCCCCAGCTACCTAATGGAGAGAATGTCCCAGAAGGATCTCGGCGAGGACATCGCCAGTGCCCTGCTCAGTGAGGTGGTCCACGAGGGCATCCTTCAGGTTGTCAAACTGGCTACGCAGGAAATGGTCAGCGGATACCTGGCTAAGAGCGCCGGAAGTGACGTAATGGCGGATTTGGTGGAGGATTACATCGCTGAGATAGGCCATGAGTTGGTAAGTGAAGGTGATGTGCTGAAAGGGGCTCCTCTTGAATTTGCAGCACCATCTGGTGTGTTTTCAGCCTTATTTGGTCATAAATCTTTTATTTCCATTGCAACAATTTTGTAATGAGAATATTTTTAAAATGTTGAATGGATAAATATGCTTTTTTGCTAGCTCTTGTGTACAGGGAGGCTATCACAGTTTAATGGTATAAAAAATGTAAAGTTAAACATTTAAAGATTAAAGTTATTTTTGAATCTTCAAGGTTGAAGAGGTCATCACAGAGGTGCAGTTTGAAGATGTCCTCGATGAGTTTATCGAGGAAGATGTTGACGAGCTAGCCAATGAGGTGGCAGTAGAGGTCCTGACGCACTATGACACCAGGATACAGAAAAGAGAGCTCAGAGAGGTCGGTGATTGGACTGTTTATGTGCAGTCCGGCCCATAGCCAAGGGGGGGGGGGGGAGGGTTGAAAGAACTCCCCCTTTTTACTGGGAAAAGGTCCCCTTTGGGTAAAATTTTACCTAGGTACATGAAGGTTTCATAGTAAAAGGTCCACATTTTCAGAAAAAGAACCCCCTTTTTGAAATTGCTGGCTACGGGCCTGGTTTATGTACAGACACACATACTTTGATTTAAAGTAAGCTTTTACATAAGAGCTACTGTACACTCATGGAGAAATGGACATCTGTACTCTTCATAGCTGTAAAAGGGAATAAAGTTCCTGTTACATAATTGTATGTGGTGACCAGTGGAACTGGTGCTGTACAGAAAATTACTATATGATGAAAATTGAGTACTAACTGGTCTAAAATGTATATGTATGGCCCGTATTTGTAGCCAGAAGTTCATTGACTCCATGTGTTGGAGTACTTATTGTCTTTGGTGGCCCTTATTACACTGCTCACTAGTCTAAAATGTATGACCTGTATTTGTAGGTAGCCAAATATGCCAGCCAGAAGTTCATTGACTCTATGTGTTTAGAGTACTATACTACTTACTAGTCTAAAATGTATGTCCTATATTTGTAGGTAGCCAAATATGCCAGCCAGAAGTTCATTGACTCTATGTGTTTAGAGTACTATACTACTTACTAGTCTAAAATGTATGTCCTGTATTTGTAGGTAGCCAAATATGCCAGCCAGAAGTTTATTGACTCCATGTGTTTGGAGTACCTGTTGTCTTTGGTGGCCAGACAAGGGCAGTTGTGGACAGAAGATGACCACGCAGATAAACTACTGGACAGTATGTTATCTTACTTTATACACATTTACCATTCTCTAGACCCATACTTTGTCTCTTTAATGTACTGGTCTTCAATTTATATTTTGTTCATTTATTTGATTTGATATTTATTTATTTATTTATTTATTTATTTATTTATTTATTTATTTATTTATGTATTTCTTTATTTATTTATTTCCAGTTTTCCATTTTCTTTTTTATATCTGGTATTAAATGTATAATTATATTTGATTTGAATTTGATTTGCATACTAAAAGTCTTATTTTATAGTGAAATACCTGACTGTGAATATTGCTATAATATTAAGGTTTGATGTTGAATGTGCTACTGGAGCAGTTCTTTGGAGTCAGTGGAGAGAGACAGAGAACACTGGATAACTTACCCCTCAGGAGACTCCACGAGAAGATAGTGACAGATGTGGTGAGTGGTTTCTACTGATGTTTATGCATGTCTACTTCCTAAAACAGACAAGTAATATGCATGCACATGGTCCTGAAGAAAAAAGAGAGACGTTTGAGAATAATTATGTATCTACAGCAAGGATAAGTTGTCACATCTAACACAATGTAAAGCTTTCAAATCTACCACAATGTAAAACTGTCACATCTAACACAATGTAAGACTGTCATGTCTAACACAATGTAAAGCTGTCACATCTACCACAATGTAAGACTGTCACATCTAACACAATGTAAGACTGTCATGTCTAACACAATGTAAAGCTGTCACATCTACCACAATGTAAAACTGACACATCTAACACACTACATGTATTCCAGGCATTGGATGTACTGCTAACACAGCTGTCCCAGGCTTTGGATGAAGACATGGCTGACCTGGATGAGTATGAGAGAGGCTTGGACTTTGCCAGGTAACTTTATTCACTTTGTAAAAGGTGTTGACTTTGTTTCAGGGTGGAAGGAAAGTACTTGAAAGGGGTAACATTGTCTGGATTAAGGTTTCAGCTTTATTTATTTAATGAAGCTCAAATATATATATATATATATATTAATTAATTAATTATTTATTTTGTTTTGTATGTTTTTTTCTTTCCATTTTATAGTAAACTATGTTATTGTTGGGTAAAAACATATTTCAAATTCCACCTTTCCAGTGCCCTTAAGCCTTCAAGGTAGCAGTGGAAGACAAAATAACTGAGAGGATAATGCTGTGACCAGGAGTGATGAATATTTAACACACCCAGATGCCCAGATCAGTTCCCCTGGGGGTGTTGTGTGAGCCTTGTGGGGTAACTGTCTGTGCTGGAGACCTCCCTCCATCCCCCAGGGTGAAATAGTTGTACAGCATGCCTATCAGAAAGTGTTTTAACTGAGATAATTTCAAAATGGGTACCAGGAATTTGTCTCTCTTCTAAACCATCCAGGTTCTCCCAACATGCTGAATGTCTGTAGAAATCTTATTTCTGCAGCTGTTAATTTCATATCATTATTTTTTATGTAAAACATAGATGTAGATATTTAAGGAGTTAGAGGTTTTCTTAACTGACTTTATACCCTTAAAAGTTCCATATGAATACAGGTATGTTTTGGAGTTGAACATTGACAATGTCTTTCTGTTAATAAAACAGGTTGAAATGGCTCATTATTTATGTAATGATTCATTTAATTGGGCCTACATCTGTTTTTGTGGGTCAAAGAAAACAATAACTTTAGCCTAAGAGTTTAGACCAATTTTTGCGCTGAAGTTTTTTTTTTTTTTTTCGTAAAACAGGTCCCTGTAGAATCTGTGATACTGCGAAATGTGCAATTTGCAAGGTTTAGCCTCTAAAATATTTGATGTTAGACAAATGGTTTATGATATGAATTAAATTTAAGACAGTGTCAAGAGGAAAGGAATAGGTTGGTGAAAACCATGTTTTGTTAAAATTTTTTTAAAAGAATTAAGTGTTCAAGCAAACAAAGCAGTTTTGAAAATATTTTGCCGTCCGTCTTTGTGCACTGACATCACTTGGTGCAAGAAGTAATATGTGCCATAAAAATCATCATTATGCCATAATTATATGTTAACAGCTGAAAAGCATTCCAAACCACCCTGTATTTGTGATGTGAATGTAAGATTTCCATTGATAAGGGTGGACAGGTTTATTTATGTTCTAGGGATGTCTGGCAATATTAATACAGATTTTCTCACAAATACAAGTAGATTCCTGTCTTTGCCCACAGGATATTATCAAGAATGTTTTACCAACTAAGGGTATCACCTAACACGAACCAAGCTTTAGTATTTTATCTGGATGGCTTATTTTAATGACCTTGTCAGTTTTTTTTTTTTTTTTTGTAAAATATGTAAGCTGTGCTTTCCATTTCAGCAGGTCATGTAGTTATTATTTATTATTATCTTATGCTTTGTTTTACATTCTTAACTGTTATTGTATTATTATATTTTCCATCATGTTGTTGACAGAGTCTGAATATTTTTGACAAACTCTATATTTAATATTTTCCCCAGATTTTTACTAAGGAGACAAGCAGAGCAGACAGGGTGACAAAAAGGTGTATGCCTTGCTTTGCTTTTCATATTCATATAATTTCAGAAAAGCTATGAAAGTAATGTGCCTCTCGCACCCAATTTCAGGATCTGACTTTGTAAGGTTTTATATCATTACTAGATATATTATTTTTGATAATACATGTTGATTTATTCGAGTCCCTGACAGTGTAAGTTGTCTGTGATTTAGTGTTCAATGGGATGATTAGAATTGTTAAATGTGGGCATAGTGTATTGTTTTTTTAACTGTAATAAATGTTTTATACTAAGGGAAATAAGACTTTTTGTCAAAGTGCACAACTACAGTCATTCATAGTCATAAATTAAGAGGATCAGAGGATAATGTTCAGTGATATATCTCTAAAATTAAGCCGGTTTCAATGATGTAGACATCCATTTTTCTGCTGAGTAAAAAAATGCTCTTCTTATGATTTTGTTATAATACTCATTGACTTGCTTGAAAAATTTAATAATAATAATAATAATACTTCACTTTGTCAAATATCACGTTTGGCAGCTTTCAACAGTACGTGTTTTATTTATTTATTTTTTTATTTTTTATTTTACAAAACTATAGTATTATAAACAATACAAAAATAGAAAAGAATTAGAAGACAATATATTCAGTATGCGGACCTCAAAATGGACAAGCAATATATTTTTAATGAATGAATGAAAACTGAGTGAGAGATAAACAAATCCAAAGAAAACGCACATTTAAAAAAAAAATTGTGATCGCTTCAGCGGTCAATTGTGTTAGCGGTGCCAGACAGCGCCGCCGTCGCAATGGATCACCACATTCCGCGAAGATCAAATTTCCCCGCTGAGCGCACATGGTGCGTTCTCGCAACAAAGACCTGATTCAGGAAACGTTTGTTTGTGAAATCTGGCCGACACCTGCTGCTAAACCGCAAACACCACTGAGTGGGAATCATCCACTCGTAGACACGTAGCTTTAGAAGGTCGGAAAGTCGGGCGCAATATTTTGAGGAAGAAGCCGCTCAGATGCCGTACATTCAGAAGATGTGTTTGTCTTCTGTTTCTGTTGTTTTTGTTTCTCTAACAGTTGCTTGTGTTTTCTCGTTTGCTTTGGCAGACGCACAGTTTCCAAGGTAAGTAGCACTCGAGCTCTGCTTTGTGTTATTAGGTGCTGATAAATCACGTTCTACAGTTCGTGGAAGTAACCAAAATGTTAGATTTTAAGATTTGTGTTTACGTGTTCAAGGCGTACATGTGGCTTCGTTTAATCTAGGGTCCAGCGTTCAGTCCTAGATTTCATCAACTGATTCTGTCATTTTCTGTGACATTTTGTGGCGGATTGCTGTCAGTTTCCAGACTTCGCACTGCTGAAATTATTGAAAAAGACAGCTGCTGAACCAACTGATGGGTTTTTTTAATGTTAGAGTTCAGTTATCTCCGTATGCGTTGTTCACATAAAGTAGGCCTATTTCTGTTATTTACCCAAACATTTCATTATTTAACTATAGATTGCAAATACCTGTCAATCACCATCCAGTTGTCATTTAGTAATTTAGTGTAATAGTCCTTGAAATATATAGTTCAGAGTTGTTGTTTTGAAAGTGTGCTGAAAGCTTGTAAAGAGTAAAATTCACTCTGAAAAGAAAATATTTGCGATTTCTGTTAATGCAGTGTATTGTTCAAAGTACCCTTTTTTTTTGCAAGACCTGTCCTTCACTGCTAGGTGAGGATGTGAGCTTCGTGGGTGTATTTTGTAACCATTTTAAACACATTTTCCCTATAATTGCTTACAAAATTGTTATAACGTTCCATTGTTCAAACATTATAGAGCCAGTAATGTCCATAAGTTTTGTGTTTTAAAGTCTGCATTGCTAATTAAATTGCAGTTTCTTCAGTTTAAATGATAAGGTACTGTAGAAAGTGGCAGTGTAGTGAATACAGAAGTCATGTTATTACTGCTGACAGCTCAGTTCAGAGGACGTCTTGGACTTCTTCCTCTTTGACAGGTGATAAATGGATAAATCACTTGCCTAGGGTCCATTACAGAGACACGGTCTGCTTGCTAATAGCCCAGGACAAGTTATACTGCAATGAAATTTTCTTGTAAATTTATAGATTTTTTTTTCTTTTTTTTTTTTTGTTCTTATCATACTTATTTGCTTCTTGGGTGTTTGATAATAATTTATTTTCACATCTTGCTTTTTAAGCATTTCTTCCAGTTTTAAAAATTCCCCTCTACTATATTTATGTTGCTAAAAATACTAATGGATATTTGACAAGTTAATTCTTTTTTTTCACATCAATTACATTTTTGGAAAATTATATCTTAATTTTTTCTGCTATGGTTGTTATGAATGTGCCATGAGGCCCCAGACTTTTTCTCAAATTCAATAACAATTGCACTCACTCATGAGTGAATGGAGTATTAGAACCATGTGCCATCTCAAAATTTAATTAACCTTTTGACACAAGCGGTTGATTTTCCAATTTTTTCAACCTGTCTAGCACAAGGCTCATTGTTAATGTGAATCACCTAACTTCATTGATGTCAAAATTCAGTTACGTTTGCAACAAAATTTACCTGTTGAATGGCTTTGATAGTACTGTAAATGATTTTAAGTTATTTCACTGTTGTTATCTTCCCTAACAAAGGAGATTATATGATTTTACTGGTGTTGGGTCCAATGGTTTGCTTGTCTGTCTAGTAGTGAATATGATATCCCAAAATGCTCTTTACAAATTTGGATGAAATTTTCAGAAAAAAAATTGCACTTCAGAAGGCAAAATAATAATAATAATAATAATAATAATAATAATAATAATAATAATTGCAATTTTCATGTGATATCTGTTGTTTTTGTGTTAATCATTGGCTGAGATTTGTGATCTAGGGCTGTTCACTATTTATGATTTGGTCCAGGCAGCAACAACAGAGCTATGAGAAACACTGTTATACAGTTATGTAATATTCTTAACTCCAACAGTTATTATACCAGAACATTTTAAGATAGAATAATTGCATTATTCCATTCTTTTTAGACAGATATTGAATAGGCATCAAGGAATACTGAGTACTTTAAAATGGCATTCATATTGCAGGGGTTGACCAGGTTAAGGGAAAAAAGCAGACTGACGCAATTTGGAGGTTTGAGCTCATAACTTGCCCTTTTTTTTCAGTGGACCCCATGTGTGTCGTTCTCAGACCCCTGAATCTCCATGTTGCCCAGGGTGGTCCCAGATCTACTCCAAGGGACCCTGTGTGATGCGTAAGATATGATAATTGAACACTTTGCAGCATGAGATAAAAAAGAAAACATGACATGAAAAAAAGTGTGTGTGTGTGTGTGTGTGTGTGTGTGTGTGTGTGAGAGAGAGAGAGAGAGAGAGAGAGAGAGGTAGGCCCAGTTACATTAAAGATTAGACATAAAAATGCTTTGCTTACATAAATAGTACAGATCTTAAAATCAGCAATAATGTGTTTGGTGGTGGTGGTGGTGGTGGTGGTGGTGGTGTTGGGGGGGGGGGGGTGTCATAATCATGGATGCTACTATTTGCCCTTCTCTCTCTAGCTATATGTAGCTTTCCCTGTGGAGAGGGACTCTGTGTCAGACCAAATACCTGCAGATGTGTTGATGGATCAACAGCCATTACCTGTCCTTCTTCATCACCAACAACATCATCTTCGTCATTATCTACATCTGACCAAACAGAAGGTGAGTTCACACGGTTTGTTTGATAGAGTACAGGTAAAAGAACCCAGGAAGTCAAGTGTTAAGGTCACAGTATACCTGTAAACTGAGGTAGAAGATGTTAACTGCAGAAAGTGAAAATGTTTGATCTGTTAGACCTGTAGTAGTGCCATAGCAGAATGGTTTGTTATTTATTGGTAGTTGTATAAAACAGATGCAGGGCAGAGGGTTGTCAGGCTTTTACTATAGATAAATTGCAAAATTATTCAAAGTAACACATCTCAAAGCAAAATTGTGACAAAAAAGTTTTTTTCTTTGTATTTTTCTTTTATTAATTCATTGTTTAATTAATGTGTTTATCTATTGCTACATGTTTATCTCAACAATAGAAATATTTTTTCCTTCATGTCAAATGGATGAAGTTCTGTTTTTAAGAACTGTTAATGCTTACTTAGTGCCTGAAATGGAAACTAGTATGGTATCAAACAGCAATAGTTTCTAACATGTTAATTACCAGAAATATGACTTTTGTTTCTGAGTCAAACACGGATCCACTGATAATTGAAGCATGCAGCTATCTATGACAGTTCGGGGCCATAAAAAGTTTTCAAAGTAACTAAAGATTTATTTGTGTGGTAAAAAAGGGAAAAGGCAGAATGTAGTGAACTGCTGCACTTACAAACAACAGAAGAGAAGGAGACTACAGAATTTGTTTCATTCTATAAAACTGTAAAATGGACATAAACACTTGACAAAGCCATTTAGAGGGAAGCCAGAGAAGCCAGGGAAGGAAACCACCAGATCCTATTTTCACTATGTTTTATTGTTAAATGCCCAAGAGCACTTGACCTAAAGTTGACCCTGTCCATTTTTCAAGCTGACCTTTCTGGAATTTCCTATCAACAGGTGGTCAGACACTTACTGGTATCAGAAGCCTTTCTCTGCATACCTATCAGTTGGAAATTAGGGTGTTTAATTTTTTTCTGATGCTTGATTTCTGCCTTGTGTTAATTATCTTTTGTTATATATGTTTTTTTAGATTATTTACTAGGTAAAGAATTATAAAACTTATGTTTGCTGTTTGCATTTCAAAAGCTTTAATGTGATATAACAATTAATGGCTCAGCTCGTGTTTTCACCTTTGAACACATATCCAACATTTTGTGTAGAAGAAATTCCCATGCATTCTTTGAAACAATACATTGTATAAGAAAAATGTACTTTCAAAAAAAAAAAAAAAAAAAAAAAAAAAAAAAGAGAGTNGCTAAGCGAAACCGAATTACACGTTTAAAATTTCAGGTTTAACTTTCTGTTTTGAACACTCGCTCATGCGCCGCACAGGAAATCTTAAAATACCAACAAAAATTTGTGACGACAAATGCAACTCTAAAGACATTCCAGCATTCTTGAGAAGTGTAAGATGGCAAAATAAGTTTGTTTCCTAATGTTGTAGTGAGTGGTGACCTCCAAATACGTTTGGTGCAATCGCTAAAGTAATCAACAAGCGTTCATAGATACCCGCACTTATCTGCACACATGCGCAGTTAGACTGTACAGGTGTCGATTCCGGTAAGTTATCCGGATCGCGCTTAGAAATCCACCTCGCTTGCAGGATTTTGAAAATGAGCATTACAAAAATTCTCTTGCGTTCACACTACTGCATTTATTCGAATGCATTGTGACCTAATTCGCAATTTATCCGGATAACTGAGCGTAGTGTGAATGGGGTATATGACAGTTCAGGGCCATAAAAAGTTTTTCAAAGTAACTAAAGATTTATTTGTGTGGTAAAAAAGGGAAAAGGCAGAATGTAGTGGACTGCTGCACTTACAAACAACAGAAGAGAAAGAGACTACAGAATTTGTTTCATTCTATAAAACTGTAAAATGGACATAAACACTTGACAAAGCCATTTGTGTTGTTAAGCCATTTAGAGGGAAGCCAGAGAAGCCAGGGAAGGAAACCACCAGATCCTATTTTCACTGGGTTTTATTGTTAAATGCCCAAGAGCACTTGACCTAAAGTTGACCCTGTCCATTTTTCAAGCTGACCTTTCTGGAATTTCCTATCAACAGGTGGTCAGACACTTACTGGTATCAGAAGCCTTTCTCTGCATACCTATCAGTTGGAAATTAGGGTGTTTAATTTTTTTCTGATGCTTGATTTCTGCCTTGTGTTAATTATCTTTTGTTATATATGCTTTTTTAGATTTTTTTACTAGGTAAAGAATTATAAAACTTATGTTTGCATTTCAAAAGCTTTAATGTGATATAACAGTTAATGGCTCAGCTCGTGTTTTCACCTTTGAACACATATCCAACATTTTGTGTAGAAGAAATTCCCATGCATTCTTTGAAACAATACATTGTATAAGAAAAATGTACTTTCAGACAAAAAAAGAAAAAAAAAAAAAAAAAAAAAAAAACGGAATAGTCAGACTCTGGTATTCACTTGGCATCTAGTGCATGGACTATTTTGACAGTCTGACATTTTTGACAAGTGAGCTGAAGTATTTGATAACATTACACTTCAGCAAACCCCTTATTTCAGTATATATATAAATATTGCATGTTGTATGACATCTTCCACTGGAGGCTGCCATTTCACACTGAGACCCCAATGTTGTGGGTTTAAAGTGGAGGGAGGTTGTGACTTTCAGATGTGTTTAACAGTGAAAAGAACTGGAAAAACAATTCACCATTTTTAAATATAAACAGTGATTGTATATTGCCATTTGGCTTATTTATGTAAGAAAATAAAGATACTAAAATTGAATAAAAGAAAAACAGGATACTGAGTGGTTCAACAAAAAAAAAAAAAAAAAAAAAAAAATTACCCTTCTGAATTTCTGTCACCTCATACTAACAGCTATAAAGATTTTATTCGACAATCAAGATTTTTGATAACAGTTTTCAAATATTTGTATGGTTTATAGTTTCAGATTCCAGAGCTGCCAATTATTTGCAAACATCTCAAGGACAATTTCAGCCAACACGAGTAAAGGAACAAGAAAAGCCCTCCATCTTAACTCGGGCATCTTCAAGGCAACTGCCACAAGTGTTACTGGCATCTTGGCAGCAACAAAAACCACCTTCATACGGACAACCATCTCAACCACTTCAGCCAGCACAACCTGCCAATACTCAACAATGGCCACTTCCTCAGCAGACACAGTTTCAGAGACAACAGTGGCAACCCTCACAATTTCCCAGTCAGCAGTCACACCTAACACAATCAGTGGGTCAGCAATCTCAACCAGCACAATTGCCCAGTCAGCTGTCACACCTAACACAATCACAAACATGTGACACCCTTAAGTGCAGCCAGAAATGTATCACAGTAGGAAACACACCACAGTGTGTATGTTTGGAGGGTTTTTTACTCACAAGTAATGGACATACATGTATAGGTAATTTAATATTATAAATCATGACAAAGAATTCTTTGGGTAGTATACTGTTTTCTAAGATTTTATTGTAATATAAGTAATTTTTCCATTTCACTTTGTGCACTAAAGCATTAAAAAAGAAATAAGATTATTATTATTATTATTATTATTATTATTATTATTATTATTATTATTATTATTCCATTATCAGACCAGGATGAATGTGCTGGGGCTCACCACTGCCAGGAGAGCTGTGAAAACACTCCGGGAAGCTTCATTTGTACGTGTCATGCTGGCTTTACTCTGGAGGCAGACGGGAGAACATGTCGACCCATTGGAGATGTTTGTAAGTCTGACATTGTGTTGGGTGTGACAGTGTGTTAGGTGTGACAGTGTGGGGTGTTACATGTGTTAGGTGTGACAGTGTGGGGTGTTACCCTGTGTTAATTGGTTGTTGCTTTTGTTAATGGTGACAAGTTTACCTGGATGTTACTGTTAGTAAGTTGAAGAAATCTTCTTAGCTGATACATATATCTAGTCTGTTTGATATGGGAATAATATTTTATTTCCAGCAAGCAGTTCTTGCAGTGGAGACGGGCAGACATCTGGCAATTGTAACAACCAAAAAGAAGTACGAACTCCACAATTCAACTATCCCATCAAACCTTCAGATGATACTACAAACATCTTTGGAGGCATGCATCACCGGAGCAATGGGGGTCTTGAAACCAAGGTCGCCCCTGACCCCAAGGTCAATGTCAAGGTCACTCCACCCACCCGAGCTCAAGCAGACATCCCCTACTGGGCCAGTTACACAGGATCAGGATATTCAAATTACTACCAGCCTAGTTTCAGCAGTAATCCCTTTATTAGATTTTCTTCCTACAGGACCATGGCTCAGCCATCTTTGTTCAGTCAGAACCCAAGTATGGAGCAGGCCTTCCAGGAGTACATGGGTCCAGGCATCACCTCACCTTGCACCTCTGGAGGGTGCCTGAGTCAGGGACAGAGTTCTCAGTATAACCCAACCCCAAACTTCCAGTCTTTTAACCCTCAAAGAAACTATGCCAACCAGCAACAGCCCTGTTACCAAGGTAACTGTCAGCAGGGTCCTGGGTTTCCATGGCAACCCCAGGGAAAGCCTGCTGCCACAATGAACCAACAGGTCATATACAGTCAGGCCTCCATGCCACAGCTGACGCCAGGGGCAAGGAACAATGCATGGCAACCTCAGTCACAGGGGTCAGTAGGTCAAGGTCAGCCATGTTATGGGGTCAGTTGTGGGTCAGCAGTTGGTCCAGTTGTGCCCCAGCCCTGTACCAGTGACTGCAGTGGCCAGGCTGTGTTGCCGTGGCAACAGGTACCCTGTGTGTCAAACTGTGGTCCCGTAGCCTGGCAGCAGACGGTACCAGTGGCACCTCAACCTGTCCCACCTCAGCCATGTGTGGGCTCTGACTGCTTTCCTAAGATGCCAGATAAGATGATGCCTCCTTGCATAGGCTCAGGCTGCCAGAAGAAGACCATAGCAGCATCAGTACCTCAGGCTCCACAACCATGTCAGACTACAGACTGTGTTCAGTCAGGTCCTGTAATGACACCACCATGTCAAGACTCTGGATGTATTCAGCCTAGTGGAGTACAGCAGCCCTGTCTGGTCCCAGATTGCATTCAGCAGGCTGCAATGGTTCCACAGCCTTGTCAAGACACTGACTGCTTACCCCCTGGGGCAGTGCTGCAGCAGCCATTTTGGCCACAGGCTCCTGGGATATCATCAGTACAGTCTGTGCCCTGTGTGTCTACAGTAAGCTGTAACCTGCCTTGGCCCTGGCAGGTTTTCTCTAATGGTGGTCAGAAAACACAAACCCCAGGTAAACCACAAAGACCTGACACCTCAAGTCAGCCATGTAAGGGTGGGAACTGTGGCAGCAATGTACCGCAGGGACCTCTACAACCAAGACAGCCTACACCCCAAGTTGTACGTCAGCCTCGTCCCCAGTCTCGCCAGCCAGTGAGAACGACCACAACAACACCAGCTCCGCCACAGTTCCAAAGTCGTCCCCAGGCACCAAATGTGGTGTGTCCTCGAGGATGGGTGATGAGAGGAGGTCGTTGTGAGCAGCGTCGCCATGGGAGACCAGAAAGGCCGACCAGTAGGGAGTGCAGTCCACAGTGCGCCAATGGAGGTTCCTGTGTAGACGGCAGATGTGTGTGTCGACCTGGGGTGACTGGAAAGACTTGTAAAACAGGTGCAGTGTTGATTAGTAGTCTTAACTTTGATTGAATGGTCTGGAAATCTATACTTCACAACTGAATTAGCTTTTCTTAAACTTGTGGCTACTGCCAGTACCAGTGTCATAACATGATTTGTTTTATTGCATTCAGATATCAGTGAGTGTGAGGAGAGGCGTGGGTATTGCCAGTACCAGTGTCATAACATGATTTGTTTTATTTAGATATCAATGAGTGTGAGGAGAGGCGTGGGTATTGTCAGTACCAGTGTCGTAACACATTTGGCAGCTTCATGTGCACGTGCCCCTCTGGTTACACTCTCAATGCTGACAGGAGATCCTGCAAACGTGAGTGAAAAAGATTATTCTGAAAATATTTCATAGTGCATAAATTTCATCCATTTTGCTTTGACAAGTTTTATACTTACCAATTATTTTATTTTGTTATTTACTTCCTCATTTTTGAAGAATTAAAGCAAGTCTTGTAGTCATAACAGAAATTGTAAGTTACATTTCATTACCTGTTTTAGTACCACCTCAATGTTTTGAACTTCAAAGCTTGGGTTATTCTTGCTGACAACTGTATAATTTGATATGAGAAATGTGTTTTGTAATTCATGATATTTGTCAATTGTTTTGCCTAGCTATTGGTTGCATGCCAGACTGTATGAATGGTGGAACTTGCAGACAGGGACGCTGTTACTGTAGACCAGGATTTAGAGGAGACAGCTGTCAAGATGGTAAGGCACATCTCAACACAATGGCTTCCCTAACACAATCCGGTCATGCATCAACATATTTTGTTGGTTTGTTAATTAGTGGCCTAACTCAAAAAATTACTCAACGATTGTTGTAGAAATATTATGATATGTTAAAAATGGACTTTCTTAGAATCAGTTTGATTTTAGAGGTGATCCATAATAAATAATGTTAAGAAATGAGCTTCCCTTGATAGAGGTCTGAACCCTCCAAGTGCTTTACTTGTATATAAATATATTATAAATGAAATGTGCTGAGTAATTTTCTGTTTTTCCTGTCACGGTATAGACATTGATGAATGTAAGGACCATGGTGACAACCTGTGTGAGAGTATCTGCAGGAACACATATGGAAGTTACGTGTGTTTGTGTCCTCCAGGAGCCAGACTCAACTCTGACAAAAGGACATGCTCCAGTAAGTGGAACAACAATCACATCCCAACACAATGGCTCCTCTACCACAAGCTGATCACATCCCAACACAGCGGCTTCTCTACCACAATCTGATCACATTCCAACACAATGCTTCCTCTACCACAACAATATGATCACAAAGCATGCAGGTCATGAATAGTGGGAAGGGGTGCTTGTATTTTGTTTATACTTTCTTTTTAAATTGCACAATCCATTTAAATACATGTGGGTGTAAGGTCCTAATTTTTTAAGAAAAAATGTTCTCGTTCACTTTAGCGATCCAGCCCAACACTGTTAAAAATTTCAATTTTTCAGTCTGTTTTTGAGTTCTGAATGATTTATGAAGTTACTAATGCAATTCACCAGTCTATTCTACTTGTATGAGTATCTTTCAAAAATGAGAAACATGGAACTGAAATATCTGTACTTTCGATGTATTTTAGTTGCTTCATAGATGAATTACCACTATATATTTTGTCATTTCAGACTCGGCTTGTAGCCCTCGTTGTCAGAACAATGGCGTCTGTGTCAATCATCGCTGTCTCTGTAAACCTGGTTACCATGGCAGAACGTGCCAATTAGGTGCGTCTCCGGGGTGTTCTTAAAAAAAAGATCAGATCATAGTGAAATTAATCTTAAATTTTCGACCGTAATTTAAGTTTTTATTCTGAGCTGAAATAAGTCAGTATATTAATACGTAATCTTGCTTGAAGTCATTTTAACATCTTTTGAACTATTGACATTTAGATTGATATTTTACATTCATCATTGTAATTTCAGATGTGAATGAATGTGATCACTTCCGGCCCTGCAGTCACAATTGTACCAACATTGTAGGGAGTTTTAAGTGCTACTGCCCTGGAAATCTTGTACTCGATTACGATCATCGCACGTGCGTACGACCAGAGACGGCCATTCCCGGGTCTGCCGTACTTCGTTCACAGCCCACCGGTGTCGCCTCTTGGCGGGATGATGATAAAGATAAAGATAGGGTTGACTCCGACGTTGTAGATTCCTCAGTCGACAATCCAAAAGAGAGCAAAGTCTTGACAACACCAGTATCTCCATTGTTCCCATATCTTGACGATGTTGATTCTAAACCTAACGCTTTTGTGAATAAAGACGGCAAACTTATTGATGTCATAAACCACAGAGGCATGAAGTTTATGAAAGTGCACATGGATGATAAATCAAACCCGCAGGAGAAATTCACTGAGCTCAAGAGTGATTTTACATCTGGCAAATCACTGCCAACCAAGCAGCAAGCTCCACAGGCTCTCGTTCCTCCTCTGAATGTGGGTCTTCCAACCAATCAGGGACAGGGATTTGATACTGTGCGGCGAGGTTATGATGCCAGGGGACCAGAGCGTGGAGACATCAGCCCTGAAGAACACTATGGTTTCCAAGACTTATGGAGGCAAACTCAGCCTACCAACCTAAAAACTGGCGATTCAGAACAGTCACAAAATGGCCAACAAAATCATAATGGCGGCCCACCTCCCAGTAACTTGCCCACTATAGTTAAATCTCAAGGAAACATGTTCAAGCCACCTTTTTCAAAATCAACTCACATAGATGAACACGATGGCTCCGTGATGACCAAAGAAGACATGGGTGACGAGACAGTTATCAAGCGTGTCATACCCGGCCAGGCTGTTATCACCTATAAGATAATACGTGAGGGAGATGTGGAGGTGGAGTATGTTGATAAGGACAGAGGTCCTGGTAACGTGCTGCCTCCTGGTGGTGATATATAGCGCATTGAATATAAATAGTTCTCATGATCGTTAGATATTGGAGACAAAATACCATTTCATACTTACCCAAAAATAAGGGTTAACAGCGGCACGAATAAACCAGACTGTCTTTATAATTTTTACTTAGTAGCTCCGTGTTGAGAAAGGTGTCCTATTTGGTCCTTTTTGATAAATTGTTGAAAGTGGCTATTAAAATGCAATGAAGGAATTCCTGACAATGGTTTTGTCTGCATGCCTGACAAATTTTGGGTTGCATTTTGGACTTGGGGAGGGGATGAAATGTTTCCGTATCTTTAAGTCTACATTCATGATCTCGAATTTAGATGGTGTGTCTTTTTAATAAACATATATACTGAATAGATATTTTAATCGGTTGTAAAAATACAGGTTAAGAGAAAACTAGTTATATAAGTAGGTGTACTGTTTGTCCAGTAGTATGTATGATACATTGCATGTATAGTCTTATACACACGAATGTCTTTGGGCATTGCGTCACTTATTAATATAGATTGTGTCAAAGTATAAAATAATAATTTTAGAATAAAGTCCGTTTTTCATTATCTCCAGCAGTTTTGGGTTTTGTTTTCACTTCGTATAAATATTTGTGCAGATTGTAAAGGCAACAATTGCAAAAATCCCCAAAACAGATTATGATAAAGTGAACGTGGACACGGTTTATCACAGCGAAAGAGAAAGCCGACATGATAAAAATTAAGTGGCGTTTTGCTTAATTGTCCAATGCCTAGTAATTCCTTTTTATTCTAACCGGTGCATCAAAACGCGTTTACTTTCTGTCAATTTTTGGTTGAGTTTTTTTTTTTTTTTTTGTTCGTGTGTACTTCTGATATTCGTTTTTTAACACTCAAACCTGCATTTTTTATCTGACGTATTGAGCACCCTTTCCGTCACGAATTCTATTACATTCTATTACCACACAAATATTACGTTATTTGCCTTAAATGAGTCGTTGAAAAATAGAATTTTATTTGTGGTTAAATTAATTTTTGTTTCAAAAATAATATTTTAATGAATTATTTATCTTATTCACACTAGCTATCTACGAGACTAACAAAGTACGAGGAATTGATAAAGACACGTATAACTATATATCGCTTTTTTTTTAATTGACAAATCCACCCTTCTTTAGGTCTGACACAAAATGGTAAAAGTGCAACAAATATACATCGTTAACTGTACATTGACGACCGTATTAAGCGACCTAGCAATTCAGCACATTCCACACTGAATTTTCTTTAAGGAGCCGGTATTCTTAAATGTAGTTCCCTTGCTTTAGTTTTTGGGTGGTTTGGTCGATAACACTCACACCTCCTGCAGTATGCACACCAAGGAGAGAAAATATATCTTTTAAAAGCTGTCGGCAATGGCAGCACAGCAACATTTGTGGCGCTAATATTCCTGAGGCCTATGCTCCGCCGTATCTTCATTCTGCATATTTTGAGCAACGTTGGGGGTTCGCGTGTGTACTGAATTAAAGAGTCTCGGAGATGGACGAGGCGCGGGTTGTTCAAAAGTTTGGCCAAGTTTCCATTTTTGTCTACGACTTTCATATAAAGAGTTTCTTTAAGTAGAAGACTGATTCCCAGCCTCGCGCCGTCAGTTGCGTTCACCACGTCATCAAGGATACAGAAGATGGCGGTCCGTCCTTTTTTGTCTCGTATATCTGGGTTGGCGCCGTACAGTAATAGCACCCTTACTGCCTGTGAATTTCCAATTTCTGCCGCCACGTGCAATGGGGTTAACTGGTCATCATTAGTTGCGTTTGGGTCGGCGCCCAGCTCCAGCGCGAGGCGGATCAGATGATCCCGGCCTCTGTAGACTAGATAATGCAGAGGGGCGTGGCCGTGGTTATCCTGCGCGCTGGGATCTGCCCCTAGACTCATCAGGAGTTCTGCCACCTTCAGACAGGGGAGTTTGGCGGCAGTGATTAAGGGGGTGCGACCTTCAGCGTCCCTGGCCTCGATGTCAGCTCCATATCGGATGAGCCATTCCGCCGCCAGGGGCAAGGTGTTTTGAGCCGTGCAGTGGAGAAAGCTTTGTCCATGTCTGTTCAGAATAGGCCTAGATACTTTAGCTTGTATGTCGGCCCCGTATTGCATCAGGAGCCTCAGGCAGTTGATACTCAGCATGTGTTGCTCTCGGAGATATGTTTGAAACTGGTCGTCGCTGGACTTTGGGTCCACTTCCTCATCGCACGGAACACGCGGCCAGTAGACGATGACCATCTCTAGGGGTGTTCGTCCAGCCCAATCCACTGTGTCCACCTTCATCAATTACAAAAACAATTCATTTCAATTAACTGCTCTTAACATTACCTTTTATTTTTTTACATTTATAAAATGATGGAAATGATAGAACAGCCCCAAACGACAGGTAGGGTAACTGAGCATACCTTGCCTACAAAGATTTAAAGAAAATATACGGCTGCATCCTACCTTTGCTCCATGCTCTAGAAGCATTTTCATGGCGTCAGGCCGGCGGTAAATACAGGCCACGTGCAGTGGCAGGGTCTGCATGACTGGCAGCAAGGAGTCCTCTGTATCATCGGGCGAGAAACTGGTCAGTTTGTTGGGATCATAATCCTCGTCTTGTAGCAATTCTCTTAGGAGACCAAGGTCGTTTCTTATTATGGCATCGTATACTTTTACTCTCATGGGTAAATGTTTACCTCTTGAACGCTGATAATTGGTCATAAAAGGCTCGTAGGAATAAAACACTGTTCCAGTCACCCGCGCCCTTCTTCTGGATAGTAGCGATCGCCACCATGAAGAAATTTGAGAACCAAAGCTGCTGTTGTTTTCTTGTCGACGCAATCTTGTCGCAGGAAGATATGGAGGGAACTGCGGTCCTACCTGTTGGTTTCCATTGTTTGTGTGGCGTATAAGAAACATGTTAAGTTAAGAATGAAGCCCTGTCTATTCTTCTATTCACCACTGTATCAAACCGTCGCCCAGCACCATGGTAACGTCATGACGTCATAATGTCGGCATGACGCAAAAATAAACGTCACGATATCATTTATAACGTAGTCATTGTAAAAAATTACGTAACGTTTTATTGTAAGCATTTTGGAGGAGGCTTTAGAACAAATAGATAAGTACCTCATCTAGGAATAATAAATGTATCAATTACGTCGGTGCAATGTTTTCAAAATGTACCGTTCTCTTCCCTGTGATGCAACTGCCGGTGTGATAGGAACGGTAGCCCGCTACGAACCGTAGACCGCCCCCCCCCCCCCCCCCCCCGCATCATTACTTTGAACAGGTGGTATTCTTCCCAATACTCCGACTAAGTCTAGCCTGTACTAATCATATGGGACCCCGAACTATCATTCCTAGAACTACAATTTCTGTCACGCCTCGTCTGTTTAGCTACCGGGTATACCACGGTTAGTGGGGAACGGAAGGATCGTAAATGTAGCGGTCATCACACTAACTTACTCAAGTCCTCACTAATCTGAAGAAGTGAAAATCCAATAATTACAACCAAATTTCGAGCTCTCACATGCCGCAACATGAGAATATCATGCCATGTGTACCTCGGCGAGAGAGCCTTTTAAAAGTGAAAGTGAAACTAGTGACATCCATGCGAAAACGATGCAGCAAACTGCGAACAAACACAAAAAAGATCAAAAGGAGCGTTTATTGATCCAGTGTAAAAAAAGTTACAATGAGCAATATAATGCGACTAATACTTTGAGAGGGCACTTACACCAAGCAGAAGCGTAGTTTATCGTTTGCTTTGGCGGTATACTACCGGTTCCTCTCTGACGTTTCCAACAGAATTCCTTCCACAAGACCCACAGGCAATGGACGCCAGTCTTTAGGTCTTGAAGTGTAACAAGAGATTGCTAGGGAAATGAAAAATAACCAATGTACCAGCGATGCAGTATCAAAAAGTTTACTACACTTAAAATTTGAATTGCGTTAAAAGATTGTTCTGCTGGTGTGACGGAAATCGGTAACATAAGCTGCCAGTCATTAGATTCATACAGTTCAGGGTTAGCGTGACGTAAATGGTTCACAATCTAGGACGGGGTTTGGGTAAAGAAATCAATGGAAATGATGTATTACAAATGGGACTCTCTCGTAGATGACACAAGCTAAAATAGGACACCATTATCTTGTAATTTTTCTTCTTTACCGTTTAATTTTCTCCACCCCGGAATCTAAATGACTGTTATTTGGTTACACGCTGTATCTACAGAATTTCTTTTTGACTAAAAGCTAGTTTTGGTCCATCAGTCCAGAAACTCGTTTCTCTCTCAACTGGAGTCTTCGTTATGGCTGACATTTGGACCTTCCATTTCAGATCTTACGACGTCTTGGTACTGTGAGGTCCACTTGGTCAGTTCCATAGGCACACAGTTACCATACTCTGGACTATCTACATCATCCACCTCCCTGCCGTAAATCTGGAAATAAAATAAAATTAAAAAATAATAGAAACTGATTCATAAAACACGAACTCGCAAATTAACTTTATATTTTGTGTTAAGAGACTCTCAGAATTGAAGCAAATCTCTTTTGTTTGGCTATTGTAACTGAAAGAAAAAGTAAAGATAAGTGTAATTTTGTTTACAATAGTGTTAACCAGATCAGCTTTTCTCCATAGCATATAAAGCATCTGTCAATTTATAAGTAATATTTTTTTAAAATTAAATAAAGAGAAAAAATAATACAGTTATTTTCTTATTTATCTATATCTTTACTAGATATTTATATAATTTTATTCATATCGTTATTTTTTGGTAAAATGAACCAATTGATTGTCAATGAAATCTGCAAACTCATTTTTCTCAACTTATAACCTAAAACGCACACCATAAAATTCTAACAAGCTAACAAAATTCAATCAATCAAATTACTAATAAACGATACAACCAATCAGTCAATCAACCAATCAATCACAACCGAACCTTACCTGGCAAACAAACTCCAGCACATTTCTCTTGGTGGTCTCAGCCTGTGCACGAGAACCCCACCGGAATTCAAAGGACGGTGGGTCTGTATTTGGTTGACGTATATACTCCAGGTACGCCTGACGTACGAACTCTTGCGTCACCAACTTCTTGACGTCACCAAACACCTCGTGATTCTTCCTGGGAAGACATCGGGAAGGTCAATCAACAAAGTCCTCAATGAGTTTAAGAACTTGATATATAAGTCAAAATACTAGATTTATATTGAAGGACTCGATACATCTATCAAAACTATGTTTTTGTTTCATAAAAAGCTTAACGTTTCACTTTGATACCATTTTACCTATCATAGCTGATCTTTAGAGACTCGTTTTCAATATAAGTTATTTATTACTTTGATACCAAAAAATGCCTATTTTGTCTTGAAATAGGAAACGCATATCGCCTTCAACATATTGGCAATGACAGAACAGAAAATGTAGCTTCTTCAGGCCTACCCAACTACCAGACTCAGCACCTAAGGATCCTGAATTAACCGGTATATCGGACCACACTACCCGTTTTCAAGGTGTGTGTCAGATCGCATTTCGGAGTATCAGCCAGAACACCGACAGGATGAGCCCTGGCCTGCTCGGCTGTCACCTTGATTGGATAGTAAACGATTGTCGTAAAATCGCTATATGATTTTAAAACCGGGTGCATAAATTTGAAAGCCACCTAGATGCACCTTAGACTGCCACATTAATCTAATACAATGCAAAAAAGCCCTATCAAAAGTGGTTAAAACATTCAAACCGAATGTCGTAAAGTCCCCATATATCCCCATAGAGACAATAAAATAGAGTACTCTAAAGTAAGAGTACAGTTTAAGGTTGTTCAGCCGAGCGTGGATGAGCCCGCAGTCGTGCTACAAAATTTGTTC